TTCCGTGTTGATTCGATTCCTTTTATTTTGGATTGATTTGGTAGATATTTTTCTTTAATTCATTCTTCGGAAATTCATATCCAGATCAATACATGTACAGTAACCTATTAGTGTTAATAAAAAATTTTACGAAAAAAAAAAGTTTTAGAAATTATAAGAATATTTGTAAAGGTGTGATTGGTTCCTTTTTTTTGGTATGTCCTAAAAGAGAGATGGGAGTATATTTAGAATTAAAAGTCGGCTCGGGTTCGGAGCAGGGAACAGATTTATAGTAAAACTTGCTCGGCCCTGACCCGTTAATATTTTTACACTCATGTACCCTTACATGTAGTTGCAATCTCTTCTCTCTCACTTAAAATCTAAATCCAATAGCAAATAATCCACTTTGATTATGGCCTACGCGGTTTGATTGGGCCTTATGCTTGACAAAGACCAAGCCCAAGTTCTAGGCAGAACCTTTCAAGAATCGGCACTGGGCCCATCGTCATTTTAAGAGGACTTCCCTGGACGGATTTGTAGACCCATCTTATTTTTGCAGTATGACCAAAACTGAAATAACAGAGAGGATCGATTGAGCTGCTGGTTAGGAAGCATGATACGAATATGGATACGGGTATAATAATACAGACACACGATATGATAAATTTTTCTAATTAACCCATAATATATTTTAGATTGCATTGAATTACATTTTTCTGTTGTATCCTGTCATGTCTATGCCATGTCTTGACCGTGTCCGACCAGAAATTCAATATTCATGACACTTCTAGCAGTAACTGACACGTGTTCGGACCATATTTGCATATTCAACAAGTGTCCTAATATTTGATACCAACACAACATCTTAAGAGAAGTATCCATACTGTTGATTCATAAAGATTTCTTTTTGCATGGAAAAGGAGGATGTTAAGGGGTAAGAGGGGGCCAACCTTCATCGAGAAGCCCAAATCCAAACGACACACAGACCAATGGGGGTGTTGAGGCCCAAGCCATACCCACTAGTTTCACACTTTTCCACAAGCTCGGCCCAATTTAAGCTAAGCCACCATCAAAAATAATTTTCTTTTATTCAGCCCGACTTCTCAGACCATACCAAATGGCCCAACTATACGTTGATTCAAAATATCTACTTTTTAACACGTTACATATGTTTTTCGATACAATACCTGGTGAGGCAATTAGGCAGTTCTAAAAGCTTAATGCATGCATAGAGATTTAGAATAGAAGACCTCCCAAAAACAAGTTGTCTCAAAAATTTGAGCCCTTGGAGAATGAACTCAGTGTATATGATCAAGCTGCAACATTTCTATGATCCGAATCAACATTAGATTCAGGATCATTGCATGTGTTCTCTTGAGTTAATTCTGATTTGACACTGATGATCATCTATATATATATATATATATATATATATGAGATGATGTAAGTGTATCTATGAAAACACACTTTGTCTAATATTATATGAAATTAATTAATTTATTGTAGCCATAACCACAAATCTGGTTGATTTTGTGATCCGAGGAGATCAAGTTCATTTAGGCATCGGATAGAGTCACTGAGTAAATGACTTATTATAACTAGGTTCATTTGTTCTACATCGAAATCAGATGGAAAAGTGATTGGGTATAAATGGGTGGATATACAGTACTACCCAATTGTTCGAGTTTTTAGATAAATGGGTAAGTACCCACCTGTTACAGTTGGTATCAGAACTAAACCCATTACTTGATCTGGTGTCACGTTAAACGTCCGGCCCGGAAGACATCCGGGTGAGCACCCCGAGTAAGTAGGGTGGCCTGAGCCGCAACGAAGGCACTACCCAATAATTCGAACTTTTGAATAAATAAACAAGTGTTCACCCGTTACACTTATCCAATACCATATTACCCCATTTAATTTAATTAGTTATATATGCTTTCAGAATTCCTTTCCAGGAATTGGGTGCCCACACGGGCCACACATAACATATGCACACACACTCTCTGTATGTGTGTGTGAGTGGGCCCTTTTGACATTGAGCAAAATGTCTTGTAGCTGAAAGGCCATGGCCCTAGGATTTTGAAGACCGATCTGAAAAACATACTGCAATTGGACACACCTTGTAATACTGACACCAAGAATGATAATATTTTCATACTGTCTCCATCCATGTCTCTACCACCAACATCTCTACAAGAGTGATCCCTAAACAACATACGTAGCCTATCTCATCATCGATCGTATATATATATGTGTGTGTGTGTTTTCTTTTCTTTTATTTTTTCTATGTAACAAATTATGTGCTTATATAATTGCTACAACTTTCTTACAGTAGTATATGTATGTATGTATCAATTTTTCTCATGTTTTTATTATATGTGGGATATTGTCAAATTGTAGAAGAGGTATGTAAAATTTATCTATTTTTTTTTAATAGAGATTAATGATAAAGAGTTTCAGTGGTGGAGTTCACCGTTGACATCGTCCTAATTTTAATAGTGAGGGTTCATGAATTCGACTCTAAATGATATTTCTTTCCAAATGTTTAAGTTTGCAGAAAAATACTCAAATTATATGTGCCCCTTTCCCCCTCCCAATTTTTTTTTTTTTTTTTTTTTTCCAAAACCTTTGTTGAAGGGTTACCTATTTATGTCACAAAGGAAATACTCAACGCTTTGCAATCTCATAAAGGTTGCCTATTTTTATTTCTATATCAGTTTTAGTTTGTATACGCCGATCCTTTTCTTTCATGAATATGCTCTAATCATACTAGTACTCTTATAATTATTGAATTGCAAGTTGTAAAGAACAATCATTTTAGTTATTTTATAATTTTATAGATATTAATTTCATATTCCTATGTTCTTAAATGAATATTTGTAGCTCTGTCCCACTCTTTACGTCCAAATGAAATTTCAATATATTTTGATAGTTTGCTGTCATGCAAATTAATAAAAAATTATCTAATTATATTTAAAAATATGTTCGGAAAGTGAAAAAAATAATTACTTTACATATTGGAAAAAAGAAAGAAAGAAAAAAAAAAAAAAGTGGTGAAACAAAACGATTCTAGTGAGCCTAAAATCAATGATGGCCTCAATGGACAAATGAGCCGACATAAACCCTATGGAACGATCTCAACAGTAAATAAGTACAAAGAATATTATTATGCAAATGCGTTTATGTGATCATCTGCGCGGCGCTGTCACATATATATAACTCGATCGAATCTCACTCTACTAGCTACTGGGGTTGGGGTTTATATATATATATATATATATATATATATATGTGGATATTGGATAGAGAGAAGTTTCTTTCGTACTTTTACTGCTTTGGTCTAGATCTCGTGCTTCTTGGTTACTAAATTAGGTAATTTGTGTTTTTAAGGAAAACCTTCTTTTTTTTTTTTTTCTCTATTTTCTTTATTTATTAATTATTATTATTTTTGCTTGGCATTAATTTTGTCTATTCCCTCGGTCCTTAACCCCCTTTTTTTTTTAATTTAATTTAATTTTTTTTTTAGATGACGTGGAAATCCTCGCAATCACCTACCATTTGAACTTGTAGCTACTGAGTAAACCTCAGGCTGCCGATACCAACCCCACATTATAAATAGCACCCTAAGCCCATAACCCATCTTGTTATTATGAAAACATGAAAAAGATTGTGATGGTCATTTATTGTAAAGAAAATAATACTGTAATCAAGAACTACGAGTAAACTTGCAGAGCTCCCCTTTCAGCATTTTATCTTCTCATAGTGCATCATTTTTCACATTTTAAATTCGATCGAATTCCATTCATTATCCTATTTGATTTGATTTGATTTATTATCAATTAGATCTAGAGAGTGAACTAGGGTATATATAATAAATTGAATAGCAATGATGTTTCTATTTTGGGACGGAAAGAGCAGGTAGGTTATGCTATTCTAAGTGAATAACTAAGTCAAAATACTTGACGGAATTTACTTACATTCCACTTTAATATAAATGAAGCTATAAATGATTGTTCATATTATTATTTTTATTTTCGAATTAATTCTTAACTTAAATGGTACATGTGTGTTGTGGGGCTGATATATGTATTATAAGAAAAAAGAAAAAATTTTAAAATTATTATTAGCTTTGAAAATAATTTTTTAATAAATTAAAAAATATATATATATATAGTTAAAAAAATATAAGGCTTGGGTTGATTGAAAAAGTGTGGGGAAGGGGTGGAGGTGGTGCACTGTCCCTTTGCCTGCACAAGCATTAAATGCCTTTTGGCAACACTCAAGGGAAAGAGGTGTTCCCATGCATGCAAATCTATCCCATACATTTCTTCTCGTCTGCACAACGCAATGCCCACATACACCTTCTCATCACAAATCCAAATTTATATACTAACATTTAGTATATATCAAGAAATTATAGAGTGCTCTTCAACAGCATAATGTGGTGGTATATATATATGCCCTCCAAGTAAGCCCACTGAATCAACGGCCAAGATGCATTTTGCTAGGTTTTTTGCACCACAACACTGAAATCATGCATGCTTCTAGGTGTTCTCGTGATTAGTACCATAAATAAAACAAATCAAGACCTTGGTGTACGATCATCTTACTCTTTGACATGATTTATACAATATTGTATGTATGTATATATATGCAAGGCGAATTCAGAGAGTGAATTTTGGTGGGCTCAAGTCTATTTCAAAAATAAAAAAATAATTTTTTTATTACTATAGCTAATTTTAATCCAATAATGTATACATATATATATATATATATTATTACTAGTATTATATATGTACCTTATCTTGTCACTTTTATTAGTCATATTATTGATGAGTTACGCAGGGGGGTACGGTGGGGTTGAAATTTTTGCAGATAGGATTGTCATATGGGTTCGTGTGGTTGCATTCTACTCTTCTCCTTTTGGTTAATTTGTCTTTTTTAACTTGTTTTGTTTGGGTGTCATCAAGTCACGTGAATGCCTTCTACGTCTCAACTTGAGTTTTGGTCGACTGCTCTCCTCACTCCCCCTTAATTTTCAGCCCCCTCTACCCTAGCTTAATTACTACTCTCTCTTCACTTCCCTTTCTCGTCCCCATATCACACCTCTCTCTCTCTCTCTCTCTCTCTCACACACACACACACACAGATCATGAATGAAGATCAACACCATCCAAACCTTCAAGCTTCTTCATCTTCTTCTTTCTCTTACCATATTTTCTTCCAATCAACTCAAGATCAAAGTGGATATTATCATCCCGAGCTAAAACAGCAACAAGAGGTGTGTGTGTGTGTGTATATATATATATGAATATATGATCACTTCACTTGGATGATCACCTTCTTTTCTTTAATAGTTTCAGCACAATTATAATATTATCTGATCTCATCATCACTACTTTTCTTGATCATAGGTTAACAATCTAGCTGCGCATGAGGTCTCATATGATGATGTAGAGAACGAGAGTGACAGTTGTCTCAAATTATCTTTATGGAAGAAGGAATACACAAATGAAAATCAAATTAGTGAGAACAATATTTCAGTCAAGTGGATGTCTTCAAAAATGAGGTTGATGCAGAAGATGAAGAACTCGGATCGGACACTCAACTTTCAAGATCAGAAGCAACCATCATCTCCTATAGAAACTGAGAACAGCAGCAACAGTTCCTCTAACAATAGCAACATCCCAGTTAGGGTTTGTGCCGATTGTAACACAACAAAAACCCCTCTTTGGAGAAGTGGCCCTAGAGGTCCTAAGGTAATACATGTCTTCTCTATCTCCAAATCAATATATATATATATATATAGTAACACAGAACGCATGTTATGATCTCTCTTACCTAAAGGAGAGAGAGTTCGAGGTATGTTGTGGGTATGAGTGTATGTGTTTGCTTTAACTTACGATAAAAAATAATAATAAAAAAATAATAATAATAATAAAAAAAAAAGACATTTTAAATATATGTACCATTTCTGTGCAGTCACTTTGCAACGCATGTGGGATCCGGCAAAGGAAGGCGAGAAGGGCTATGGCGGTGGCGGCAGCAGCAGCAGCAGCAAATGGGACATTTGTTGCAACTGAGAGTAGTTCATCAATGAAGACTAAAGTGCATCACAAAGACAATAGATCAAACAAGGGACATGTTTCCCACTACAAGAAGCGGTCCAAACTCGGCATCTCATCAGATCATGCTAGAAAAAAGCTTTGCTTTGAGGATTTCTTGATAAGTGTGAGTAAGAATTTGGCTTTTCACAGTGTTTTCCCTCAAGACGAGAAGGAAGCTGCGATCCTTCTAATGGCTTTATCTTGTGGCATTGTTCGTGATTGATCACTACTTTTTCATATCCCTCAATTCCATGCTTCTTAATTAATTTAGTAGGACTAGCTAGAGCATATTTATTTGTGTGAGACTCAGACTAGTTGAGTCTGATCGTAGATCAATCAGTAAGAGTACTATTCAAATCTTGTGAGCAACCATGCAAAAATAAAGTGAAAAACACAAATAAATTTGTATGATGGACTCATGAGCTAGGTCGTGGAGGATTAATTTGAACAGGTCGATAACCAAAGTTGGATTTCTTGTTCATCTATCTCTGATAAGGATATCGAGTTTAATAAAGTATTAGATGATTATATAATGCATGTCTCTTATAGTAATCACATATTTTTATGGTACTGATTCTGATGTGTTAGTGTTCTTCATTTCAATAAATTCAGGAAGAGTCCCACCATATTAATTATATGTATGATTAATGTATATATATGTGCGTGTATATATATGTGGTTGTTATCAAATTATTTCACTCGATCAATGTATGGAATATAATTGTTTCCACCAAACATTCCAACTCACAAGCATGATCTAAATAAAATCGAATGGTGCAGATTTGATGACAAACTTTGGCACAACTTAAAAGCAGCTCAGTGATATTTTCATCGATATATTGGGAGTGCATGTAAAGTTGCAGGCACTTTAGAGATCATGAGGTGACAAATTATAAATAAGAAAAGGGGACCAATTAATTAATAACACACTGTAATTAAGATAGCCCTAGCTAACTGGCTCATCAATATCATGATGGTGAAGATTCACACAGTGTAACAGCTTTTTGATCATGAGGCCGGACTGAGAAGTCGCCTAGAGAAAGGTACTGGTCGTGTCACAGACATTGCCTGGATTTGAATTTTCAAGGGTCAGGGTGAGTCAGGAAACTTATGTATGTATGTGCATGTGTAGAACAACTGGACCTCCACATCCATTAAAGACTATATTAATTCGTTTGGTGAAGCTGCCAGATGAAGATTCAGAAGGTCAATGGCACATATAATGATCAATGGGACACTCAAAAAGTATTAAAGTTTGATTCTAAGTTTTATCATCTTAATATCCGGCTTTCAAAAGGGATTTGAGTTAATTCCTACAAAATTCATGAACGGGCTTATCATTTTGCACCGTTAATTTCAGAACAAATATATGGCTATGCATTTTGATATATATATATATATATATATATATATATATATATATTTAAAAATCTATATATCCTTAAAATTCAAAGCCACATCAATAGTTTAAATGAGATTTCTTTTCACCAAGGAGGGAGGAGGCAAGCATTTTTCGTATAAGGACAAACTAAATACATTAATTAATGATATAATATATAGTACATGCTTGAACTGTTGAAGAACTGTCAACCCTGATCCAATTTATTTCGGTGTCTGTATACATTGACTATATGTATATAATAATAGGAACAATTACAAATTAGCTGCAGTAAACTCTACTGTGCCACTGTCGGTGGTTTGGAACTTAATTGGGGGAATTAACAAGATTAGGTTGGACTATAAAGAAGAAGAGAACACTGAGAATGTAACCCTTCAGTGAATTTATCTGCTAATTAATTGATCGGTGGGGCAGACATATATAATTTAATCAGCCCTTTAATGATTGAATTTATTTATTTATTGTTTTTAACACTTCAATGATTGAAATGAACAAACAAACAACATGAAGAGACTTCAATATTGTTTTTGGTCTTGCATGGAAAACCAAGTGCAATTAATGTCACTTAGGATTTACTATTATGCATCATTTTTTTGTCATGCTATAAACTTGACGCTAATAACACAGAGGGTGAAAAAAAGAAAAAAAGAAAAAAAAAAGAAAAGGTAAATAATTATATATAGTTAAAGTGAAAATATAAGGACGTGTTTGGATTGTAATTCTGAAAATCAAGAATTCAGAAATTAAAGAGAAAACTGCTTTCAAAAAGCATGCAGTTTTCATAAAATAATTTAAAAAAAACTGAACTAAACATATTTTTTTTTATGAATTTTTATTTTGAATTATTTGAAAATAAAAAATTATTTTTAAAGTTACAAACTAAGAAGGATCTAAGTTAACAAGAGTGACTTTCTAGTAAATTCTGCATGCAAAGAGCAATTGGCATACTATCATAAGATTGAAATTCTGCCTTCGAAACCCCTAACCTCATTGTCCCCTAAATTGTTTCATCCCCCATCCCCCCTTGTCCGTGGCGTCCAGATCTACCAATGCCTCTCTTTCGTCTTCTCCACCGTAGAATGAACAGAGAGCAATGGTGGCTTGTTAGGTTAGGGTAAAAGAGGAAAAACAAACACAAGAGTAAGGGAGGGATATATAGAAAATGGTTTCATATGGATTCTACAGGTAGACTATTTGAACATGCATGTATGATCTATCTTTTTTTTTTTTTGAACATGTGTCAATTTCTCATAAAGCCGCGTCAACCTGCAGGACCCAGCATTGTTCAATCTCAATATACGTACTTGAGGAGAATTTGACTATAAAATGTCATAAAAGGAGACAAATAAATGTAGTTTGACCGACAAAAAGTAAAAAAATATATAAAAAAAAAAATCAATCAATTCTATTCTTTTGATTCTTGTTCAAGCGGATTAGAAATTTTTTTTGATTTTTCAGAAGGAGATGATTCACGTTTTGTGAATAGTCGGCACATTATGAAATATTAAAAAAACATTTTGGGAATAGGGGTGGGGAGGGGGGATTGGAGCAATTGAAATTTTATTAGAAAATGAAGAATATATCATTAGCCATCATTAGCCCTACAATGACACCAAATAGGAACGACCCAAGAATTTCCCTTATATCATTAATTAAGAAAATGCTAATGCTTTGAACAAAAAAAAAAAAAAAAAATTAAAATTTCTATTTCTATACTATTTTTCAAATATATATATAGCATGCATAGTTGATTCTTATGATACAAATGCTAACACCTTTTACTAAATAATTTTAGTTAAAAATAATAATTAAAATTCATAACATGTCTATCACTTGTATTCTCAAGAAGAGTTGGCATCCTCATCATATAATAGACAACTACATTCCATCACGAAGCATTCAACCTATCCAATAAGAGCGTCAGATCATTTTAAGAGTTTTTTTCCTTCACATTATTTTTAAAAAATTATGTGAAAGGTAAGGGTGACAATTCGTGTTCGTGGATTAATTATAATTATGTCGTGTCGATGTAAGAATATTATACTAAACAGATAAATCCAAACTCAACCCATTTAATAATCGTGTCAATAACCCTCAATATTAGCCTAATCCGTTTATTAAACGGGTAAATGCATTAATCCATTTAATGACCTATTTATTAAAACAAGACCGTTAATATTTAATCAAATAATAAATAAATAAATAAATTGTCACAATTAATTCAAATATTCATAATCTGTTTATTAAATAGGTAAATGCATTAATCCATTTAATGACCTATTTATTAAAACAAGACCATTAATATTTGATTAAATAATAAATAAATAAATAAATTGTCACAATTAATTCAAATATTCAAAATAAGAAGAAATAGACGAAATTTATGTTGAAATGACTTATCTATCCATAATAATTGAGTTTAAATAGATAACATATTATAGATTATATTTACTATTATAATATGTTGAGTTAAACGGGTTATACGGGTTGAACTCATTTACCTTAATCCGATACGATTAAGTAAATGGATTAATTTTATCAATCCATTTATGATTCGAATCTGTTTAAAGTTAATTTAAATCCATTTATTTTATTTCGTGTTCTGAGTAATTTATCACCCCTAATGAAAAGGTACTCAAACACGAGTATACCATTTCGAGACTTAAGCAACCCATTCGGTAATACCAGCTTTTAGAATTTTCATCATGCCTTTAACAGGAAAAATGTCATAATTCAAGGAAGGCATTTAATTTATATCCTCTTCCGAAAGAAGAGGAAAATAATATATTAAGAGGTAAAAGAGGGGGGCTAGTAATAAAGAGAGGCGTTTAATAACATAACAGCACACCATGGTGCCAAACCCAAATCAGATGGAGACATCTCTCCCTCCACCTCACCCCCTTCCTCCGAAGGAATCGCTCGTTCAACGTTACAAATTTGTTTGGCGTCTTCTTCTCATTTCAAATCTTGCTCTCGGAGGTACTCCCCCCCCCCCCCCCCCTCTTTCTCTCTCTCTCTCTCTCTCTCTCTCTCTATATATATATATATATATATAATATCGTATAATGTTATGAACTGCCCTAGGGTTTTAAATTGTAAGTTCGAATGAGTATTGACTAATCCGCTTTTCACGGAAGTGAGAAGATTGATTGACTTGAAATTAACTTAGGTTCTTTATTTGCATTTTAGTCTGATGTTGTTTGCAATTTGGCATATAATGTGTTTGATATTTTGACTCTGAGATAGGTTTTAGCTGGTTTTTAAAGCAGCGATGGAGACATATAATTTTAAATGATGTGTTGAGTGCGTGGTGAGTTCGTCCATGGTCCCTTAGTGGGGTGAGAAGCAACGATATGAAAACAGATGGATTGTGGCATTAAAAGAAGTTGCATTTCAATATCATTTAATCATTGTGTTATTAATAAGCTCTGTTAAAGAAGAATTTGCATAGCATTATATATATATATATATAACATCTGTGCCATTGATTATTACTTATCAAAAAAAAATCTGTGCCTTTGGCGCAATTTTGAGCCTCGAAGCAGTCACTTTGACAAATACCAAAAGTTAGGTTTGTCTCGAGTCCTCCCTCCCTAGGACCCTTTCATGGCAGGACCAGAACTGGGCAATGCCCTCTTCATATGAAGCTTGTGGTATGGGTTGTTGCTCATTTCTTTTTTAAGTGGAAGTTTGAGGCTTCCTTGGTTCTTGATTTCTAACAGAAGCTTGTCAGAGTTTTTTTCTTAAGTCTTTTTTTTTTTTTTTTTTTCGATGATGGTGGTGTCCAGTCTCTTACAGCACCTCACATTCCATCACCACACTCATACAGTACCCTCGTTCCACAAGTATGGGGAATTACCGGAAAATTACTTGTGGGCCCCCCTTAAGGAGATTCTAACTCTCAACTGCCAAGATTTTATGTGAGAGTCTTGTCATTAAACTATTGGGATTGAATCTTGTCAAGTTTTTGTTTTAATATTTTTGTTAATAACTTGTTTGTGGTTGACTTGATCCCAGTTATTGACCTGTTTTATAATATGTTTGTCTTGGCCTTCCTTTTTGTAATAAATGTTAGTTTCCTATAGTACATTTCCGGAGTATTTTTCAAGAATCATGTTGTTTCTTCAATAATGTGGATTTGGATTTTGATGGTTTGGGTTGATTAGGGTATGGTGGTGGGAGAGAGGATCAGGGATAGTTGAGATGATAGAACTTCAAATTCAACTGGAAACTACATGGTATTTGTAGAATTCAGATGCATGGTAAGTTGGTAACTAAAAAATTTCTTTCAACCAAATGAAGTTTTTCAATTTATTTGCAACCCCCCCTCTCTATTAAAAAAATAAAAATTAAACAACCATTTCTAGGCGTTTTATTGATATGCGCGAATAGTATATTTGACAGTATATTCTAGAAAATGGGCTAGTCTGTGTTTAAGTAACTTGTGAGTTAAGATGTCTGATCTATGTCTGATATAGAACTTGGTGCAGCGTAAAGATGATTATTGTTAGTTATGACACTCAAAATTTGGGGAAGATGCTTACTGGCACCCCCTTCAATTTCAGATCCTTGCTGGCATATATTTACAATCAAGTAGATATTAATAAATGATGACAGAGATTTACCCAAAAAGGAAAAGAAGAAGAAGAAGAAGAGAGAGAGAGAGAGAGATGACAGAGGTTTTGATGCATTCGTAGAAGTATCAAAATAAAACTGAAGGTCTTAATTTTGATTTGTAAGAAATATACACACGGCACTTACCAAATTTTTACTTCTTTTGCTAGGCAAGGAACTCTATAGACCAACATAGGAAGGTCAAGCTGAGGACAGATAACTCCTCAAACTTTCTGAACCTGACAATCGTACAACTCAATAAAAACACTATACAATTTATTTATTAGTATACTTTAAGCAACACCCTGCAACTTTTGCTTTGGACCACTTGATGTTGTTTTTCAAACATACAAGTTCTAGCAAGAGTTTTTGAACTGAAGAATAAAATCAATATTGCACTGACCCAACACAATTGGAAACTCTTTTATTTTTTGTTTAACGGATATTTATATCGATTTGCCATCCAAGCTGGCTGTCAATATGCTGATTATTGTTCCGAATCTGCAGATTGTTGCTGCAGTATTTTTGAAATTGTTAAATGTATGATCTGTTGTACCAAAACCTGAGTTAATTTTCTTGTAATGTCTGCGGACAAAGGTGCAATGTGTGCCATACTGCCCTTCTCCCCAACAGAAAGCTTAACAATTTTTTTGCGTCTTTGAATCCCAAACAGGTAGACCCTCTAATATAAAGTGTGGGTTGTTTCGTAGAAGAAATTGACTGTAGGAGAATCAGAAGAAGATTGCTGAACTTTTATTTATTTAGGTAAATGCCGTAAATAGTTGCAATTTTATTGCCAGTATTATATTAGCAGTTTTGAGTTGAAAGATCGTTCGCATTTTAAATTATAGATGACTGTATATGAAATCCTTAATTGTAAGTTTTCCCTCTTATTTGACCATTATTTTTTATTTTTTATAATTTTCTTTCTATTGTTGAACACCTACCGTCGCAACGGATGCATGCATTGATACTCTCTCTCTCTCTTTTATTTTTTGGTGGACAAGCAAGAGTATATTTGCCGACAAGAAGAGATGGATAGATAGATATATAGATAGGTTTATATATGTGTGGGGTGTGTGTATATTTAGAGAGAGAGATCAACATTGACCCAAGGAAAGTATGCTCTTTTTAGAACTTTTTCTACTGGAAATATTTGCATCTTCAGTTCAATCATGGCTGTTTCTTTCCCCTTCATTGGTTTCTATTCATCATGTTTTGGATGTCATGAATTGCCTCAGAATTGTGAAGCCTTGAATTCAAGCTTTTTGACCCGCAAGATGTCTTTATATTATGAATCTTAAGGCAACTAACTAGCCTCTATCTGATGTTTTGCAGCTTATATGTTCGCGAAGGCAAGAAAGAAAGATACGGGCACACATGATAACAGAGCTGCTGCTAAAGTTTCCTCTGCTCCAATTGTGACTACAACTACTCCAATTCCTGAGGAACCAGTCCTCTCTCCTCCAATTACAGAGCCTGTAAAGGTGCGCGAACCCATTCCTGAAGATCAACAGCGTGAACTTCTCAAGTGGATATTGGAAGAGAAAAGGAAGGTCAAACCCAAGGATCTTCAAGAGAAGAAGCGAATTGACGAAGAGAAGGCTATTCTTAAACAATTTATTCGTGCAGAATCTATCCCAAGTCTTTGATGTTCCTTTTGTTCCTCACAGAAGGAATGCTGGGCAGGCTCCCAATTCAACTGGTGCTCCTTCAAAGTCAATTATTCAAATGTTGCGTGTCACTGGTTTCACCTGCCTTTTCATTGTCTCGGGTTTGGCTTTATATTTGGACCTGACTTGTACATCTCCTGTTACTCTCTAGCTCGCATCCTTTTATTTTTTGGCCATTTATGTGAATCTTATAATTCCTAGAAAATGAAGGATCAAGAAGAAGAATACAAACGGCCCTCCGCTGAGGAGATTTTAGATATTATGGATATCCATGGGATTTTTTATTTTTTTATTTTTTATTTATAGTGGAAATCATTTGCTTTGCTTCCTCTTTCAGTAATTTTGCATTAACTATGTATTTTGACCCTTTTGTACAATGGTTACTGTTAGCAATTGTCACAATAGCCTCTTCTGTAGACTTTTGGTTTAGAGAGGCAATTATCTAATTTCACGCAATTGAGAAGAAAGGGTGAAAATGGTCAAATTGAGGACAGCGGACCTTAAATGGGTCACGCAGGCCAAAAATTGGGCCTTAATCAGTCCATGGTCTTTAAGACAGTGGGGTGTGATGTGATTCACCCAAATAACTAGTTTGGCCTGACCAGATAAAGCCTAATTGTTCAGACCAGACAGATCGAGATATTGGGCCTTTTATTTATTTATTTATTTATTTTTGTATTACTAGTTTAAATGACAAGAGAGACAAAAATAGAGATTTGACCACCAAGCGTTTGAGGTGGTTGATTAATAGTTTGGAGGTTGATGGACCCCACATCATATAGCACCCCTCTCCACAGTCCAACCACATCCACACTCTGCTATCTAATCCAATCTCTCAGTTTTATCTCAGGCACCATTCGCAAAGTCCAAAACTCTGAAGTTGCTTGCACCAATACATACAAATTGAAAAAATCAAACCGATTTTTAGCTGGTGGTTCAATCTTTTTCTTCTCCTCAATGCCAGGAACCATTCTAGTTTCAGGTATGCAAAAGTCTAATTTCAGTAACTGTATTTCAAATATAGCAATCAACTCTATACGTGTGTGTGTATTGATGCAGTCCTGGATTTTGAAGGCATAACATTCCCATCTTCATCACCCCCTTCATCAATGTCCATAAAGGGTAGGCAGATTTGAACTTATTGCCTCTTTATATTACAAAGCCAAAGAAAAATGATATTCTTTGATGTTTACATGTTTTTGAATTTCACTAAGATTTATCTTTGCATGATTCAGTTTCCATAGGGAAAAGCGAGTATCAAACTTGGGACAAGGGGGACTTCTCTTTGTAATGACTTTAGATTTTCATCTTCATTTGAAATTTTCTTCTCTATAATTATCTAAACTCATGGTGATGGATTGTCAAATTTGTGTTGATCTTATTACAGCCCATTAACAACCCTTCGCGATAATTTGGTTGTTATACTTCAAGATATTGAGGGAAATGAAATATCACAAACAGGTCAATCATCACACGTCCAATTTGAACTCTTTATTTATAATGTGTGTGCTTGTATTCCTTTTCCGGGAGAGAGGCTGATGGGGAAGATTCTCTTTCTGGCAGTTGTTAAAATCATGTCTATCGTTGAAAGAGGTGTCTGGGATGACTTATTCCCCTTCCAAGGAGGTGGGTATGTACATATGAAGTTGCAGTTCACCCTTAGTGAAGTTGAGCGCAATAGAATCCGCAACATGGTAATGTTAACTCACTACTATTTTCCCTCCTTTTATCTATTTATGCTGTCACTTTGCCATGACTTTGGCTTTACCATAATTCACAAATCATTTGACTGTTAAAACAACAACTAGATCCTCCATATTTTATCAGAATATGCTCCGAATAAAGCAAATTTTTTTGGGTCTTATTTCAATTTCCTATGCTGTTCCTACACAGGAAGCCAGGAATGTCTGTACATAAAATCTGTTTCCTGAAACATCTTAGAATGAATTTTGCACTAAATACGGGGGCGAAGCCAATTAAGGCCTGGGGCACATGCCCCCTGACCTAGTCCCGCCCAATAGAATGTATATATATATATATATATATAGTTAATTTATATTTTTTTTTTAGTATTTATGAAAAATTATATATCGTGCCCCCCTAAATTTTTAATTTCTAAAATTATTCTAACTTTTTCTTTCTTCTTGTTCTTTAAAAAAAAAAGTCAAATTTCTTAAAAAAAAAGTCAAATTTCCCTTTTTGAATCATACTCTAATTTTTATCCTTTCAAATATATATCAATTTCCTTTCCTTTTTTCTACTTAAAATTCTTCTTTTTGCGTGTTATATCAATGTTAGTTGACTAAATAAACAGCTTATCAGTGTATTAGGAAGGTCCTTTTAGCCAATTGGTCCTTATTTTTTTCTCCTTCCGTTACAACTGGTTCAGCAGGATCTGCTTTAGGTTCTGTCTCAAAGTATACATATTAGATGATTAAAAAAATTTGTCCACATTGTTGTTTTTGTATTTCCCAATTTCTTGTTGGACCATACATATTAATTCTTGAATTTGTTTTCAGAGGGAAACTGTAGTGAAAAAGAAACAGGTGGAGCTCCTCAATAGCAGTGCTAGACTTTCAGAGACTGCCAGTACTGCTGGTATTAGTGCAGCATCATCTTCATTCCCCGTTAATGAAATCTCAGGTTTGATCTTTGTATCCGTTACAAGAGAAAAAGAAAATAAAATAAAAGAAAAATGAATCAATAACGGCACAAGATTGTTGTTGATGTATTTGTACCTTTGCAAATTTTCTGTAAGGAATTTTTCTTGATGTTCCGAGTGCTGTGTCTTCTCAAGATTCACATAAAAACTTTTTTCGTAGTGAAGCGATGAGCAATCTAGAAGTACCCACTCAAGTCGATCGGCCATCAAAGCGTGCTACTTTCTTCAAGGATCCACCATCCGAAGCTGGTAACAAAGAACAAACTCTTTATCAAAAAACAACCCCAGTTAAGGATTAATCCCATTGCCACAATTTTCATTTCACCAAAATAAATAAATAAATGAAAGGATAACTTAAGCTTTTCTAACAGTCAATTTACCTGTTTTAGAAAGATAGAGACAGAAGGGAAGACATTTCATCCACAACTCCCATGTCACAAGGGGTTGAAGTACACAAGGAGTTGGTTCAGAAGATTCAGACTCTGTTGCCGCATGGTAATGTTCCCTCGAATCCCTCAGAACCTATTTCTTCACAACAGACTTCATCTAAGTTAGGATGCTTAAATCCAGATGTTGCTGTGAAGAAATATTCTGTGTCTCCCGACCTGCAAGATGATCTAGCTGATAAACCTGAGAAGCAGGGTGCATTGGAGAAAACTCCTAGCAATGTAAGGAAGATGATAAGTGCCTTTGAAAGTACTCTAGCTCAGGTACTTGTAATGTGATGCTATAAAGAGTTCTTCATGTCCTGTTGCAAGTAATATACTTCTTTTTCATTTATGTAATATTTGACAATATTGAGTGGAAGCAGGATATGCGACCTCGTACTAAATCACCAGCAACAAAATCTCAATTGAACAAAGTAGGAAAAGAAGGTCCTCTGAAGGATCAATTTTTAAAGGATGTCAGGAGTTCAGCACAGTTGAGTTCAGGAAGGCTCAAGAATCCTTTTCTTACAGGGGAGTTGCAACAAAATCTGACAAATATTGCGAGAAAAGGAGAGTATATAGGACATGATAGATATTTAGGTGGGACTAAATCACTTCTGAGTGCTAGGGAGTTGAAGGAATTGAGCACCACACAAATACAATCAAAAGATAGAAGTTCAACTCCAAAGGGTAAATTCAAAGCAGTACATGAAGAAATGGCTACAAAAGAAGAAAGAAAATCTCCAGTAAACATGGTGAGGACATTTGCTGCTGATACAGCTACAGTTTCAGGAAGAATATACAATGAGCATTCTAGTAGACACCAAAATTCTGATTTGTTCACTGATCTGCGAGATTCTGGTAGCCCTTCTGCTGGGATCAGAAGACAAATTCACTCAAAAGTTTCACATGATATTAATATTCGAGGAGCTTCAAATGATGAATTGAAATCAGTAGAATATTGTGGCAATGATCATTACTTCTTTGAAAGCTCTGGCGCCTGGATATTCGCAGATGACACAAGACACTTGTGCATAACAACTGGAGGTAAAAGGGCAATGAATTTGATGGGAGGCTGCCATGTTGAAGCCAAAACCCATCAAGGAAAGAAGAGTGATTATATACCAGAAAGTATAGGAAAGGTATCTTAATTTCTCAGTTGTCTAATTTGGTTTGCCGTTACATTGTTTGATAAGGTACTATACAAGCCTGTCAGGTTGTTGGTCTTCTGTGTTTATGTGAGAGATGCTATAAGATTATTTGTGAGTGAAGGCTTTAGTGTTATTATCATAATAATGTATTTCCATTGAAAATTGGAAATTTCAACCCCTAAGAAATGCATTTAGCCAATTGGATACAAGAATGCTAAAAGTTCGTTCAGCATACTGGAATATATTATAAATCGATTTATTTTTATTTCTTTGGTTGGGGGGCAACATATTTAAGTGTGGTATTGTGGAATTGAATTTCTTGTGTTTGAACAGGAAATCAGATAATAAAATAGTGTGTTAACATGATAATTTTCAGCATAATGTGCAACATAAAACTGATATTGAGGTGAAGAAAGGTGAGAAGACTTTTCACAATTTGAGAAATTCAAGCCCTGAGGATTCATCAGATGTTGCATCCACTGGACCTGTTAGACAGGTTACATTCTTCTTTTTTACTCTCCACATGCCATTTTATATCTTAAAGATATTTCTAAGAAAATAAAATAAAATAAATAGAATTCATATCATATAATCACAAGGATATTACAATTCAATCTGAGATATATTAGATTCCATCTTTTTTTATTAAGTGCTACTTGAAGCATTACTAATTTTGTTTCATTATTGTTTCTAAACCATAGGAAGGCACTATGTAAATTGCCATTGATTATTGGTGCTCCTTTTTTTCTTAACAGGCAATAAAAGTTGCAATCATGGTGGCCTTTGGAGCACTTGTTTTCCTTAATAGAGAAAGAAAACCCAGGCACGTCTGTTATTACCAGTTGAGATCCATTCATTTCAATTTTATTAGTTTGCATAATTGCATGCCAGTCTAAGGCTGTCTGAATCCTCCAACACTGAATAAAATTAACCCCGTCTTGAGAAGGAACATTTTCAAAATCATTTGATTTTTTTTTTTTTTTTTTTAAACTTTGAATCATTTTTTCATTTCTAAATTTGTTCAAAGTCGTTTGCTTTTCATTTGATGCAAATGTAGTGCCATTTTCCTGCTTGTAATGCATGACCTCATCAAAAAAATCAAAAGTTTCCCATAAATTGGTATTAGTAACACTGTAATTGTATTGCAGTGCAAGTGTCTCCAGAAACTCAGATAATATTTACAAAGTTATTGTTTTCTAAACTGCTACAACCACAAGATAGGATTATCCTACAATCAAAAAGTACGATCAAACTGTGCTGCGAGGTACAAACGCTAAGGGCAAATATGCACAGTGCAATACCTAGAACGGAATCAAGGTGTTGTATACTTGGAACCTGGAAAACCTGAAACTCCTTGTAGTCATACTGATACATCCCTTGATTCACATTTAATAACGATCATTATGCTTGTTATTATAGTTATTATTACATTTGGTGCCCACTTCTTTATCTGTTTGTTTTTCCTTTTCTTTTGGTGACAGAAAAAGCAACACAAAAGAAAACATTCCTTTTTTCGACATCTCAGATTATATGGATCAATGAACATTGACTAAAAGGAGGTGCCATTCAAAGCAAAGGATGATTGATAGATTGAATTTGTCATAGCCTGCTTGGGGATGCTCCATTGGTACTTTCTTATAGACATATGTTGTCAGGTTGCCTTTTCGTGGAACTGTAGATACAAATGCTGGTGCAGAAACAGTCGGTCATTCCTGAGGGATGAAAACTACGTGAATTTATCATTTATTTTGTATTTATCAATAATTTCCCCATCAATGGTGATAAAATGTGGACAAACAGGCCTTTCTGGTTACTGATTTGGATTATTTTATTATGGCTATGGGTCCTGATGTAAATTCAATAATTCACTGAATAATTATTGGTTCTGATTTAACATTGTTCTCTTCAGAACCTTGAATGAGCAGTATCAATCCTAACAGTCAAGTGGAAAACAGCAATCAGGGTCTTATTTCTTGAATCGATGCTGAATTTTTATTGATTGTTTATGGTGGCAAGGTGATCTCATTGAAGGTTATGATTTTTTTTTAAAAGCATATCAGGTTGAATGTAACACTCTCAATAACATAGATAAGAAACTATAGTAATGCTATTTTATCATCTTGAATCCAGTTGAATTCAGATTTGTCAAGCTGGAGTATGTCTTGTGAAAAGTAGAATTTATATAGCAATGTTTTATATATGTTGCAATATTATTATTTTATACTGTTTTGTTATTTTTATCTATCACATATTAATATTAAAAACTATACTATTATTAAAAACACAAAGAGTTTCAGTAAGTCAATTTATTTCTTAATATATATTATAAATATTTTTTTTCATATTATAAATCTAATTAGATTTCTTTTCAATCGAAAAAAAAAAATACCTACAAAACTTTCGTTGAACTGGAACAGCATCAAGGCTCCAATCAAACCCAAGGTTTGTTAGTCACTTTGGGCTTGGACAGTTTCATTAATCTTACCCAACCTGGCCCAACCTTACCCTACTTGCCACTTGGCTGTTGGCCCTCACACCTTGCAGCGTTCACCGAATACCCAGCAAGGCAGCAAGGGTTAAACCTTAAAAACCCTAACTCCAGCCGAAGTACTTCTCTGTTTCACACTCTCTTTCTTCTTCATTTTCTTCAGCTCCAAACACGCACACGAGTAGCCAAAGATGGTTCGAAGTATCAAAAACCCTAAGAAGGCCAAACGAAAGAACAAGGTCCAACCTTCTTCTTCTTTTTCGTCATTTTTTTTCCAGTTAATTTGTTAGTTAAATTTGTTAATTAGGGTTTTTAATTTTTCTGATACAGGGTTCAAAGAATGGAGAAGGGTCTTCGTCTTCGATACCGTCATTGCCGGTGAAGGTATGGCAACCAGGTGTGGACAAATTGGAAGAAGGAGAGGAGCTTCAGTGTGATCCTTCTGCTTACAATTCTCTTCACGCCTTCCACGTTGGGTGGCCCTGTTTGAGGTCCTTTAATTACATTCATACACACACATACAGACACACACATGACACAACATATGAAATGATATAGTTTTTATTTGTTTATGTAATTGATTTATTGCAAATTGTGACAGCTTTGACGTGGTGCGTGATTCAATGGGGTTGGTTCGGACTGAGTTTCCGCATACGGTGTATTGCGTAGCAGGGACTCAGGTGAGTTTTATTGGGTTTTAGCTTTTGTATGCACTATTTTCCTTGGGTGGGTGGTAAATTTTGTTTTGATCAATTCTGTTTCATTATTGTGTGGTTAATTGACATTTGTTAATGGCCTATTGGATATATTTTGACTCAAAGTTACAGTTCTGATTATGTGAAAGTATAGTTTCTCTATGACTCTATGTCGACTTCAAAATTGATTTCTTTATTTTATTTTTTCTCCTGTTGAGCTTGTTCCAGGTATAAAGGGTTCTAATTCAGATATTAATGTATTTTTTATTTCTCTTTTCATACTCAATTTCGTCTTTTGCACCAAATTGCTGATTCTTTGATTCATATTCAACGCAGATGACCTGAATTTTTTTACTGCTATTATATTTTTTGGTGTAACCTATTTCATATATTCTTTTTATATTAAGGGAAAACCCCTTTTGGTTTTCTTGATGCGGCTTGGCATGCCTCTTTCTCAGTTAGTTCCATTTGGCATGTAGGAATTTTATGGGTAAAAACGACTAGGAAGGTTTCTTGTGAAATTAGTAAATGCTAATAAGAAATATTGTGATAAGGTAAAGAACACGTGCATAAATGCATAAAGCCATCCCCACTACCATTCCTAATTTCCTCAATATTATTTCCAGATTTTACGCAGAAATGGTCTTTTCCTTTTCTTTTCCCTCTAAGTAGGGCTGCAAATGAACCGAGCCGAGCCGAGTCGAGCTTTACGCTGCTAGGGCTCGGCTCGCCTAAGTCAGAGGGCTGCTTGGGCTTAGCTCAGGCTCGGCCAAGCTTGGCCTAGTCAGGCTTGAGCTCAGCTCGGGCTCGGGCTCATAGGTGTGAGTGTGTGTGTGTGTATATATATATATATATATATATATATACTATCAATCAAATGAATCGAGTAATCATCTTGGAATAGAAAAACGTCACCATCAGTAACATATTAAACAATCATCTTCTATATTCTTCGTAGTCTCCTTCACCAGCTTCAAATTCATCAATGACCCATATATCAGATTTATCAATAATATTATCAGACGAAATTAAGTTAGAGAGAGAAGGGGGACAGAGAGGGGGACAGACAGACCTAACCTCATGACGCCTTAGGAGTAGAAGACGGTCCCATGAGGAGTAGAAGGACGGTGCACTAGCATGATTTCCGTTGCCGATATGCCAGTGGGGTTGGAGAAGCACCCGTTGCAACGTCTTGCGGCTAGTTTTTAGGGTTTGGTTTTTTATCTAACCCTTGGATATTATAAGGGCAATCAAACAGCTGAGGTGAATCTATGATTTAGTTAGTGGCTACTTAATTAAATGGGCTTCTAAATGCCCAAATACTAATTTGGCCAATGTGAATATATAAAAATTTGGGCTGGATATGTATATGTGGGCTATTTTTAAAATATAATACAGAAATATATATATATAATTATATATATTTATATAAACGAGCCTGAAAATTGAGCTCAAGCACGGCTCGTTTACTAAACGAACAAGCCCAAGCCGAGCCCGAACCGTTCATGACCGGCTCGGTTCATTTGTAGCCCTACCTTTAAGTGGCCGGGTGAGTTAAATTCTAATTTATGACCAATATTAGTTTGTCAGGCACCTGGTTTTGACACAACTTTCCCACTAGAGGTATACATGCTAATTTATATTTTTAGTTAGCAGCAATTATCTGATGATATTACTGCCTACTTCATGAGAGGTTAAGATCTATCCCTTATAGAGAATAGGTTATATGTTTTAGATTCTTTAAGTTCTCTTGACAATAATATTATATCCTTTAAGTGTTAGAGTTTGTCATCATTACTGGAAACTTATTCTATTACAATTTTATGTAAATCAAACTGACTTGACTTGGTTTATCTTGCTTAACTGTTGCTGACGTCTTTAGGACTTGTCTGAGAGTGAATATCTGGTTCAGAAGATCCCTTTGATCTTCTTTGATTCGCAATTACACCCATTGTATTTTTGATAATATGAGTTTTTGTTTTACAGGCGGAGAAAGCTTCCTGGAATTCTATCGGGATCTTTAAAATTTCTAACATTTCTGGGAAAAGATGTGAACTAGTTCCTAAAACATCTGCTGCTGATGACACTGATGTAGATAGTGATAGTAGTGATAGTGACGAAGATGACGAAGAGGAGGGTGGTGGATCTGGAACGCCAGTTTTGCAGGCAATTATCTTTTACTTTTTCTTTTTCTTTTTTTTTTTTCCTGGATTCTAATATGCAGTTAACATTCCAACCATTTCATGAAACACCTATATCAATTTAATTTATTTCTACCTTATTTATTGACATTTTATTTATTTATTTATTTTCGATGTATCTACAGCTGCACAAAGTGGCTCATGAAGGAGGTGTTAATCGCATTCGTGCCATGACACAAAACCCTAATATATGTGCATCTTGGGCAGATACTGGTCATGTGCAGGTCAGAGTTATGTTGATGAAAATTTGATAAAACTTTATATCCATGCCTTGGCATCAAGTCTTGTTATGTTATAGATTGTTTATTTAAGTCTATATTTCGTATGGGACAGCAATATGATGAAGAGAAGTTTCGAAGATGTTATTTACATGGCTTCGATTATTATGATATAATTGACCTTATGATCCAAACTGGACAATAAATTTATCTTTTTTGTTCATCTAGTTTGGGCAGCTTGGATGTGGTAATGAGATCTTCAACACTTTTTTTTGGAATGACCTTGTTGCCTAGTGACTAATAGATTATCTGTAAAATGCATGTTTTATGCATAACCTGGGGTAGTATATTGTGTCCTTGGAGTCTTGAATATATTTATTTTTTGCAATAATCCAAGTTCAAGTTGGTTTGATAACCAAATTTTGGGAGAAGACATTATTTTTGACTTGATGAGCCACGGGATGAGGCCTCAAAATCATATATATATATATATATATATACATATATAATATTTGTTGTGGAAAGCAGACTTAAAAGAGGAAGTGCAACGAAGGTGTTAGTGACTGAATCTTAATTTACATAATATATATGTTGGTGTGTCTAAAATGAATAAAAAGGTTGAATATAAGAATTTTGTTCTTCCACTGGAATCAAGTTTGTGTTATTAGTCTAGATGACACAGAGTTGAACACCGAATTATTGTTTAAGAAATTAACCAAGGGACCAGTGTAATGATAAAGCTACTTGATTGATGTTTTAACTTTTTGTTTCTTATCTAATTTAAAACCACCAACCCCTTCACAGGTGTGGGACTTCAGCTCTCATTTGAATGCTTTGGCTGAATCAGAAACTGAAGTTAGTCGGGGAGCTTCCACAGTTTCTAATCAGGCTCCATTAGTTAAATTTGGAGGGCACAAAGATGAAGGGTACGCCTTAGATTGGAGTCCTCTTGTTCCTGGGAGGCTTGTATCTGGTAACAATTGATATAGTTTTTCCCCCCTCCCTTTACGCTGTTATCTTTTCTAGGATATCTGATGATCTGTTGTTGTATGGAATTGAAAATTCTAATAATTTGTACAACCATTTATCTCTAAAGGGGACTGCAAGAATTGTATACATTTGTGGGAACCAACATCTGGCTCAACATGGAATGTTGATACTAATCCATTTGTCGGACATGCTGCTAGCGTAGAAGATCTGCAAGTACGCATCTAACCTGTGGCATAGTAACTGAACTTGTTCTGGTTTCATATATTGGGAGCTGTACATTTTGTTCCAATATATATTACTTATTTTAAATTGTTTAATTCTGTAAGCATCCTTTCTCCAACTTTTATTTGTATATATATGCAGTGGAGTCCTACAGAACCTTATGTTTTTGCCTCTTGCTCTGTGGATGGCGATATTGCAATATGGGATACCCGTTTAGGGAAGTCGCCAGCAGCTTCTATAAAAAAGGCACATAATGCAGATGTCAATGTTATCACATGGAACAGGTGGTTATATATTTCTCTGCTGTCATAATTATTATGTCTCGTATGTATATCTAATGAACCTCTCCTCTACTTCATTGATTCTGATTAGGTTGGCTAGCTGTATGCTGGCATCTGGAAGTGATGACGGTACATTTTCTATTCGTGATCTTAGGTTGCTCAAGGTATGCCTTGTCTGCTGCAGGATATCTTTTGATAGGAACACTGCTGCATAGCAAGAAGCTAGACACAATCTTCTCCTAAAAATCTAATAACAAGGAAAATCCTTGTTGGGCAATTACTAACTTCATGTGCACCATTTGTTTGCATGAAAATCTCATAATTTCTATCATTTATTGTAGACCATAGAGCCATTGTTGGAGGGATTCTAAAAATTTTAAGGAGATGAATTTTTAGACTCAAAATTCAAAGGCAAGTTTAGTTCATGTGAAAATTAAATTACAATTTTAAAAGCATGTTTTGGAAAGTCAAGTATCTCTAACTATAGATTCATGCCCTATTAATTGGATTTCTTTTTTAATGCTCCGTTTATTTGAAGGGATAGAAAAATGGATGGAAGGGAGAGGGGAGGGATGAATGAGGCATCTCTAGGGAAGGGAGAGTGTCTCCCATGCTTTTTGGTTGAATGAGAAAGATAGTAGAAAGGATTGATGGAGTGACAACTTCTTTTTGTTTAATTTGATGGAAGGAAAGAAGAGCTTTTATGAACTTGTGACAATATACCCTCATTGATTAAGTTTGCATTGTCCACATATTTCTGAGTAGGTAACATCCGAAGGAATTTATTTCCTTCTTTGAACAATGTGTTCAACATAACAAGAACAATGTATGTTCAAAATATGCAGGATGTGGAATATAAAATACAATTGCAGAATTTAAGAATTGAAAAATATGTGTTCAAAATTATAGGATCTTGAACGTAATAAACAATGGTATATTTTAAGACTAAAAAAATCTAGATAAAGGGTGAAATTTGGCTATAATACTCCAATGGCTTAAAATATTAAATCCTCTTATACTTGGAGTGTTAACAACATTCGATTACATTAAAGATCTCTCTCATAAAACAAGATACTCATGACAGTCTTAGGAACTCAAATCACATCAACTCATGATTTGTCATCCATGAATCCATGACTTCTAGCCAAAACGCAGGTCAAGTATAAATTTACTAGCTGTTTTTCAAGTGTCTACAGTCAACGAAGGCAGTTCTTGGATTTGCTTCCCCAGCTTGGGCAAAACTCACGAGGTAGGTTAAAATAGATGAAGGTTTAAATAAGTCATTTTGTAAATAGATAAAGCAAGGAGGGATAAAGTTATTTTAACATTCTATCTATATACAAAGTAACTTACTTTAACATGTGAGTTTCGCCAAGCTGCCGAAGCAAATCCGATGATTGTGTCCACCCTAATTTGAACTGTGTTGAAAGATAAATTTATAATTGACCCCTCGTTATCATTCACTCATGGTTAAGCATACCTCGTCACCAGTGAATGTGGTTCGAGAAAAGACTGTTATGAGTATATTTAACTCATATCATGTTAATATGCCCACCATTGGAAAATTTTGTTATGATTGGTGTAATTACAATAGTAATTTCTTAAATTTTATGGGAGAGATGTTTAATGTAATCAAATGTTGTTAAGACTCCAAGTATACGAATTTGATGTTCTAACTTGCTAGCTTGGTTTCCTTGTGCGACCCATTGGAGTATTTATTTGTCAAATTCCACCCCTTATTTTATGTAGATTTTTTCATTCTTAAAATCTACCATGATCTTCTTCCAGTTGCTAGATATTTTGAACACAAAATTTTCAATTTTTAAAATCTGCAATTGTTTATTATGTTTTGGATCCTAGATATTTTGAACACATATTGTTCCTGTTATTTTGAACACATATTGTTTTGGGAGGGAAATAAATTCCTATGTTACCTACTCAGAAATACATGGACAATGCATGACTAATCAGCTTAATTAATGAGTATATTTGTTAAAAGTATATAAAAACTCTTCTTTCCTTTGAACCATAGAAAAAAAGTTGTCACTCCATAAATCCTTTCTACTATCCATTCCATTCAACCCGAAAGAAAAAAAGAAGTGAGGGAGACACTTTCCCTTGCTACTATCCAAACATCCCCCCACCCCCCCCAAAAAAAAAAAAAAAAAAAAAAGTGAGGGTGACACTTTCCCTTCTCTAGGGATGCCTCATCCATCCCATCCCTTCCATCCATTTTTCCATCCCTCCAACCAAACGGAGCATACGTGTGAGTTATTTGGGCATAATTGAGCATGCTTATTAAATACCACTTAAATTTGTCAGTTTTTGGCACTTAATATGGTTATTAAACAGCTCATGTGTTTTCTTTGTAATAGACTTCAGTGCTATTTGATTACTCAATTGAGCGCTTAATTTTGAATGTATTCAGTGCTTATCCAATTAAGTGCGTTTGATAACGCACTTTGAATATTGCTGAAAACGGGGTAAATTTTTTAGTGATAGAGACATTACTTATTACTGAATGCTGAACGCTGAACGCTGAAAATTCAAAAAGATTTCAAAAAATATTTATTTTTTAATTACCACTTAAAAAGGCGCTTAACATTCAGCTCTAAAAATTATCGGTACTTAATTTTCAGTTTTATCAAACAGCACCTTCATATCAAGTGGTCTCATTTTCCTCTTATATTGCTCATTATCAACTGGCATTCAATGCTATGCTTTTTCTTTCCAAATTCTAGAGGAAAAATTATAGAAGTAATATCTTGAGGAATTTTGTGATGGTTTCATATCTATGTATACACACTATATATTAGTTGAAGGTAGTTTTTGCCCTCACACACAACTCCTTTTGGTTTCTCGTGTAAAATTATTCTCAATAGTCTTAAAAAGTAGAGAGTGAGAAGTGTCTTGTAATAGATTATGCTTCTGCCATTTATTCATTTCAATTCCAGATTCCTTTACTACAAGTGAACATGTAGATCTCAGGGGAAGGGATGAATTATGGTGGTTGTTCTAAAGTGATTGTTCTTTCTTTCTTTTTGTGGACAGGAAGGGGATTCTGTTGTGGCTCATTTTGAATACCATAAGCACCCCATTACATCTATTGAGTGGAGTCCACATGAAGCCTCCACCTTGGCTGTTTCATCATCCGACAATCAATTAACGTAAGAAATTCTTAAGGCTCCGTTTAGTTAGATGGAAATTGATAGTGGAAAGTGAAAGTGAAGTAAATGAAAAGAAAATAAATTCTCTATCATGTATTTGTTTAGCATGAATTTTTTTTTCTCCTAAATTGTTGAAAAAATTTCCATTTTGTTTCTTTTCCTGCTGTTTCCATCTAAACCAAAATGAACCTAATATAGGATTAGCTGGCTAAAGCTAATGATGATTATCAATGCCTAATCAAATCCCTTACTTTCCTAATACACATCATCTCTTGTGACCCTTTTTTTTATCTCGAGTGCCAAATGTTCTCTCTATAAAATTGTGTTCTTCGTTTCCAGAATATGGGACCTTTCTTTAGAAAGAGACGAGGAAGAAGAAGCCGAATTCAAAGCTAAAACGCAAGAGCAAGTAAATACACCTGCAGATATACCTCCACAACTTCTTTTTGTTCATCAGGTTATATATTCTTCCGAACTTCCTCCAAGTTGGAACATTCAACTTCAGAAGTATTTCATTTGATTGTTTTGCTAAACTCAACACTTGTAACAGGGTCAAAAAGACTTGAAAGAGATTCACTGGCATCCGCAGATCCCAGGAATGCTCATCTCTACAGCTGCAGATGGTTTTAACATCCTGATGCCTTCGAACATTGAAAGTGCACTTCCCCCGGCAAATGACATGGTTGAAGGTTGAAATTGTCATGCATTCATAGAGACAACCCTACAAGATCATATGTCATGTGTGATGGGGCATGGAACAGACTGATGCGTGCATTCCTAAATTATTTTCGACTCAGAAGTGTGTTCAGCGTGCTTTTAGAAACTTCACCTAGTTGCAAGTTGCAGCAATTTTGTTTTGTGTTTTATACATTTTTGTTCGAGTTTCTTAAAAGAGTATATAGAGGGTTTGTATTGAACTCCTTCAATTTTCAGCAGCTACTCGGGAACAATTGTTTTATTATATTTATGTGCATATGTGTGTTTTAAAAATAGGAAGATACAAACATGGGGAAAAAATAAGAAGATACAAACAGCCATGAATTTGGATTGGAGGGCAGAAAAAACATGGGAAATTGGGAAGTAATGCGAAATGCCATATGCCCATCGCCGAGGATATAACATTCGGAGTCTCATAATCAAAACAAAACTGTGTTGTGGTCCCATGCGAGATTGGAAACATTGATATTCTGTTATCCAAGTCCAACTTACAACAATAACACTAGGCTTTTTTTTTTTTTCAATTTCAATTACTTGTATCGGCTACATGAATTGTATGTTAACCATTTTCAGTTTTAACTCGTAGTAGTATTGGGGTCGGCTACAAGAAGTATATGTTAAGCCTCCTCTTAACCATTAGTATAACTTTTGTATTAGTATATTGTTTAAAGTTTAAACAATAGATTATAAATCTCATATGATATGCTGACATACGAGTGTTTGCGTCATATTTTGCTTGCTGTGTCATCTTTAGTATTATTCAGTGCTAAGCATTATCAGGACCAATCTCATGTTGTCAACTCCAAATAGTTGGAAAATATTTTGTTAAGAATTAGAAAAAGGGTGGGAAAAAATATAAACCCACCATTACAGCCTTGGCTCGAGCGATATGTCTTCTAAAAAGGTCAAATCTGTATGCATATGCTTATCTGTCACAAAGAAAACTCCTTAAAAAAAAATTTCAGACAGCAGAATAAAAAAGGAAAATTTCAGACACCAAAATAAAAAAAGGTACCATTTAGACTGCTTACAAGTAGAGAGATTAAGACTACTTACAAGTAGAGAGAGCGCGCCTAATAATTTCTCCTTGAGTTGTGAGCTTATGAGAGCAAGACAATTTTGATTTTAATCGGACCTAGCTTCAATGTTTGTAGGCCATTCGCAACACTACTTTTAATTGCGCTAGTAATCAATCGTACATCAAAGGAATCCATGCAACTCTATCCAAATTCAACAAATGTAAATGCCAACCACTAAAGACCATGCCATAAACTTCATCCCTCTCCCAAACATTTCATGAATACATTAATTATAAGACGTCTTTGAACTGAAGAGCGTTCAGTCCCATTCGACCACCTCAAATTTTCATCCATTATAAAAAAAAAAGAAAAAAAAGAAAAAAGAAAGAAAAAAAAAAGGGAAATATTAATAAAAGTTAAACGGAACAGCTTACATTCATTGCAGCATAGAACGGTGCTGCACTAAGAACAGTGATCTATCAGTAAGGACATAAATTATACTTGTCTAAGATACTAAATAATGCAGCCTGTGATGGCAACATATCACAGCATCTGACCCCATTTCTCCAGAATCAATTAGATCAGAAGCTTAGGCGGCTAAAGAACCAGGATTCTGACTTGCCCGGTCATGAAATTAACTTGCCCATTGAAATTGGAGTAGCACGTTGCTCTATAAAAAATAACCTTCCGACCATCTTTATGCATTCACAGGCTTACCATTCAATTTGGGGAAAGGGTCCTGCTTACTCAGAACAACCACTTTGCTCTTGTGAGAAAAATACCCTTTCACAAGATTCTTGTATATTAGAATGGACATAATGCACTCTACCTGCAGAAGGTTCAACAGTGCTCTGATGAGTTAGCCGCTGAAATAAGAGAGGGAGTTCTGGAACCTCAGTCTCCCCCTAAATCAAACAGAACAAAGGGACGTGGAGAAAACAAGTACCTCATCAACATCCATGTCTATCTCGAGCCATTTCAATGCCTTAACAATTACTTCTAATTTGACCTGGTGTGCTCTACTTGGATCCTTCTGTTTCTGGATTATGTAACTGCATAATCAGCACAACAAATTCTGTTATACTGCGCAACTCATTAATAAAACTGAATTTTATTTATTTAATCGCGGTGTTGGGGGGATAAACAATCACATTTGGATAGACAACAATGTCAAAATGGAACTCACATTTTCTTTACCAATCTTTGGTAAACTAGGAGCTCTAGCTTCTCTAGGGCAAGATAAACACCCGATCTTAAGAACCTGATGGCACAAAGGACTTATCTTCAAAGAGAGATTTTCAAGATGTCAATTAAAACAGATTTACTGTAAGTTAATTGTAAACATACTGATCTTCATGTTCCTGAAGAGCTTGTCGAAGAAGTCGGAGATCTCCACTTTTTAGAGCTTGTAGAACATCACTGTACTGTAAATAACAAAAAGAATACAAAAATCAGCTTTAAGGGGAACCCATACAGTAATAGCTTCCTTTCTTATTATTTAATGATTCTATGCTTTTTCACTACAACTATTAAGAGTCATCATTTTAGTGCAACACTCGATATTATGAAGTAGCTTTTTTTCCTAAAGTAACAGTTAGATATACCCACGCCAAGCAGAACAAAAGCAGTCTTATCATAGGAAGAGCTATAAACAGTTTCCAATGATATAAGTAATAAGGCTTGCGAGTTGCACCTTCAGTGTCCTAATCTTTCACATGGCCATTCTAAAGCCAACAGTTGAAATGAGATTGTTGAGATGGATTAGCAAAAGAAACTCAAGATAACAACATATAAGGACAATACGAGGGAAAGTCATCTCTAGGATGGTTAGATCCTGTGCAACAAAGATCACTGACTGCACAATCATGAAGACAGTTTGATTCAACTCTACATTTTTACAAGGGCAAGGAAGGAAAAATAAAAACATGTATTAAAGACTTGAGAACAACAAGATGGATTGTTAATACAGAATACCATAGAGCCACTTGTAGAGAGAGAGAGAGAGAGAGAGAGAATACCATAGAGCTACAATAGAAAAAAGGATTCAAATATCTAATTGGAAGTGGTTGGGAGTTGGGAGTTGGGAGTTGGGACTTGAGGCTTTGTTGAGTTGAGTAATGCTTATGGTAGGTACCCTACCAGAATCAGCTACTTGGAATAACAATCAAACTTCAAAATGGCTATCAGTTTCTACTGATTGTGACATGATGGTCAACTACCTTCAATATTTTATGGCAAAAATGGAAGCTACAGAAAGCAATTATATTATCTTAAAGAATACATGGATGATGACATCAAAAGCAGCTCAAGATGGTTGACATGTATGAATTACAAAACAAGTTAAACAAAACCTGGTGATGTCAATTCCCAGAAAATTAATAAAAAGCATAAAAGAATTTCCAAACCAGAAAAGGCAAGAAGAAAAAAAGAGTTCAAAGACGGGCCATACCTCAACCAGTTTATACTTCTTGAGGAGTGAATTTTTAGGTAAGATGCCTATTGATAGCTTGACAGGTATCAGATACTTCAGAATCATCCTATTGCAACAGAACCAAAGAAAATGTGACCATATCAAAGCCTCATCTTTTATTTTTATATCATGTGGGGAAAAGCCATCTAACTAATCAGAATTTACTTTAGCGAGAGAAAAACAAAATTAACAACTTAATAACCATGGATAAACATTTCTTTTACATAAATAAACTTAAACAACTCGTAACAATATGTCAATGTCATATTTAATCAAATCATACTAAAGAAGAGACATGAGCATTGAAGCACGTTCTTTATTCTCCTTCCCCTCTTCCAAAAAAGAAGGAAAGAAAAACAAAGTGTTAATTCCTGGGATGCGATATAATTTAGGAAATCATCTCGAACCGTCCAATTGTGAAAAATAAAAATAGTTTTTTGATAAGTTTTTTTTTAAAAAAAAAAAATTTATAAGTGTGAAAAATAAAATAGTTATAAATAAATTTTACAAAATACATATCTTCTGAGTAACAATATTATCAATGTGCAACAGCTTTATTGGCAACTTAATCATATTACATACTAAATGAAGAGGAAACTTAGCAAAGACAACCATTGTAGTAGTATGGTTGACTTGCATGGTAGAAAAATTTCCCCCCTTTTTTCAGATTAATAAATTACATGGTAAAAAGCAATTAGAATAAAACAAATTAAAACATGGTTTTCTGAATATATTAACTGACCGGAAACAACTCTATTTCTGGCACAACTAAAAATGTGTAATGATACAAAAAATATAGATCGCCTAATTCATTATAAATTATGGTTGATGCAAGCAGTAGAGTCAATTAGTCATGACTAAATACAGCTACCTGTATGCATTTGCTTCAATAATAGTTACCAGCACTGAGCACCTACATATCCCACTATGGAAGCTCATACAGTTTTTTTAAATCAGGTAAGTACTCACACACACATTGCCCACATCGGGGCTCGAACCCCTCCCCTCCTCTTTGAGGGTAGGGAGGTTATACCAGTGGGCTAATGGCCCATTGGTAGCTCATACAGTTTTATACAAATTTAAATGCAAAAAAAATATGCAGCAAGCACACCTGAACCGAACCTGATATTTGCTTCACTACGAGGGTCGCAATGTGTTAAGGCGTATGATAATTTATGATCAGCCTGCAGAGTGTACAAATCAGATCTGTGAAAAAATATGCCAATATAGGAACTCCAAAGATCAGTTATCAAAGACATTAACTGTTTTCCCTGTTCTTCATTCTGACTCTAGTATGTCATTAAGGGATAAAATGAAATATAAATACATGCTAGAGTGCAGGGTTCGGAGTCTCTAACTGGAAAGAGTGCACATCAACATTGCATTACATTCTATGATAATTGAGGCCTTTTTATAGCTTTGAGTTTCATGAAGTTAACAACACTTAGAGAGAAGCAAACAGTGCTTTCAGAAGTTGTGGCTGTAACCACTGTACAGAAGTAACATTGTCCCTATCTTTTTCCCTCGTGAGTACTGTTCAAGAGGATTTTTCAGAATGCATATACCAATCCTCATACTTGAGTTTTATATGGGCTTGTGATGAAACCTTATAAAACTTAAGCTTAACAACACAAATAAGTAAGAAACCAATAACCCTTCAAAAAAACTGGAGTATTGTCTCCATAACAAGAGTTGCAGTTAATTCAATTTTTTTACAATAAACATAAAAATTAGGGTTAAATGCTCCGATACCCCCCAAGGTTTGGGTTTATTGCTCTCAGATTAAACCTGAGCAAAAATTGCTCTGACACCCCCTTTAGGTTTGATTTAAATTGCCTTGACACCCCTTTATAAAATATAATGCCTAAATTACCCTCCATCCCCACTTTCTCTCTCTACCCACCTCATCGTTCTTTCTCACCCTAGAATTAGGGCCATGACGCAAACCACAACTGAAACTGCCAACCTCCCTCAAAACCTCTAACATCCGCAACCTCTCCACTATCGCTGCCATCATTGCATCTCTGCCGTCCGGTCGCACCACTCTCCATTCTCCTATGCCTAACCAGGACTCATGAGACCCATTGAACCATCGCCACCCGCCACCGCCACAGCCGACAGCAATCGCCCATGGCAGCAACGGCGGCCGAACCTAACCCTACCTATTACCCAAAAGGTCTGGTCCCCAACCACACCTTCCATTTCTCCTCCCGCCTAGGTTTTTCTGAACTGGAGCGAATTGGTCAAATTGGCAAAGGCACTGTCTACAAAGTCGTCCACCGCCCTACAGGGAAGTTCTATGCCTTACAAGTGTTCAATACCAATCATGATGATTCTCTCCGCCGAGAGGTTGAGATCATCCGCGACGTGGAAAACCCCAACATGGTCAAGAGTGTCACGGTCTATTTGATAATGCTGACGAGATTCAGGTCCTCTTCGAGTACATGGACAGCGGATCTCTCAAAGGGGTCCACATTGCAAACGAACCTTTCCTCGCCGACATGACGCGTCAGATCCTCCTTGGTTTGTGTTACCTCCATAGCAAAAGGTTTGTGCATAATCAGGGCAGGGATCCAGAGTATCCTCCTCATATAAATGACCTCATTGCTCGGGCTATAGAAGCAGGTGTAGCAACTGCACTTCGGAATCAGCCACAGGTTCAACAGGCACCTATACTAGCACCAGTGGTTCAGACAGATCCTTGGGAGAAGGCTAGGAGTTCTTTCACAAAGGGGAGCCTAACTGAATTCACAGGCTCCACCGATGCGAAAGTAGCTCACTAATGGAAGAAAGACATCGAGCGACATTTTCGCATGGTTCAGTGCACGGAGGTTCAGAAGCAGATACTTGCTATCTTCAAGCTTGTCGGGGATGCACTCCAGTGGTGGGAGTCAGTTACTTTCGTAGAGGAGAGGACTTCATTAACCTATGATCAGTTCAGTGCTTGCTTCGATGAGAAGTACTTTCCATATGCGATCAGGACCGTTATGAAGACAGAGTTCCTTAACTTAGTGCAGGGGAACATGTCCGTAGCAGAGTATGAGTAGCAGTTTACACGTTTATCACTTTTTGCTCTGATGAGGTGTATACAGAGGAGAAGAAACGTACTAGTTTTGTTAAGGGATTGATGTGGTTTATTAAGCGATCTATTACAGGTAATCCAGCCTACACTACTTATGCTCAAGTGGTGGACGCAACTTTGCAACTTTATCAACAGAATATGGATTTCAGACAGACTAGGGGTGAGAAGCGAGGTGGCAGAGACACTGCTAATTAGCCAACTGAGAAAGTGAATGATAATGGGAACCGACAGAATGACAAGGGCAGATTCCAGGGACAGTAGCCTTGGAAGAAGCACAAGGGTAATTCTGAAGTTCAGAGAGAGGGAGTTCCCACTCAATAGAATGGAGCACCTCAGACTGGACAGGGACAACTACAGGGTAATCACTAGGAGGGGCAGTCAAATATGTTTAGGGGTCATTGCTATAAGTGTGGAGAGTATGGGCATTCAGCCAAACGGTGTCCTAGGTTGGCTCAGAAACAGCATGGGCAACAGGGACAGTGGCAACCATTACCTACTCCACAGATTCCACATGTGCAGGCTCAGACATTTCCAGCCTTACCAACACCACCGCCACCGCAGGGACAGCTTATACAGCAGTTGCATCAGGGCATGGTGTACAGTGCCACACCTTGTAATGCATGGGCACCTCAGAAGAATTGAGTGTATGTTTTCTATTCGAGGTAGACGTAGACATGCCTTATTAGATACAAGTGCATTATGTTTATTAGTATCTGGATTGTTTTGACTTATGATAGTGATATATATATAAACCATTGACTGTTAGTTTATTACACCACTAGGTGTTAGAGCAATTTACACATGAATTGTGGGAATAATACCATAGATATTTACATATTGGACATCAAACATGGTAAACGTTTTGATAAGGGAAAATGAAAATTTGGGATAAATAACCAAGGTTTCATTTCATTGGATTCGAGAATTCTGATGACAGAATTTCTTTTGTTAGGGGGGGAAGAATGTAATACCCCGATATTTTAAAAGATGTATTAATTGGAATTAACTACTATTATTTTATTTTTAAATGATTTGTTTGATTTAATTGCTTTTATTTTTATTTTTTTTAATGATTTGTTTTATTTAAATAAGTGTGTAGATTACTTGTCTTATTTTAATTAAATTATATTTCGTGATTATTTATGATGATTGTTGGTGTGTTAATTTTCTTGGTATGGTGTGACTTAGTTGTAAATTCATGTTTGTTAATGTGCTTCGTGTAATTAGTTTTCAATATTTTAAGTGTTTGATTAATTATTTTATTTATTTAAATTAATTGGAATGGGCTTAAGGGAAGTTGGACCAAATGATGTGGTCTTGGGCTTGGATGAAGCCTTGTTGGGTAATTAATTACAGGCCCATGGTTATGAGGTTATTTAAAGGATTTTGTTGTGCTAAATATAATAATTATTATTATTTAAGGCTAATTAATTAATTATATAAGTATAATTAACTAATAATTATTAGGGAAGAATGTACATATATTTATGGATATATGTGTATTTATATATATACATAATATAATATATGTGTATATATATATATTATTTTATTTAAAGATGATTATTATTTTATTTATTGAATAGTCATACTAGTATTAGGATTAGGGTTATGTGTATAAATATACACATAAGGTTTTGTTATTAAAAGTTTTCCACGTTAGAAAAAATAAGAGAGACAGAAAGAAGAAGAAGGGCTGACAAAGAGGAGGCCGGATTTGGAAGAGACAGGCGAGTTCTTTTCTACTTCTCCTCTTAGGACTCATAAACCCTTCATCTTGATTATCAAAATTATAATTTTTAAATTGGTGGATTTGAAATAATTTATTAATCAGATTATTGGGAGCACATTAATTCCTTGCATATATGTAGATTAATCATGTGTATATATATGTATGTGTTATTATGATGCTTCAATTCTTATTTTTCTGAAATTATTTAAGTATGATTTAATTATGTTTATCATGATTAAGTATATTAAATGGATTGATTAAATTATTATGTAACTTAATCTTGGCCTTAGAATATTAATTATTAATTGTTTGGTTTTTCTAAAATTTTATGGATTTTTTTTTTATGTATTCAAAATTCTTTTTAGAATTTTTGTTTTATATAAAATTTTAATTTATATATATATATATATATGCTGTGTATAAAAACAACCTGGGCTGCCTACTGTATGGCGTACCCAATTAATGGGCTTGGCATCAGTGCGGCAAGGTGTATGTCACTTTAGTGCGCACCAATTAGGACCTTAGGATGGTCTTGATGATCATGGTAAGATTAGGTGTGGTGCAGAGCATGGAGAGAGGGTACACCCGCGGATCTGGACCATTGGAGTATGTGGAGGTAGGTGGATTGATTGGGTGCGGCGCAACTCCATGCACTATGGTGTAGGCGCGGATCCAAAGCTGTGGAGGCGGCTGGATCATTAGAGATGGATCCGGTGTGGGCAAGCTCACCTGACGCAAGGGGTTGGCTAATGGGAGCACGCTAGTACACGCGGATCACACCACAGGCGCGTGAGGGCGCGTGGCAGCACGTGGACGCGCCTGCCAGTGTGTCAATGCGGGTGGGGGCGCGTGCAGCAAGTGGAGGTGTGTGTGGCGGCGCGTGGGGGCGCGTGCGGGGGTGTTTGATGTCCCAGTAAGGTCCTGTGGGGTCCGGTGAATTTCCAAATTTAATTTTAAGTCTGTTAGGGTTGAAATCAGCCACTAGAGGAGATATTTTTAGGGTTTGAGAGCCATTAAGTGTTACTAAAATAGTAGCATTTATTTACGTAAAACAATTAATTAAAAATTTATTATGGAAGGAGGTATATGCATATATATATATATATACACACAATTATTTATATATATACATGTATATGATTTAATTAATTTATGATAAGCATGGAAGGTTGTATATATATATTTATTGATATATATGTATATATGTGATTTAAATAATCCAGGGTTATTATGGAAGGTATCATACACATATATATTATAAAATATATGTGCATATATATCATTTATGATTATTAAATATTATATATCTTATTTGGTATATCTTGATTTGTAGATGGAATGGTTGATTTAAAATATTAATAGAGTGGTCATTAAATTAAGGACATGCTTATAATACACATGTGAAGTCTATGTATGATTAAGCTTATAATTAAGTTTAAAGTTAGTACATGGTTGAATTGTAGGTATGGATGAGTTGCCAAAGGCTTAAATATATTGCCTTATTAGTTATGAATAAATTTTATATATGGGAAACATGGTTGAGTTGCTAATTAAATGTATAAGTAAATATAGTTAAGAAAGTATGGTTGAATTGCTATCATATAAATAAATATATTTATAATGGCATGGTTGATTTGCCCGTGCATAATTAAATTGCAATGTGTTTAGATGATTAAAAGTTCATCTAAGATTATTGTATGTATAGGTTGGATTATGGTTAGAATAATCTAGTACTTATAAGTTAGTGTATTATTTTATATAAATTAATAAAATAATATTTGTGGAGACATGGATGATTTGTCAAAGCTTAAATTTTGGATATGTAATTTAAATAATCAAAATTATTATTGGGTTTTAGATTTATTATATTTTTCCTTTAATTGTAATTGTTGCTTAAATAATTAAATTATTGTTTAGGATGGAATTAAGGTGAGTAGAGTTTATGTTATAAGAAAATTATATTGGTGGATTAGTTTAGGTATGATTATTAATTAATCATTGGTTAATTTATAGTTTTAACATTTTAATGTACTTATTAATGGATAGGAGTATTGAATTATATATAAGTGTTTATATCTATGTGTACCATCATATATTAAAGTTAAAACTTATTAGGGTTAGTTTTGGTATAGATGATTTGTTTATTGGTTTTCAGAGGCTTGGCAGAGAGAGCTTGCTCGTAGGGTTTAACCCGCGATTTGTTTTTCAGGTTATTAGAAGTTCGAGTCTTAAGACTGAGGAACCGCAGTTAGAGGACCTATCCATTCTTTCGGTTTATTTAAAAGTAAGATATTATTATTATTTCATTTGAGGTTGGTATTTAATAATGAACTTCTGGATAGTGGATTTTGGTTAAGGGGTCCTTTAGTTATAGGATTCCTGAGTTGTAAATTTTGGAGAGTTATTAATGGAACTTTTATTTAATAGATTTCCTTCAGCAAGTTATTTATTCTTTTTTATTTTTTTGTATTCTGTGCTTGTTTAAATACTTTAATTATTTTGATATCCCCTGATTTTGTGCGCGGACTTAATCAACCCGTGTTCCAAAATTAGGGAGTATCACGGGAGGGTGGTGTGAGGGGATGCATGGGAGTAGAGGTGGGTAGAGAGAGAAAGTGGGGATGGAGGGTAATTTAGGCATTATATTTTATAAGGGGGTGTCAGGGCAAATTAAATCAAACTTGTAGGGGGTGTTACTTGTCAAGACAAATTAAATCAAACTTGTAGGGGGTGTCAGTGCAATTTTTGCTCAGGTTTAATCTGAGAACAGTAAACTCAAACCTGACCTGAGGGGGTGTCGGAGCATTTAACCTAAAAATTAAGTTAGAAATGTTAAAAGCAATCATCTATGCAAGTATAACTGCAAATGAAAAACCCATGAACTAAACAGACTGCATTTCACCTACATTGATGCGTGACTTGAAGTTTAGATGATAAGTTCAAGTATATTTTATTCACTTCAAAAAGAAAAGGAAAAAATAAAATAAAATAAAATAAAGAAAGAAATCAGATTACTTACAAATCTTCAAAAAAAAAAGAAAAAAAAAAAAAGAAATCAGATTACTTACAGCAGGAAAATTTTCATTGAACACTTCCAAACGGCCTGTATAGTACATGTAGGTTACCTTGATGACATATGATGAAAGTTAAATCCTCTTCAAAAAATTATACAAGTAATTGTAATCCAGGTTAAAAGAGATATTTATGAGCAATCAACGTCAATTCTCTCACCTTATCCCTGACAGGGAATTCCTCAAAATCAAATATTCGAGCAGTTTCAATACTTCTTATCACACTTCGACAAAGGTGAACTGTACCAAGCTGCCAAAAGAGTAGCAAAGCTTAAAGTATACTGTGTAGCTTGGATGAAATACAAATCATTGGCAATCAAAATGACCTTATAGAGCCAAGTCAGATTGTTTTAATTTCTATGGCCTTTAAGATACCTAGTTTGTGAAATGATGCTTCAAAACCCTCCAAGTTTTAGTTAATTTCTTTAGAGCACATACATACATTTAGAAGACAACGGAGTGCCCAAATTCCAAAGAAAAACAATAAATTAGTGGTTGGAAAGAGAGATTGAGAGTCTATTACCTTAAAGTAAATTTTGAACAATTGGCATGTCACATATAATGCTCCAACACGTTTTGGGCCTTTCCCCTGCAATAAGTACGTGCCATTAAGCAACAGGCAGAAACAGAAGTTTTATTTACACATGAAGTAAGGCATGAATTCTATTTGCATAAATGTGCATGATACGTAATTTTGTTTGCAGATAAATATTAGTCACAAAAAAATAGCAAAGGCATAAATTCATTGTCTTTATAGGACCTTCATGGTTAAACCAAGCACCACCAATGTTAAAGGAAAAGTTGGCTATAATAAACTAGAATGCCAGTGGCATATAGGAATTTCGATTCAATATAATGGGAAGAGAACATACAGCGAGAACCCCAAAAACTTTCATTAGGAATGAACCAGCCCCCTTCAACTTCTCTGGCATTTTTCCAATAGAAGATAGTTCTCTATCAGCCTATATGTAAGAAAAATATTGCCATGTCAATTTTCTTTCATGCCATAAAATTTCAAATAAAAAAATAAATATATGAATTACTCTCACCCTCTCTGCAAGAACCCTAATTTCATAAGCTATGACATACAATGCTTCTAAAGCCCAAGCCGACTCCCAATTCCGAAACTCCTGAATAAAAGCACTGAAAATTCCACCATTAAACTCTTAAAGGCCTAATTGATCAAATAATTAAAAAATGGAACAAGTTCAAAGTGGATGAGCATACATACTTGGCAAATTTTTCGAAGGCCTGGTAGGAATCAACCAAGTGTCCAAGTCGATAATTTTGTAAAGAGCGAAACAAAGGAACAATGATTTCACCAAACTCAGTGTATCTATCAGACTGTTTGATGACTCTATTCGCGTCCTGTTACATAGAACAACAATCAGAAATTCTCCAATAACTTCAAAAACCCCAAATTCTAACAATAAATACTCCAATACTATATGTGTATATGTATTGAGAGAGAGAGAAAGGGGGGGAGACCTGGAAGACGTTGAGAGCATCGGCGAGGGAGAGGAGAGGGGGGGAATCGGAGGAGAGGGCGAGGAGCTGCTTCAGAGAAGGGCAATCTTGGGAAAAAACGGCGTCGGAGAAGCGGTTTAGATATTCGGTTATTCGTCTGTGTGCCTCTCCCATGCTTAGATACGCCATTGATTTCTGCTTCAACTCTCTCTCTCTACTCTCTTACTAATTGAATAATATCCTCGACTTGCAGAACTGTGTGTCACACAGACAAACAAACAAACCACACTTGTTCTGAAGAAGAAGAAAAGCGGACTTCTGCGCACGTACCAGCGTCTCACCAAAATTATACGGCGTCGTACTAGCAGGGAAAAAAATAAAGTTAACAAAAACACTTTTATCGGTAGAACCGTCAATAAACTGCTGTCAGCAGCATGTTACGTGTTTGGTAACGCAAGTCCTTTTCATAATACAATTTTTTTTAATTTATTTGATAACAATTTTTTTAAAACACTAATTTTATAATAATATCCTTTAGTATGATATTATCATATTTGATAATAATAACTTTATTAAAAAATGGTTTAATTGTCTTTATAAAAAAATATAAGGATAAAATTATCAAATGAAAAAAAAATTATTTAAAATATTCAACCTCTATTTATAGCGGAGTTTTAAAAATTCCAAATTCAAACTTAATTCAAACTTTTTAGTGTACTAAATTTGGTAACCATTCAAACTATGGTTACCAAAGATATTTAAACATTTAAAGTACTTATTATGGTTACCAAACATATTTAAACATTTAAACGCAATTTTTAAGAATAAAAGCGCTTTCCAAACGGCTCTAAACAAACAGTTTAGGCATATGGTTAAAATCACAAACTAAAGTTTACTGAACCAGAAAAGTTATGAAATTGTCACATATTCGTGACCGACTTTAACTTGATTGTTAAATTACAAAATTGATCTTCTTATTTAATATTAAATTAAAATATTAAAAATTATTATTTAAAATAATAAAAATAATAAAGTACCATTAAATAATATTAAATTACAAAATTGTTTAAAATTAAAAAATTATTATTTAATGTTAAATAATAATAAAAATGAGAGGTTATTTTAAAATTACAAAAACATTTTTATTATCAGTATTTTTATTTGACATTAAATAGCAACGTTAATTTTGTCATTTTACAACTAAGTTAACGGGTCACAAATTTTGGGAAAACTTGATAAAATTTTTTTTATTATTTTGGAGTTTTTTTAAAATTTTACTCACAGATACGCAATTTTTTTGAGAGTAGAGTTGGGGTTTTTGTAATTTTTAACCCTTAAAAATAAGAGATATTGCGACACTTTGCAAGGAGCAAAAAACTCACACACATAGAAACTTCACTCCTTTGAAGATTTTAACCATCATCATCCATTTTGAGAGGTAAAGGGAATACCATTGAACTACAAAACCCTAACCAATGGAAATAAACTATTGAAAATATATTATTTTAGTTTTTGTGTAAATGTACCACTTTTTGTGCATGTACCAATTATGCATACAACAGTGAGTTAATGTGATTTTTAAAACAGGTAAAAAGGGTAACTTGGACATCATCTTAAAATGAACAATTTTATTTTATTTTTTGTTTTTTATTTTTATTATTTTTATTTTTCCTTCTGTCTATAGCATTTAAATCAAATCTAATTCATTTATCTAAATTACTTTTACTATTTTCATGTACCATTTTTGTGTATGAAGTACCATTTTTGTACACACGACTATCACATATTGTCATAAAAAATGATCAAATAAAAAGATACATACGTGCACAAAAAGTGATACCTCCGCCTACAAGAGTAGTATCTCTATGCACAAGAGTAGTATTTTTTTATTTTTTATTTTTTTGAAACTTAGAACTCCACTAGGTATGGCCCTTTGAACCCATCCAACGTTACAAACTGAGGGTGCAACGACCAACCCCACAATAAAGATGAACGAATTCAAACATAGGACATGTGAGTACTCAAGTCGTTGCCTTACCAATTCATCCAAGCTACGAGGGCTTAAAAGTAGTACTTACACAAAAGTGATACCAAAAAATGGTAAATGTAGTTTAGGCAAACAATCAATGTTTTTTTATTTTTATATCAGCATTTTGGTCAACTCTATTTTGTTCAAACATCAAGATTTTGACTTCATGAAATGATAAATAAAGTCCAAATCTATATTCTTTTTATTTGAAGTTCCTATTTTATCAAACAACTTAATCATTTAAAACAATTAACTTCTTTCTTTTCTAAGTGAGTTTTTTTTCTATTATGTTTCAAAGAGACAAGTTCTCTAACAATTTCTATTTTAGTGAATTTTTAGAAGGCAAGTTCTTTCTAAACACGTTCTCTTGCAATACTGTTTGGACGATTTTTTTTTTTTGGTTCCAAATATATACATTGTATGTGATATATATACACGTCTATTATATATACAGAGAATAATATATATTTTGCTCTTTTTGTGTTCTCTAGTTGAAAGCTCATAAGTCCAAATTTTTTTAATTTTTAATTTATTTTTAAGCTTCCTTATTTCTCTTAAATGAATAGTAAGTTCTACTTCTACGGTTCTACCTAATAAGTCTTGAATTATTGTTTTAATTTAAACAATATAATAAATAATTATATTATTAAATTTAATAATTCATCATTTTATAAAAAACTTTGATAAAAATAGATATCATCAAATACAAATTTATTTATTTTTTTAGTATTTGAAATCATAAGGGTAAATTTTGATATGTACAATCACTTTTTTTTCATTTTCATACTATTCAAACTAACAAACTAATATTTTCATATAATTTTCCTGAATAAATTTTCATACTAACCAAATACTTGACAGAAAATAACTTTTCATGCTAATCAAATGCTTGATAGAAAATAACTTTTCTTTTCATTCATTTCACTTTTCTTTCAATTTTTTTTTTTTTTTTTTTTTTTTTTTGTATCTAACCAACCAAATGGAGTTAAAGGAGAAGTTGCTTAAATTATTACTACATATTACTTTTTTTTGTTAGGTAAATAATCACACAGATTTACAAATGTTCAAAATACTTACTCCAAAGCTGGAACTCTTAACTTTGAAATACATTAAGTGAGCGAATATATCAATGTAAAAAAAAATTGATTTTTACGACTGTGTTTTATCCAATTATACAACTAAATCCCAATATCAGATATGCATCTTGGAACGTGTTTAAGCAGTACTTCTTTTTCTTTATTTTTTTTTTTCACTCAAATACTATATAAGATTTTATATATATATATATATATATATTTTTTTTTTGAAAATAAGTTATCTTCTTGTCGACTCCAAAGTCCGCAGTCGACTTTGAGTCCTCTTCGGACAGCTACCAAGCACCAACCAACAATTTCAGCAACCTATTCCCTTCCATCTCACTCCAATCCACCTCTTTTTAATTTTTCTCTCTCTAGAATTGATCCCCTTTCTCTCTGAAAATCAAAACACGACCCAGATTACAGAATCTGAAATTTTCTGAACCCATTGAAAAACAAAACCTTTATCTTTAGCACACTTAAAACTGCCTTCCTCTTCTCTCCTTATCTAGAATTTGGCCGCCTTCTTTCTCTGTTTATGAAAGAGTAAAACGTGGGATCACAAAATCGTGAAATCTCTGAACCCATTGGAGAAGAATCAAGGCGAGACACACACTCTCTCTACATGGGTTCGGCTTCTCACTCTGTCTTACCTTCAGATGACAAGCATACGCCAATCCCAGCGGAAGAAGAAGACCCACCAAACCCAAACACAGCTCTTCTCTCCTTCAACACAGACATCACCTCAAACCGCTCTCCCAAGTCCACCATAACCACCGTCCACTTCGTCTCTCTCCTTGTCACAACCTGCTTGTCTCTCTCTGCCGCCATCGCCTTCGCCTTCCTATTCTTCTCTTCTGCAACATCTCAATCTCACCCCAAACAAACCGCTGACCCAATTGAACAATTTGCTCGTCCTCGAACAAAACTCAACCACCCCGTTGTTCTCCTCATTTCAACGGATGGTTTTCGATTTGGGTACCAATTCAAGACCCAAACGCCAAACATCGACCGCCTGATCGATAACGGGACCGAAGCCGAAATGGGTTTGATTCCGGTGTTCCCAACTCTAACATTCCCAAATCATTACTCAATTGTGACCGGCTTGTACCCTGCTTATCATGGAATTATCAACAACTATTTTGTTGATCCCTACACCGGTGACTTCTTCACTATGGGGAGTCACAACCCCAAATGGTGGTTAGGCGAGCCCTTGTGGGAGACTGTGGTCAATCATGGCTTGAAGGCTGCAACCTACTTTTGGCCTGGTTCTGAGGTAAACAAAGGTTCTTGGACTTGCCCTGTTCAATTATGTAAGCATTATAATGGCTCTGTACCATTTGAACAACGGGTTGATACAATTTTACAGTATTTTGATCTGCCAAGTAGTGATGAAATTCCTGTGTTTATGACATTGTATTTTGAGGACCCAGATCATCAGGGTCATCAAGTTGGACCTGATGATCCTGAAATCACCGAAGCGGTTGCTAGAATTGATAGGATGATTGGGAGATTGATTGAAGGTTTAGAGAAAAGAGGGGTGTTTGAGGATGTTAATATAATTATGGTGGGTGATCATGGGATGGTTGGTACATGTGATAAAAAATTGATCTTTCTAGATGATTTGGCACCTTGGATTGAAATACCTGAGAATTGGGTTCAGTCTTATAGTCCATTGCTTGCAATTCGTCCACCGCCTGGTGTCTCTCCGTCGGATGTTGTGGAGAAGATGAATGATGGACTGGTTTCAGGGAAAGTTGAGAATGGAAAGAATCTGAAAGTGTATCTCAAGGAGGAAGTACCTGGTAGGCTGCATTACGTGGCGAGTGATCGGATTCCACCAATAATAGGGTTGATTGAGGAGGCGTTCAAGGTGGAACAGAAGAGATCGAAGCGAAAAGAATGTGGAGGATCACATGGGTATGACAATGCATATTTCTCAATGAGGTCCATTTTTATTGGCCATGGTCCACAGTTTGCTAGAGGGAGGAAAGTCCCATCTTTCGAAAATGTTCAGATATACAATTTGGTCACTTCGATTCTTCATATACAAGGAGCTTCAAATAATGGGACAGCATCATTTCCGAAGTCCATTCTTTTGCCTAGTCATTGAAATTCATTTAGCATTTTCAGGATTGTGTGGGATGTGAGAACATGGTGTGAAGCCATGTTCACTCTTCTGAATCATCCGAGCGACAGAGCGAGAATATGTCATGAAGGGCTAGTGTATTGGGGCCTGGCAGAGAGGTAACAATATTGGGAATTTAGAGTCCAACTAGATCAATTTTTTGTTATGCATATTTAGGTTAATAACAGTATCTCTTCTGCTTGGTAGATTATAAGCCACACCTATGGAATGAAACCTAGCATTTGAACTGTAATAATGTAAAGTGATCATTATTTTTATTCACATTCATGAATATACATACCACTTGGATATTTGGACATTGTCTAATGCTTGGGATGTTTTAAAATTTTCATCTTTCCATTAATTCCAGATTTTCAGATATGTAATCATGTAAATGTTATCATTATTTGTATTATATTCCAAATTTCAGTGCATGGATTTGTGGAGAACAATGGCATTGCACATTCAGTTTTGTTTTCTTTGTAGCAAACTCAAAATGCTTAGAGGAGTTTGCTGTCAAATTAGGGATGCACATCATAATTCTCTGAGCCGTTAGTTGGAGTTGGACTTCCAACAAATGCTTGGTTTATTCTTGTGCTTGTGAAATTATAAAAGTTTGTGTAGCTGCTAGATGGAGAAATGATGCACGCAAGGTTAAAGGTTTTCGATATTAAACTGTTTTCTCGTGATTACTGGCGTAATGAAAATTGCTAAAATCTTCTCTGCTCTGTTTATTCACTGATCTGAGAGAGTCTTGGTTGTATATATTATTTTAAGCTTGTTTGTATCCTTTTTTTTTGAGTAATAGAATTCAACACAACCTAGCCGATAAAAGAAATGAGAATTTTATCAAATTATATTGATAGTAATCAATTATTTAATTATCACTTCTTTATAATCAAAACCAGTTGGAAGCTATATGGAACCTGACAGTTTTGTAGATTGGGTTGTTGGTCATGCTTCTTTGAATGTTATGCAGTTTCAGCGGGAAACAATCACTCTCCATGTCCATGGGGAGCCAAAACAATTTTGGTGCTGGAATCAGAAGAGTTTGAAACACCCCATTTGAATCACGGCTATGAATATTAGATAAAAAGGTTGTGCCTTTTTATTAATACATGTTTCAGTTTCACTTATGGGATGCATTTGTTCTGTAAACCCACCTAAATCTTTTAAAAAAAAAGGAACAGGAGTTGGACAACACACCACTTGAGAGTTGAGTTGATAGAGAACAAAAATGTCACTTTCTGATTGGCCACTGATCAAATCCTGTTGATCTTGGCCACAAAATATTGGGAATAAAATCCTTCCCAAAATATATATATATATATATCTATTGGGAATATAATTATCTACTATCTGTTGAAGTAAATGCAGTAACTTGAAGACAAATCTGAAGTATTAAATGTTAATGACTCTTGAGGCATGTACAATCTCTTCCAATTATTTATCCCCAGTTTAGAGAGTCTTTTATCGCATTCTTGACGAAATTCTTTCAAGATACAGTAAAGTCATTGAATTTTTTACGTTAGCAACACTGGAATAATTTCCCAAGTTCCATAAGATAAAATGTTGTTTAGATTTTAAGAATAAAATTGAGAGCTATAATCAGAAAATAAGATAAAATGTTGTTTACATTTTAAGAATAAAGAAACTTATTAAAATTAAGGAATATCACATGTGGCATGGTGATATTTGTTTGTTTCTGACATAAATATTTTTTTTAAAAGTATTTTTCTTTTTCAAGTAAAATATTATTATTATTTTTGCTGTTGGGTAAAAGCCTAAGTTTAAGTTGAGGTCCAATTTATGAGACGGGTTGTATAAAATAATTTGTCATGGATAAATTATTTTTTCTTCGTGAACATTTTACAGCAACCAAATATCAAAAAAATATATATAAAAGAAAATTAAAATTATTTATACATTTAAAGTTAAAAGTTGAAGTCTTTAAAAAAAAAATAATAACAAATTGATTTTTCAAATGTTTTTTCTAACAAAAATTAAAGGAGGAAAATTTTCAATTAGAGTTGAAAGTGGAATCCAAACGTGACCTTATTTGGTTGGTTATCTTATTGGTCCAACTAGAAGACGGAAAGACCGTATAGAAAACCAAAATAAAAATCGTAGAAGCCTTTTAAAATTGGTACAATCTGGTTCACACAAATACCACACACGCACAACGCGAGACCACCACCACCGATAATCCACATTCAACAAAGAGAGAGAGAGAGAGTCACAGCTCTCTTTCATGGGGTTGGCCTCTGCTATGCCTTTCAACTGATGTAGCACAAAATCCACAATTATATATACATATATATTATATCGAATTACAGAGGAAAAACTCTCTCCTTTCTGTGTTCAATGGCAGATGTTTTTCGGTTATCTTCCAATTCGCTTTGCTTCTATTCTTCGCTGATAACCTCGTCCTTCAATTCTCTCCAACCGAGACTCCCACCAACTCAAAAAGCGTATAAGAAGATCTTCTCTGTTGTCAATTCTTCTACTGCTGGTTTTGTTGTTCCATTTTCCTTCAGACCCAGCAAACAATTGATCTCTTTTAAGGTACAAAAAAGTTCACTCATGGGAATATTTTCATTTCTCGACACTTTCTTTGTTTGATGACTCAGAATTGCCGTTTTTTTAGTGAGAATTAAACAAAAAAATTCAAGCCAACTGAGTCTAATATGCTTATTTACTAATATTCAATTATTTATTAGTGAGCTTGCTTTCAAATATTTTCCAAGGAATTTTAGGAAATTTTTCTTTCTAATTTTTAAAATTTTGAGTTAAATTGGGAGGACCCACCTGTCAAACTTGTTTAATCGTGCAGGGTTGATTGTGATTGGGTGATCTTGTTTGTACTTTATGTTGAATAAATGGATAGATTGGTATAGATGTTTATTTTATGCACTAAATATTGCTAAAAGTTGCTTCAGCTTCCGCAATAACATCAGATGCTAAATTACCGACCCTTCTGATTGCTTACTTTATTAGAAAAATAAAATGCACTACCCTTTGGTGGAATGGTTTCATTCCAGCAGTATATACTGATTTTAAGGTTTGTCTGTGGATTTCATAAGAACTGGGTGTCCAATTAAATTGTTTGGTCTGGCTGGGAAGTGAAAATTGGGAGCCTTTCTGAAGTTTTTGTGGTTTAGATGGTTAAAAAAGAAAATTTGAATTTCTCCCTCCTCAAATTGGATTGCTGGGTTTCTTGTTTTGACAAAAAGGTTCTCCTAGCCTTAGCACTGGTTTTGACTGGAGGCTGGAGCATCCCCATTAGAGAAATTTTACTATAGTTTTCTTTTTACTTTAATTGCTTTCTTATATTTGGCGCATTTTAATATTCTTTCCCTGAATTCTCTTTCTTATCTATTGGTGGTTTTAAAAAAGCATGACTGGGCATTATGAAGAATTTGTGTATATATTACTGATGTATCTACAGTATTTATGGTTTGACTAATTGATTTTTTCTTCAATATTGTTGGAGATTCTTCATACATATTTGAATGCTTTACACTGCGGAGATCCATGTTTGAGTTTGTTATCTAGCGGTGCCAAAATCTATGTTTTGAGGGCTAAACAACTATAGGTGGTTTCAAATAGGAAAAGTATTTCCTTTTAACTGAAAAATATTACTATTTGTTTAGCTCACTTTTAATAATAAGACAGAATAGGCTTTTCTCACTTGTTTATTAAAGTCAACTGCTTGTTTTGAATAAGAAAAAGTATTTCCTTAACAGGTAAGAACTGGAACAAAAATATACAGATAGAGTGAAAATCTCCTAGAACCTGAATCGAGATCCAAAAGCTAGAAACACTGGAAAATCTGTTTGCAGTGAGAACAAAAACTAAGAGCAAATGCCTTGAAACTAAATGTTCTGTGACTTGCTTTCTAGCTAAACATTCCAAAGAAAAGAGTTATTACCTAAATGTGGGATACTAGGAGGGGACAATAGGAGATGGGCCTAATCTTTGGCTTTATCTTGACAAAGTGGATGCTCAATGACTCGAATCTGCATCCTTGCGCTTGTCATCCCAAGCTTTTACCATTGCATCCTCTTCAAACTCAGCAAAGAGACACTGAAATAGATTTAAAATTTTGTTACAGTCGTACTAAATGCATACATACATCCACCATGTGCATGCTTGGGTAGTGCCAACCATCAGGTTAACTGTCAAAGCTGGGCTGTACATGGATTGGTTTTCTAGAATTTGTTCAAGGCTCCAAAAGAATTCTTTCCTCTAAACCAATTGAACTAAATGTTACCATCACCCAATGCTCTTGTTCTGTTGGGTTTTTATTAATGAATTCAATTCATTTTCGGTCATTTAAAAGACTTTGAGGGTAGGCACTAGGCAGTTCAAATTTCATGATTTACCTGGCTCTGCTGTTAAAAGAAATATGCATTTTCCACGATATTATTCTGGAAATTTAATACATTGGTAGTTTACTAAGTACATGACAATATGCATAAATATTTCTTAATATTTCTTTTGTTGTTCTTTTTGTTGGATGATTCACTTCAGGTACATGCAACTGTTGCTGAGACTGACCAACCTAAATGGTGGGAGAAGAATGCAGGACCAAATATGATTGACATTCATTCTACGCCAGAACTTTTGAGCGCCTTAAGTCAGGCTGGTGAGAAACTAGTTATCGTTGAATTTTATGGAACTTGGTGTGCTTCTTGCCGAGCACTATTTCCCAAGGTAACTTTTGTTGAAAATTTATTTATGGTTTTATGGTTTCTCATTAATATATGTTGTTATCCTTGACAAAAAAATTCTTTAATACATTTATTTAGATCATTGTCTCACAAATTTGAAATATTCTCAAATATTATATTCAAGTTTTGGACATTGCCATTGGTGGATCAAACACTAATGATCAATGCTATGTTACATGGACTCTTCAAAAGTAGTGAAGTACCCGTATTGAACACGTATCCCTCGGACATGGGTAAGGGATATATGTCTGACACTTTTGGCTGGACATGTACTTAAAAAGTATATATCGTTCAATTACATTATATTATTACTTTAAAATGAGTTAAATGCCTATATTGAACATTATATTAGATAAAAACATTACTTTACTCTAGAAAATAAAATAAAATTAATATTTAGCTGTGTCCGTGTGTCAGAAGTTTGGAGATTTGACACGTCCGACGCATGGATACATATCCGTGTCCGACACCTGTATCCGAGTCCATGTAACATAGGATCAATGTGAAGAAAAATTACATTTTCCATGGAAGAGTGTCATAATTAGTGAATCTCTGTGTGGTTCTCGTTTCTCTTGATCTCTGTTGGCTGTGTTATGTGCAAACTTCAATTTTAATATTTCATGGGATTTTGAAATTGCATGCTAAAGAGTCACAGGGAGGAAATAAATTAATTTTAATTTGGTATGGAAACACTTATACTATTAGGAGAGTTGGAAGACCATGATAAGGCATTTTTTGTCAAAGTTGAATGCGTTTTTTTAGTGGGAAAGTTGAGATAACACGTGTTTAAAAAGTTGAAAAGTATTTGATAACACACTTTTCTATGGAAAGATGTACGTGTCTGTGTGCGCGCGCTTTTCTTTTCCTTTTTTCATGTTGACCTCGATTGTTTGGTGAAATTGGTGATGCGTTCTTGTTAAAATGCCAATATTTGTGTTAGAGCATTATGTAAGGCATATGGACCGGTTAAAATTTCATGGAAAGTTTAAATGCCATCTTAAGTAAATAGATTGCCACAAATTTACTAATGCCGTTTCGTCAATTAGTTTTTGGTATCATGAGATATTGTGGCCTGACTTTATCTTGTATTTTATGTCTGTCAGCTTTGCAAAACTGCGGAACAACACCCTGAAATCTTATTCCTGAAAGTCAATTTTGATGAGAATAAGCCTATGTGCAAAAATTTGAACGTAAAGGTGCTTCCTTATTTCCACTTCTATCGTGGAGCTGATGGGCAGCTGGAATCCTTTTCTTGTTCACTTGCCAAGGTTACTTTCCTCAACCTGTTCCCCATCTTCATGCATATGCTATGTGGACTATTTGTTGTTAAACTCAAATCTTTAATAGAAAACTACAATTTCTGGTTTTGTTTAATGAAAAAAGAAAAAAAAAATTGGTTGTGTTCACATCAGGATGATCAAGCTAAAACCAGAGGTAATATTAAACTATGAAGGGGATCTGACACAAATAGACTAATGGGCATACTTGTAATATAGTTTTTAATTGTCCTTTTCTATTGAAGATGTGATTGATGGCATCTGTATACTTCATTCTTATAATGTTTCTTAAACCATTCGCAGTTTCAGAAAATAAAGGATGCTATCGAGACACACAACACTGCTCGTTGCAGCATTGGTCCTACTAAGGGTGTTGGTGACCTTAACCTCGAAACTTCAAGTGCTTCGAAAGACAAATCAGCAGGGTCTTCTTCATCATAGGATTCCTCGATTCAAGCATCTGTCTATAATGTGCATTCCCATGTTGGTCGTCCACGAAATAGACCATCATAGTTATATATTTGTCTTGTATATTTGCATTTCTATGTCTAAAAGAATACTTAGTAAGCAGAGGATGTTACTCTGCTGCATTCTTTATAGACATCGTTCTGGTTGGAATTCGATAGAAATGAAATTCCATGCTGCGTTCATTCACTGATTTTTATTTTTATTTTTATTTTTATTTGGGTATGTTTTCCCTGCTCCATATGTTTAACATTCCATTAAAATGGGAAATCAGGTTAAGCAAATTATTTTCAAATTATATATATCGGGAAACAAATTGATCACGTCAATCCAATTTTCAGGTGTGATTGTTAGACCTATGATAGGAATACCAGGAGTTGAAGGGTGGGGCCTCTCACTTAGCTTCCATATAGTTCTTATTATTTTACCACTAGACTTGTAAACCAATTTGATCATTATTTTGGAATATTATTGGATCAGATTGATCACGAGTTATGTTTTGTTTTATTGAATGTTTTAATTCATATCCGAATTATCGGAGGCAGGATTTGAAAATTATAAAAGTTAAAAGTAGATCCTTTGTTCAGCATGAATCATACCAGCAGCAAATTTGATTTTAGTTTGATACTCCTCTGAGGCTAAGGAATGAAACAACCAAAGCCCAACTAGGTTCAAGCAACCAAAGCCCAACTAGGATTTGACCCTGACGTCTTTTTAAGATTTGTAACTTCGGTTGGGTTTAAATTAGATCAACCAAAGCCCAACTAGGTTCAAGCAATCCTTGGGCTAGACTCGGGTTTAAGAAATGATGGGCTGGTTCAAATATTACCCGGTCTTAGACCCAAACATAATGAAGCCCCCCATTTTAAACCACTCCAAATTGCTTTCTTTCCATTAGAAGAAGTGAAGAACACAAACTAAAGCGCACACACTAGCTCTCCCCATTCGCTACACAGGCGGTGATCGACATTGACAACCGTCGGGTAAGTTTTCTGGCATACAATTTTGATGTTTTATGTGTGTATACATGTTTGTGTTATGCATTTGTTGTTGTTTCTACAGCTGCATATTTATTTTTCTAAATGGCCTCCACATGTTTGATGAATTGACCCACAGACATGTGCCTTCTGAACCTTGATCGTTTTGATATGCATATGTATTTTTTGAACCCGTATGCGAGACAAAAAGGAACCTACAAGTTGATGAATCGATGAATTGAATGGGAAGTTGGGTTTAAGGCATATAAGGTGAGGAGAGAGTAGCTATAAGCTTACAAAAGAAAGTAGCTATAAGCTTACAAAAGAAAGTAGCTGACTCCAATTTCTAATTATTATTATTATTATTATTTTCTTTTTCTCCCTGAAAAATACGGAGTAACATAATTGGTAATCTAAATAACAGCAATTTTTTTTAGGTAAGGGAAATAACAGCAATTTATACTAAAGAATTTCTTTCTCTTGTGCCGAAGAGTTTTTTGTTATTTGCAGATGTAATGTACTTCGAGAACAAGAACAACCATGGAGAATCTAGGAAAATGGATTTCATGTTGTCCATGTAGCCTTATGTTGGAAACTGAAAATCCCATCAATATTCCTATTTCTTTCTTTACTTATTTTGAGAAACTTGAAAAAGGGGTCATCTTATTAGTCAAATAGTTCAACAATTGGCACTTGATGTCACGAGTGTGTGTTTTCAAATGTTGCTATAAATTTGAATAGAGTATGCAGGGTCGATAACTAAGTTCTAATGAGACAGAATTGATTAAAAAGAAGATGCTGTCATTTCCAGCAAATTTTTTGTTTGACACTGTTTTGTCTAAAAACTCTTTGCCTTACAACATAGTAGTAGGTCCAGTTGAAAGGTAGAACACTCTTAATGGTTGCTACCATGAAACTCACTGAGAAGATTATACTTCAATGATTGACCAAAGATATTATTAACCTTCTGAATTACATTAGTTATAATGTTGTTACCTTCTCTTCAAGATAATCAAATTAACAGCCTTCGGATATAGGATATTTCTTTATACATCTATTGTTGAATTGGTTTATAAACTATCAAATTTGTTCAGTTAATTGATCTCTTCGTTGTGCAAAGCAATTTGTTAAAAGATTACACATTTGTATGGTCCCCTTGAAATGACTGGTTGAATAATGCTAAACCATCTTTGTGTTCCCCATATATTCCACCACAATCTCTTGTTATCTATGGAACTGTCAAACCCCTTTTTGCAGCGCCACAGGAAACAGAACAAGAGTAGTGAAAATGTCAAGCTATTTGTGGAGGAAATATGCTGATTACTTGTACTCGAAGTGGGAAAAAACAATTCTCTGGGACATGGTTGATCCATACAGGCGACCCAAATCGTTTACCCCACTTGTCACAATCTATATCTTTGCCTTTTATACTGGGGTCATTGGGGCAGCTATCACTGAGCAACTCTACAAGGTATTATTGAATCTCCGTGTTTGATTCAATTGTATCAAGTTCGTCATTATTGGTCTTGTTCCTTAAATGTGTAGACCTTTTGTACTTTGGCATATGTTTGTCAGAATTTGTTGCAACTAGAGCAGAAATGCTTTGGGATCATTTATCAAGGAACTATTAGAATTCATCTTGTAATTCTTTGCCTGCTACACCCATGAGAAGGACCCTTTACTGGAGAACTCTAATATGTAATAGAAGCCTTCATCCTCTTTTTTTTTTTTGGGGGGGTGCAGATTTTACACCTTGCCAACTGAAGGCGTACTCATGTTGTGCTTTTGTGAGCTGCTTATTCTCTGAGAACTTGTGTGACTTCTTCCACTCATTTTATTCCCTTTTTAAGGCGCTAATACCAATGAGAAATGCTTGTTTAATGCTTTCACATTTTCAACACTCGGGTTTTTTAGGACAACTTTAAAGTTCACTGGCTCGTCACGTTTATTTTGGCGCACTTTGTGATTGATAATTCATTAATATATAAAGATTATTGAAGAGTTTTATGCAACTTTTTCTTTTTCTTTTTTTCTTTTTTTTTTCTTTTTTTTTCTTTTTTTCATTTTTAATGGAATGTGAGTGAACGAGCTTTATGTTGTTAGAGACAGGAATTTTTTTCCGTTTTAGGTCAGTCAAATTTTCCTCTGTTCATTCACTTGTTTATCTTTTGTGCGGTGCACCAATCCTCTAGGCTCTAATTTGAAAATTCTGCCATGTCATACTGAGCAGGAGAAATACTGGGAAGAGCACCCAGGGCACGTGGTGCCTTTGATGAAACCGAAGTTTTATTCTGGGCCTTGGAAGATACTGAAAGGGGATGTACTGAAAGGCGATGTTCTCCCACCTGACCAGTAAAATCCCCAAGCAACCAGTTGGACGACACATTGCTCGAGTTCTCATTGCCCGTAAATATGCAGCAAGTTTAATTCTATCAAGTACTAGTATGTCATTGTCTAAAATAACCAGAGCAAATATACTTTGTCACTCTATTGATGCCCAATTTCGAAGAGCAGATTACCAAATTTGTCACTGATTAATATCAATGTTGTGTCTGATCTGCAATACAAAAACCTTCGGTAATTTTCCCACGAATAGAAATCTGATGATCCCTCTTAAATCCTCGGCAAGTAGATGGAATTGGTTTGTGTTATCAGATCTTTTATGTGCTTTTCTTTCTTGAGTGCTCTTGATATCATATACAGGAATAACAATGTTTCCTGCCTAACAGTGTATCAGTTCATACACTACTGATTCCAATCAATAGTGTTCTGAAGAGGGGAATATGAGAAAAAGAGCATTATTATCTTTTCACTAGCCCTGTCACCCAAACACTAAATGAAACAGTAGACACAATGCATGGATATATATTTTGTAGAAAATGAAAATATGTATAGACATGGATGAAGTAACAAGAAATGACTTTTTGAGAAATTAGACACAAAATGAGAAATATTTTTAATAGAAAAAAGTGAAAATACAATTCATGTCAACCCACAGCCTTCATATAGAGCAATTACTTTGTTGATAAAATGACAATAGTCTAGTGTGTACGCAATCTTCTCCCCTCAACACAAATTGCATTATGGAGTAAAATTTCCCTTGTAGATCACTTTGATAATTGTTTGGGCGTCTGCAACTGTTATTTTGATTTTCCTGAAACCTAATTTCTAAGCCAACCGAACAGTTTCCCGAGTGCCCTAGCTTACAGCATTTCAGCATCTCACACGTCAACTTTGTTGCCAAAGCCTTGTGCCTCAGCGTTTGCCAATATAATCCATGCAGTCTAAAACCAAACCCAACCCAAATAGAAGAACTGGCTGCAGCCAGTACAGGCAGTGAAGTCGCGACTCGCGCTGCTCAACAATTGGCAGGCATTTCATCCAACATCTGTCGTAAACCATATGGTCGCGTAATCAAGTTTCTTCTATGGGATGCTTAATCTATAGCACTTTTTTCAGCACGCCTTCCATACTGAGGTCGAGATGTGTTCATTAATGGGTTGTTTGTAGCAGCAGAAAACTGCAGCCTACAGGTACTAGAGAGTGTGGTTGTATATACTGGGCATTGGGCATTGGGCATTGGAGCATATTTCTCACCTTCATTTTACATAGTCACACAAGCTCCCTTTTAATGGGAAAAATACATGGAGTGCTAGAGATCTGTTTCCCAAATGCAGGTTTATGTTATCATTGTTCAATCAACTTATCACATTCTTGACAAAGTATCAGTGAATTAAGGAAACAACTTAACATCCCCTACACATTAAGCAGAGAAAATACAGAAAATCTATTCAGGGAAAAAAAGAAAATACAGAAATTGTCGTTTTCATTGCTGTACTTGTATGACTTGCACTTTTTGATTGCTTAAAAGTCACATGAACTAGTTTCAAGATAGAACTAGTTTGTTGTCTTTCCTCTTACACTGTTCGCAGTGAAAAGACCTCTTGAGTACTGAATGTTGCAAGAACATATATAATAAATACATGATCCATTTAAAGGATAATAGATGGCAGCAGAGAACTAAAGATATTCTTTATGATTCTATGGTGTGGATCGTGATAATTGATGGTAAGATAAGTGCCAATAACATGCAAGAAACAGGTGACTGCCCAAAAATTGTAATTATGATAGCATTAGTTTTGACATGAGATAAATTGGTTAGAAGGACAGGACACAATTCCTCTGGACTAAGGAAGCCCAATGGCACAAGAACAGTAACGATTGATAGATAAGTTGGATTAAGAAAGGCCATTATGACAGCCAACCCTAGCTCAAAGAGGAAGAATAAGGACAGGTTAGGTGCACCAAAAAGATGACCAAATCCAAGTTAGCAACTAGCAACTATAATATAGTCAATCCTATTAATTGCTGTTCTGTTAAAAATAAAATAAAAATTCAAGCCCTATTTTCACAACATCTACATAAAACTAAAAGATTAGCTTTCAGCTGCAAGCCTGCAAAATCAAATTTTTGAGAAAAAGTGAAAATACTCAATCAACTAGGTGTTGAGAATCCATATTAAGAGTAATTTTTTCGCTCGTGTGTTTTCATTGCCACTGGAACACACTCCCAACATCCCAAAGTACTCGCTCTTTTCCCTCAACTTTGATAAAAACATATTCGTAACATTAAATAAATCATTCATCGATTGAATCTAATATAGCTTTAAATTCCTGTGTTTCAAATTTAGTTCTAACTTCGTCTTTATGACATCATCTTTAACCTCTCTAGATTTTGGAAGAAAGGAAAAGTCAATTGTTCTTTCTGATACGATCACAAAGATAATAAGAACCTTTTTCATGATCTTCACATGGACAGCCAGAAGACTCTTGTATAAGTGATGCAAGAAACAAGAAAATACTAAAAGCCCCTGTTTCTCTTATCAATTTATTTCATAGCATCCATTTAGTAGACTTGACAAGTACCAAACTCCATGATAAACCCAACCTTTACCCAACTCTTTATGTCCTCACACTGCCTAATCCCTAACACATATTATTTTCTAAGGAAGTCTATTGAAGAGGAAAATCAATGTCACTGATATTTAATAGAACCTTTTTGTCAGAATTCAAGTTATATCATGTCATTCAAATTAGGACAATAGAAAAGCGTCTTTAAAAAGTTGCAATATTGGAGCTCCACCTCAATATATGCTCCACCAACCATCAATCATGATCCACTATGCATGGGCCATTGCGGTACAGCACTGCCAACTATGCTAAAACCAACCCTATGGACAGAGCAATTATGTTTCTTGTGGCATGTCTACAAACAAAAGCTAATTAAAAAAGCATATGTAGTCCCAAGTACTTTTCATTACCTAATATATGTAATAAACAAAAGAAGCATAACGCACTTTGAGAGAACATGTTCAGTCATGAAAATTGGAAATTGTCATTAACCAAACAAAAAATTTGGAAAGCATATATATCTTTTACAAGCACTAACATAAGTTTTAATCTGTCAAGGGCTTCACAAGTGGGATACCTCCAATTGTTTGATGTTACATCATTGTCAAATCCAATTCTTAACTTTTTAAATGAGTGGTCAAACAATAAATACTCTTATGACAAACAAAGAAAATTAATATACTTCAATCAAAAAGTCTAAATTTTGAACATGAACTTTCACATGTTATCATTCAGTCACAAAGATTTAAAGCTTACACAATTGAAATTTTGTATCACCAAATAGAGAATATCATTTATTCATTCATTAAATCATCTATTCACATCAATCTCTTTGATCACCAAAATGACACTTAAATGTTCGGCTTTACTCACAATTAGATGCAGGCCTTTTACATCCATTCGAGGCCAAGCTGCAATGAAACACCCGAAATTGACACTTTGGAGAAACCTTATTCAGCAGCAGCCTCGCCGTGTCCTCTTGCCTCACCACCACGTCTTCCTTCTCCACCAACACTCCGGCCACAATCCTATCATACCCACCACCTCCTCCACTTGCAACATAAGCCACTATTGCTGCCTGTACCGGCCCCAAACTCGGATTATAGGCCGCAGACTCCATATAAGATCCTGTATATATCCTCCCCTCAGCATCCATCAATGCCACCCCAGATGGGCACCCACTATATGGGGCATGAGAGCTATTAGCGGCTTCCAATGCTGCCATTTTCAACTCTGATTCATTCTTCGTGTACGATTGGCAAACCCCATTGCATAAATTGCCACAATTGGAATCAATTGTTTTGCTCACTAGCGACAACCCATTGTCATGAGGCTCCAGAAGAAGAGGTGTCTCCTTATCTAATAGATCGAAAGGACCAAATGGGTTTGGAAGGAAAGACGACAAGGGTTTGAAATTTTGGGACTCTTCCAAATCGTTCTCCGATGATGTGATCAAAATTTGGATTTCGGAGGCGTTGCGGAGTTCCTGAATGAACTGGCGGCAATGGCCGCATGGGGCGGCGGAGACGGCGAAGTGGCGGAGGAGGGGCCCGCCGTGAACGGCGAGGTTGGTGAGGAGGAACTGCTCGGCGTGGACGGAGTGGTGGAGGGGAAGACCGGGGAATTCGAGGTTTACGCCAAAGAAGATCCGGCCGTCGGCGCCCAAACCGACGGCGCCGACGTGGTACTTGGAGATGGGTGGCCTTGCGAGCTTTTGGGCTGATTTGACGAGGGATGGGAGGAGCTGGAGAACCGAGAGGCCCAACTCTTTGGCCATTGATTCGGCCTCTGAAGCTTCGATAACGAATCTGGGTAGATCCATTGGCTTATAGTGGGTGTGTAATTTTATGTATAATCTCGTGTGATGAAGAAGAGAAGTTGGGATTGAAAATGGTTACTTCTTTTATTTTGCTAAGCAATCTTCTTGGACAGAGACGGAGAGAGAGAAAAGAAGATGGAGTTCCCTGAAATGTGGAGGGGGGAGGGGATTGAATGAATGGACCAGGGACTTGAGAGGAGCGATATGCATAAAACATATGTATATATATAGTGATGGTCAGTACACGAGTTATTTGGTGGTATAGTTTTAGCACCATTTTATTTTGCCACTGTGTAATTTTTTTTTGTGTTTTTCCCACAATTTTATTTATTTATTTTGTCATTGCAAAAAATTGAGGATGGTTTAGTTTCTCACTTAGAAAATAAAAAATTATTATCAGAACTATAAAATACGGTAATTTGAAAATCGACTTGTTTGGTTTGTAATTCTTAAAAGAACAAATGTCTGTTTTTAGAGAACTATAAAAAATAGTCCTATGGGAAAAGTTTTCAGAGTTATAAATGGCCCTTAAGTTCTCTAAAATGGGTATTTTATAATTGAGTTTTCATCTATATCGAAAACAAAAATTATATTTTGAATGACAAACCAAGAATATCCCACAAATAAATATTCGTTATGCTTGGTGTACCGTGAACCTGGCACATCAAAACCATCCGTGCACAACACACAAGGACATCAACGGTTATGATGTGCTGGTGCACTGCACCGGGCACAACGAATATTTACTCGATACCCCACTCATCCACTTTGCCTCGGACTTAACTCCTCAACTTTTTCTATTTTTGTGAGAGATGCACTTGGTGAGTTCACCTACTACATAAAAAAAAAAAACATAACAAAAAAAACTCTCAATGTTATTTAGTATGTGTATATAAATTCTTAACGTATGAAAGGAAAATGTTATACTTCACAAATTTTGATTTGTGATTTTATCTTGAATTAGGTAGTTGTTTATTTGACAGCTTATTTGACTTCTTTGTGTGTTTTAAAGTAATTTTTATCAGATTCAAGATATAATCTCAAATTTTAATTTGAGATGTGCAGCACTAAGTGAATTAAGGGTTATTCACGAGAAAGAAATCACTTATTCATTGTTAAAAAAAAAAAAAAATTATAATTTTAGTTATAATTATTTAAAGATTATATAGAAAGGGTCTCAGTAGAATTGTATTCAAATTATTGAGTTATATTAGGGTTTGGATTCTATAATGTTGAGTTTTTCTATTTTTTTCTCTTTTCTATATTACTTTTTCTATATTAAAAAATTTATTTTTTAAATACATAAAGTAACCAAATAAGCTGACAAAGGCAAATTCAATATCAATACGTTAGTTCAATCATTAATATTTCTTTTTGATATAACATGATTCATAGAGTGAATAATTTGGTTTCTTAAAGAAAAAGTGATTTATAATATTACATTAAGTTGTCTTGAATTTGACAAATTTCAATCAAACACTTTCGAAAAATTTGAAGCATCAATTTGTGAATCGAAGCTGAAAGTTATTAATTTAACAGAATGTCCATGCCACATATATATATCTTGAAGTCTTAGTTATGCTTCCAAGTATATTTTGTTACTACCAGATAATTTACATAAATTTTGCTAATACCAGTTTAATTTTTCCCTAATTGAAAATTCACATAATCAATGCGATCTCTATTAAAATTGAAACCCTGAATTTTACATTTTAAGGTGATAAAATAGCACTAAACTCCTGTGTTCAGTAATAATACCAGTTTAATAAGATTTCTGTTTCTGTCACAGACCCACCAGACAGATACGTTGAAAGAAAGCACAGTGAATATAAAAAAAGTTGAAGGGAAAAGTTAATCAAATGAGTGACGGCAAGGAGTACCTAATGGTACCAAGAGAGAGACACAAGAAATAATAATTATATATATACAGGATATGATTATAATATTGAAACAATACATATGTCAAGTCAACTTCCCACTTGTTAGCTCCATAGATGCATACAATTCAACAAACAATGGCGTTGCCTTCTTTCCACGCCCTTGCGTGTTTGGACCAGTCTTATATGTTTAATAAGGAAATTGCATTACTTTATTTTGTATTATATTTATACTATAAGAATTTTTTAATAGAGGTTAACTTGTCCCGCACAATTAAAATTTTAATAATGCTTCAAATTATTGAGATTGGATCCAATTAGCAACAAAAGAAGAAAAAGTGAGTTCCAAGTTAAGGTTCTTCATGGCAAATGTTGCATGTTCCTCGTGCAACTATGCAAAGAACAATATTCTCTAAATGCATGTGCTATTCCCAAGTCCCAATGCATGATGACCTTGAATTCACACTCACTTTTCATATATATATATATATAAATAAATGTATAGTTGTTGAAACTTGAAAGCTACTCTCACTCAATTATTAATTAATTATTTGAACTTAACCATATATATAAAGTAATGATGGAGTACAGGAAACTCTCTCACGCCCCAAAGCTAAAAATGACTTGTGAAACCCTCTTGCAAATGAAAATCTTCACATTGCAAGTGTACGTTTTCCTCATGCTATGCAAAGAACATATGCCCAAAAAACCATGTGCTGTTGCCAGAGGTTAATGATGACATTGGATTCACACTTACTTGCCATGTATATGTATATGTGTGTATATGTATATTATGTGTGTCAGTGTGTGTGCATGTACCAATGGTTGTCATATTCCAACTAAGATGAGTTCAATGTCAATAATATTGGAAACTGCTTGTCTACAACAGGTCCCATATATGGTGACAACAAACTTTAAATTTACTTGGTGGGACAATCTGTTATAAAAATTAAAAAAAAAAAATTCCCGATAATAATTGGTGCTGAATACAAATGACAAAAGTGAGAATCATATAAATAAATAAGATGTGGATGATTATTCTTGTGTCTAAACATCATCTCTAACTGACTAAGATGGATGCCGATTCTATCACATTTATATGATTTTATTTGAAGGAATATATTTTGGGGAGATAAAGGGGAAAACCATTCCAATGTGTTCAAGAATCATTCCATCCGTCTAGTGGATTCCATTAAAGTATGCAAAGTTATTGTGACAGTCTATTCGTGGTCGGTCACTTATTAGACCATATATATTAGATGACGTGTCCATTGGTCTGAAGATATATATTTGTATACACACACACACGCAAGATTTACGGTACTATTTAGCATTTGGATAAGAGAACAAGAGAAGTCTGGATAAGTTAAAGAGATCAGAATGGAATGAAATTCCCCTCAAAGCAATAAACTATAAAAGCAATAATGCGATTATGTACCAAATCAAACTAATATAATAGTTTGTCGTTCGTTCGTGTCAATCACTAGCTAGGCACGAATATGGTGCTCTCCGTCCATCGCATCATCTTGCTGTATTGAAAGTCTTACTCACGAAGCAGTTACACTTGCACCCAACTCAAAATCGGGATGAGGACATTGCATTATACAGCAATAAAAACTAGGACGGAGGGAGGAAATTGTACGAGGAGATAGTGTAATTTTTTAGTAATTTAAGTGGGGGACGGTAGGGTATATTACTAAAAAAAAAATAAAAAAAATTTAGTTAGGCAATTGCCCCCATTGATTACATACATTCGTCCCTTATAAAAACTCTTACGAAATAGTTCCTATTGACTACATACATTCGTCCCTTATAAAAACTTTCACAAATTAGTTTTGATGTTCTTTACATCAAATCGAATCGTTTTATCATTATTACACTTTTTCTGATTTGGACGTTCGGATTCCGTTGGTTGATTTTTGATGGATTTATCATTTTTTTTTTTTTTTGGGGAGGGTTTTTGGGGAGGGGGAGGGGCGCAATAATACTTCGTATGGTTTATGTAAATAATATGTGAAAGGAACATATTATACATTTGGCATAAGAATCACAAAACTCTCTCCCTTTCTTGGCTTTAAAATTTATATGATGAGTAAATATCATTTATTTCCTTTTCTTTCAATTCCCTCAATTTATTAAAAACACTTTTTTAGGAATCCAAAAAGGTTCGTGTTCATCAACATGGCCATGAATGTTGAGGCATTAAGAAATTGAAAAATACTTTTTAAAGCCAAAGACTTAAACCTAAAGGCTCTCTTAAACTCCAAGATTGTGGATTGATTGGATATACTTTTTTATAATATAGTTAGAAATAACATTTTCATAAAATGAGGTTAGAAGACTAATAGTATTAAAATGAATATGTGACATATAAGTTATAATTTGAAAAGAATACTTTTTTTATAAGAGTAATACATTGGTGCAATTGTTAAAATAGCCTCCATTGCAAATAAAATGAGTGAAAAACGATTAAAGTAGTTTGGTAACAGGAGAGTGAATATAATGAAAAAGAATTCGTGTAGTGAGAAAAAAATTTCATATTTGTAGGAATTAATACCATATTAAAATAAAACATGCTTTTTCATTGAAATTAAGATAAAAAAATAAAAAATAAAATGATGAAAACGGAATTCATGTTCCTTGTTGAGATGAGTCGTAGAGTTTTATGGACCATTGACAGCAAATGTTGCCACGTAAACTGATTGTACATCACTAACATTAGGATCAAATCACAAGCAGAGAGGTCTATTACTATGTATGGTGCTGTATTATCCGCTAAGATGCTTTTTCCCTTTCTATCTCAAGTCTCAGCATACAAACTGTGTTAGAGCAAACCAAGCGCACCATCAATGTGTGTAATATGTATGACTGTGTAGAAGCAAAGTCTTTCTTGTGCAACTTACATACTTGGGGGCCCCACATAATGTTACACACTCAACACGCCACGGGTGAGGAATGGAGTAGTGCCTGTCAAATGCGCAGTCGCAGCAGAGGAGTGGGCCATTTTGTGGGTTTGTGTGGGAAAATAATATAAAATAAAAATATGATATTGTGTAATAAGTATGGTATGTATATTGGATTAATTAATTAATATAAAGATAATTAAATTTTTATTAATTAAAAAAAAAGTCATTTTTTTAATTAAATAAAAAGAGTCATTTAATTTGCATAAGCTTTTAATTAATTATTAAAAAAAAAAAAAAAGTTAGTACTTTTTGACTTATCAATTTAATTTATTTATTTATTACATAATAATTTAATTAATTTGCATAATAATATAAAAAATAACATTTTATTCAATTAATAAATTTAAACATCTTCATCACGTACTGATTTAATTAATTCGCATAATAATATAAAAATTATATTTTATTCGATTATATCAAATTTAAACATCTTCATTACCAAATTGATTCTACAAATGTTCCATCAGATGTCTCCTGAGATCAGCATTATCCGCTCTATTACGAATTCTTCTAAAACGACCGGAAATGTGTGCCGCCAACATTGTTGGTTTTTGAATGTATTGTGGGAGGGATATTGGCTCATCCGGCGGAGGTGTCCATTGCAAAATGTGTCCACGCTCATCTTCAATGATCATATTATGCAATATGATGCACGTTCTCATTATCTTGTTTAAATCTTCTTTATCCCAATAATACACAGGTCCTTGCGTTATAGCCCACCTAATCTGCAACACGCCAAACGTTCATTCAACATCTTTCCTAACGGCTTCTTGTTTTTTAGTAAATAATTTCTTTTTGACAGTCATTGGGTGTGGGATGGTTTGAATCAAAGTTGCCCACTTGGGATAAATACCATCAGATAAGTAATACCCCATTGTACGTCGATGCCCATTTACCTCGTAATTAATCGGAGGCATTGTGCCATTGATCAGACTATTGAATACCGGGGAATGATCCAAGACATTCACGTCATTGTTTGAACCAGCCATACCAAAGAAAGCATGCCAGATCCACAGATCTTTCGATGCAACCGCCTCCAATATAAGGGTAGGCTTATAATTTCTCCCCCTGTGTGTGCCATGCCACCCTGTAGGGCAGTTCTTCCATACCCAATGCATACAATCTATAGAGCCAAGCATACCTGGGAAGCCTCTTTCTTCACCTTCTCGAAGCAGACGTGCAATGTCCTCTTCGTTCGGTGTGCGTTGGTATTACCCTGCATACACTACAATTACAGCATCACAAAAACGCTTCAAGCTTTCAACCGCAGTGGTTTCAGAAATCTTTATGTACTCATCACAAAGATTTGCTGAAATTCCATATGCAAGTATACGTATTGCAACTGTCATCTTCTGTATAGGAGTGAAACCCATACGACCGAGGGCATCAGGCTTCTGGATGAACCATTCGTCATATGCTGTAACACCGTTTAAAATGCGAATAAACAACTCTCGGCGCATCCGAAATCGTCTACGAAACATCTCAAGTGGAAAAGTGGGATTTTCAGTAAAATAATCTTGGAATAGCCGTTGGGCTGCTTCCTTTCGATCACGTTTAATATATCTTCTCTTACGACGTCGAAAGAATGCATTTACCTTCTCAGGCGATAACAGTTGCATCACTGCATTCATCATTTTTTGACGTTCTTCAAAAAAATCTTCCCCGTCAGAAGAAGAAGAAGAACTCAATGGAGAAATTGACCTGGACACTGGAATAGATTGTGATGATGAAGCCATTTTTTTTTTTATAATAAAGATAAAGACTAAAAGAAGAGAAAATGAATTCGAAGATGTAAAGAAATGGACTTGATAATTGAAAAAATGAGAGAATGAGTGGTTTATATAGCCATTGAGAATATAGTTGTTGAAAAAAAAAAAAAACAGAATATATCCGTTAGCAAAAAGACAAACATAATATAACCGTTAGAATAAGATAAACATAATATAGCCGTTGGGAATATAGCCGTTAGGAAAAAGATAAAAATTGTAATGTTTACTAATTTATTTTTTTATTTTTATTTTTATTTTTCATGTGTGGAAGTATTAATGTATTTTTTTGTTCCTGAGTTGTATTATTTATTTTATTTGTAGGAAGTTATGTAGCAATAATACTACATATATAATTAATATATATATATATATATATATATATATATATATTTAAAATCTTGTATCAAAATCGGAGCAAATAATTATAGTCTTTAGTATTACAGTTATTGAGAATAAAATTATTAAGTAAAAAATGATAATAAAAAAATTTATTTTATTATTTAAAAAATAATGATATAATAAAGTGTACAATGAAAAAATGAATGCACAACAAGAATTTAGAGTCTTTAAAATAAGTATATAATCAAATGATAACGTGGCTATACACTTTATATAAAGTTGATTACGTCAGTGCACACTTTATATAAAATGTGGAATGGGAAACAATGGGTGGGTTGCTCCTTTAGTGGAAGTCAAAGATGGCCAATCGTTTTGGATTGACATTGCGCCATAGACTGCCAAATTTGGCGGCTGTTGCTCCTTCTTTACCTTCAATTACTTGTTCCATTGATTCTGTATCATCTCAGTTTTCCAAAATATTGAAGAGGAGAACTGCTGGATATAGAACGCCTCGTCGACTGGTATTAGGCCTAGGGGCTGCATTTTGGGTTCAATTCATGAGTATGGATGGTAATATTGGCGGCAAATCTTTCATTGCCTCCGCCAGACAAAAGGGTGAAATCGAAGAGGTATACTTCGAATCTTTTCTTGTGTCCATGGTTAATTTCTCGATTTTCTTGCTTAATTTGGTTCTGGGTTCTCTTAATTTTTCAATTTTGGGGTTGGGTTGGTGCTCAATTGGGGTAACATGCTGTAATGTAATGTACATTAAATTTTGAGTCGATTAAATTTTTTAGTTAGGTTCGTTGAAGGTGATCAGTTGTGTTTAATTTTCTTGGACTTTTTAATTTTGAGGTTTCTGATAATGCGCAAGTGCCAATGTCAAATTTAGATGGTTGAGGAAATTTCGTTCTGTATTTAAGTCAATGGTTTTGTATCGGGATGCATTTTCATATGATAATGATGAACCAATACTACATAAATTGGAAAAAGAAAAACCTTTACATATCGACCCCCCCCCCCACCACTCCCCCAAAAAAAAAAAACATTATTAACTTTTGAGCCCATTTTTACAATTATAATCCATTTGGGAAGTGTTTGTTTTTATGATATTGGTATCCAAATTTGGGCTCACATCATATTTGGAACTGCTGAAATTGGTTTGAAATAGTTCATAACATAGCAGATTATTTGGCCAAAACTCATATCACAAAATTGGTGATATTGTGTGTTTTGGTACTGTAGCTGAGGAATTAAAGCAAATTTCTGAATTTCCCAATTTCCCAAAACAATTTTTCGTTACCAAATATGATTCTGATTTCTACCCAAAACACTCCTTTAACAAATAGATTGTTTTGGTATTGACCAAAAACACATCGCATGCCAAACGGGCCCTTATACATGCCTTTCTGGTCAATTGTGCTATTTTGCAATGTCCTATGTACAGTTTTGATTAGTAGAAGGCACTTAATCACTATAACTTTTTCTTCTCCACTTTTGTTGGCACTCCATCACTATAACTTTTTCTTCTCCTCTTTTGTTTTGGCTTCTTCTTTGGAATGTATTTTCTCTTTTACATATCAGAGAAAAGAGGAAACAAGTAGCACTAGCGAAATATAGCACAATAGATTAGTAGAAGGCACTCAATCACTGTAACCTTTTCTTCTCCTCTTTTGTTTTGGCTTCTTCTTTGGAATGTATAAATATTTTATCAAGTCTTTACACTTTTACATATCAGAGAAAAGAGGAAACAATTAGCACTAGCAAAATATAGCACAATATGGCTAGGGCTGCAAATGAACCGAGCTTTTCATAAGCAGCTTGGGCTTGGCTTGCTAATGGCTTGGGCTCGTTCGTTAAGCAAACAAGCCTAGCTCGAGCTCAATTTCTAGGCTCGTTTACTAAACTAGCCGAGCCCAATTAGTGTCAGGCTCGGCTCGTGTAGGGTCGTTTATGTCGTGAACATATGCTTATTTAAGGCTTGTATATGTTCGTGAAAAATAGGCTCGTTTAGTAAATGAGCCGAGCCCAATCAGTGTTAGGCTCAACTTGTGTAGGCTCGTTTATGTCGTGAACATATGCTTATATAAGGCTTGTGTATTTTCGTGAACAATAGGCTCATTTACATCTGTTTTTTACTTTTTGTTGGAATTATTTAATTTTTGGAAGTATAAAATAAAAATGTAATGATTTACCAAACGAGCCTGAGCCTGAGCAGATTTTGAACATGAGTTCAATTTAATTTCTTAAACGAGCCTAGTCCGAGCTCTTTAATACCATGACTAGCCCGAGCCTGAGCTGAGTTTTTGAGCTCGTCACGAGCCCGAGCTGAGCTATAAACAAATGAGCCCAAGCCCAAACAGCCTAAAGCTTGGCTCAGCTCAGTTCGTTTGCAGCCCTAAATATGGCAATCCGTTTGTATACTGGGATTCTAGGGAGTGGGTCCTCTGCCCAGGACACTCACTTCCTCTCTTGGTGTAACAACTTGCTGACAATTCTAAAGGTTCATGAAGTTGTGCCATATGTGACCGACTGAGTTAAGATGTGGTTGTAATCTAGCAGCTGGATTGGTATTTAACTTAGTTGTATGTGTCTGTGTGCACGCGGGGCGAGAGAAGTATACTTTCACATGTATTATAATCTCTCCCAGTTGAATGTTGGCGCTACTACTGAACCACATAAAAGCCTTGTGTGTTACTTGTGTTTGTGTTCTCTTCATTAGGAAAAGGAGTAGGGCTAACAAAGAGACTGTGCATTAAACCTGTTGCATGATCAAATCAATTAGCATAAATCATTCAAATTTTATCCTATTGATCGGTTTAATTTGATCATTCAAATTTTATCCTATTGATCATTCAAATTTTCTATTTTAGCCTTTGCCATTATAAACCTGTAAATATTCAACTTCTTGATAATTCTTTTCAAAGTTGTCTCAGCATTGAACTTCTTCCTAGTTCTGATTGACATGTTTATTTCTTTATATTTTGTTTCCATTTCAAAGGTATTGAAGAATGTGGAGTGGCCAGAGCAATTTCCTTTCAAGGAAGAGGATTTCCAGCGCTTTGATGAGTAAACTATCTAAACTAATATGCTACTTGCATTTATTCGATATTCAGTTCTTTTCCACCTAAGGAGGTTTACGCTGCACTATGCATGGTTCACACCCTCAGTTTGTTATTACAAGGGGGAAGTAAAAATTATAAGAATTTTGTTGCCTTATCTTGAAAAAATGTAGTCTTCAACATGAACCATGTTCCTCAGTCCATATATTAATATAATCATGATTTTATTATCTTCCAATTAACATATCTACTTTTCATATATTTTATAAATTATGTTTTATTTTATGCACAAACCTTTATAGTGATTAAAAATTGTCAGCCAATTGAGCCATCTTTTGAACATGGATGAACCAATCTGATCACTTGACTGACTTGATAGTTGAGACTGGATTTCAAAACATTGGTGAATTTGGTGGTAGCTAATAATTCTAAAATTTAGTAAAAATGGTCTTTTATTTTTCATTATGTTATATCCTTTCTACTTCCCTTTATACTTTGGAATTGTCACCCACTTCCTTCTTACTGACGTTTTCTACAACCAGCCTGTTCTAAATTAAAGTTCTGTGCTGTGTGGTTCGACTAGAGGATTGGATATAATTTTTGTATAGTGCAAGACTTTAACATAATAATTTGCTAGGTCGCCAGATCCATTGTTCTATGAAGCTCCACGTTTTGTGACACATATTGATGATCCAGCCATTGCTGCACTTACCAAGTATTATTCGGAAGTCCTTCCTCCTAGTAACACTCCAGGAGTAGCTATCCTTGACATGTGTAGCAGTTGGGTAAGTCATGTTTTTATCTTGATGCGGCTCTATTTGTGTCAAGTATTTATAAATTATCATAACCCTGGTTTTATGTTTTATCTAGGTCAGTCATTTCCCTGCAAAATATAAGCAAGACCGGGTAGTGGGAATGGGTATGAATGAAGAAGAGCTCAAGCGCAATTTGGTGAGGCGTGATTGTTATATGCTTTGGCTAATCTTTGATGTCAATCTTTATTGTAAAGTTTTTCAAATGATTGGTCGATACAAATATTAAATGTAATTTGGGCATTAATTTAGGCAGATTATTGTAATTGAATGTCCATTCTTGTTGCCCTTGGTTAGGGCTCGTCTTGTATGATTGAAGTAAGGTTATATAAAATTTTCTAGTAAGTGGTGAGAAGTGTATCTAGTCTCCTCAAATCAGGATACGTATTTCCTACACTTAATTCTTTGTGAACTTGAGTTGATGGGTAATATTTTGTCTGTAGAGATGAAACAAATAGGTCATGGATATGGAATGCTAACAATTGGAAATTTTCTCATGTTATCTTTAGGAAATTTCTAAATCCACAACCATCTTTTGGCTGCTGAAGCAGCCTCCCCTCTCACAAGGGTGGTTCCCACTTCCCACCATGTCACAGGGGACTGCTGAAGTAGCCTATTTTTGGCTGTGGATTTAGCAGCCCTCTCTGTATATTGCACTTACATTTGTATTGTACATGTTTTCTCTTCTGGCTATATTAGGTATAACCAATCTTACATCATACGCGAACATAGTATCTTGTATTGATGAGATGTAGAAATTCATGCAATTTTGATGTCTTTGTAGGTTCTGACCGAGTATGTTGTGCAAGACTTAAACACTAACGCTAAACTTCCATTTGAAGATAATTGCTTTGATGTTATTACAAATGTGGTATGTGCCCCTTCTCCCGCCTTTTTATTTTTTTTTCAACTAACAAATATTTGCTTTAGATGCATGCTTCTGTGTGATCATTTGAATACTCTGTACTTGTGTAGTTCACAGTTTTTTGTTCTTTCGGATAGTCATGAATGTGATGGGAACCTCAGCTGCAACCACTCAACTTAAAATTCACCTTCGCTGTCCAACCATCTGCTAAAATTTCTCATATGAAATTTTGCAGACAGATGAAGATCGAATAACTAAAAAAAGGCTGTCAAGGGAAATAGAGTTTTCGAATGCTCTGATATCCATTTTTTTTTTTTTTTTTTTTTTTTTTTTTCAGGTTAGTGTTGACTATCTAACAAAGCCTCTTGAAGTTTTCAAGGAGATGTCCCGCATCCTTAAACCGGGTGGCATGGCTATAATGAGGTGATAATTCATACACTTTGAAACAATTTAAACGAGTTACCTCAATATCAACTAAAACTTGTGTGACCTGTTAATAATTTTATGTTTATGAGAAGCAGCACTTTCTTGAACCAAATGGGTGTTCAAGATTAAGTTGACTTTGGTTATCAAAATATGATAATTTCGGATTCTGCCCTATTACTGACGTTTGACAATCTGAAGAGACTCGAAAGAATACTGGGGCTAAAGATGTTTTTTTATATATTTTGAAGTCTTAAATTGTGCTACTCTTTTTACCAATCTTCGACATGATAAATCTAATGCCACCATTCTGGTAATAAAGCCAAAGAGGAATGAACCATTGCTTTTCCTGTATTCTACTTTTCCTCTGTGTTAAACCATCTCTAATTTCCAAGACTGATTGTGAAACAGCTTCTCAAACCGTTGCTTTTGGACAAAAGCAATCTCAATATGGACATCAACTGGTGATGCTGACCATGCTATGATTGTTGGATCATATTTCCATTATGCTGGAGGGTTTGAACCTCCTCAGGTAATTAACATCATATTTTTCTGTTTTAGCAAGAGCAAGCATATTACGTGTCATTGAGAATTGATGGTTAAGGCATCTGGAATCTGGATAATAGCTATTCTATTTTTCTGGGTAATTGATTTGTACTTCTTGTTACGTTCTAGCAAATGTCCAGTAGCATAGCCCATATAATTTTTCCATAGGTATATTCGTGGTGGTGATATGAATCTGTTAATTCTAAGGATAAACTGATATTGTCATTATCCAGCTTTTCAGTTTTGGTAGTAATAGTTGTTCCGTAGTGGCGGACAATATCATACAATCCATCCATGTTATATAACGTGTTGTGGATGCTGCTTCTGAATCTTGCTTCCATCCCCTGATCAATGGTCACAATATTGGGATTCATATGACCTCACCTACTGGGACTAATTTGGAATTCCAACAAAGATTAACAATTAACAGAAAGCCAGTGTTAAATTTAGGATTTGGTTGGAAGTGCAGTTAGGTAGTACGCTTCCCAGACTAGTGAGTTTGTTTGTATTGGTAATTTGAAAATAAAATGATGGTGAGTTTGTTTGTATTGGTAATTCGAAAATAAAATGGTGGTCGTCTGGTTTAGTTATTCCATAATTTCCCACTATCCGAAGACTCTAGTTTTATTCCATTAAAGGTATTTGCATTCTCTTGTGTAGGCTGTGGATATATCTCCCAACCCGGGACGTTCAGATCCAATGTACATTGTGTATTCTAGGAAGCTAGCTACAGCCTGAAAAGGGGATCACATCGAGGCTTGAGAATGTAGCGATTGGTGGGATATATTATGAGTAAATGGTAGTTCAGATTTAACTTATACAAGTTCTTGTACTCAATGAGCTTTGCCATTTTTTCTGTGTTGCATCTGTATACCAATGAAGATCGTCTCATTTTGAAATACACAGAGATTTTTCCTATATGCATCTTGTGAGTAGCGTTGCCTTATTAGAAGTTGATCTTGAAACATTCACACGGGCTTAAAAAAAACACGAATTCCTTATAAGAAATGTGTATATATTGATAGAGTCGTCCAGTATGGAGTACTTTGTGAACCCTACTTGTTTTTCAAGTAGGGAGGGGTTAGCTTGGAGTTTCCCTGGGGGATGGAGTAAGGTCATCTTTTTCTCATTACTCTGCTTTGGGATGAAAAAAGTCTCATATACATGTTCAAAAACTCGAGTCAGTGGTGTAATGGGGAAACATCAACAGGTTTGTTATTGAAATCTAAATACAGGAAATCATTAAAAAAAAAATCAATATGTACATATAAATTCACTATAAAGAACAATTATTAAAGATATTGCAACATAAATAACGTGTACCTTTTCAAAGTCTGTGATGTCAGTGCCTATGTCTGTGAATTTTTAGAATTTTAATTTTTCCACTGCACAATATAAAATCATTTCACAAATCACTATGAAATCTCTTTCTCACTCACCCACTGGTGTATATTTTTGTACATGTAAATAATATTATATGTGAATACAAGCAACTTGTTACTCTAAAAAGATGTGTATAAATACTAAAATGTATATCAATCAAGCAGCAGTTGCAACATGCACTGAGATTAGAAGAATCTAATACTCCAGTGAAAAGATGATTATTGGGATCCTAATACAATTTAGAATGTGTGTAAAAACCAAGTCTCCAACTAGCTTTAATTGAAGTTCACATAATCTATAGATTTAATGGTACAGAGAAAAATATACAATAATGACAAATAAACTTGCACCAGATCAGCTAAAAAGCAGGAAACCACCCAGTTTGAAAAGATGAAGTGTGTTTGGGAATAAGATCAAACCCAACCCTCTTTGTATCGGCGGAAGAGTTCTTCAGTTTGTGCATTCTTTAATGCACTGCAAGCAATCAGATAAACCCATATTAGCACCACCACTGCTACTATTAGTATCACATTGGCTTTCCTCCATTCCTTTCTCAAGTTTCCCAACAGACCAGCTTTGCAAGAATCACATCCATAGCACAATTGGTTCGGATCATTGTTCCAGATGGAGCAGTCCACATCGGACATCGGGTTCACCGGGTTGATCCACATTGTTGGATTCGCATACTGATAACCGCAAATTGTTGGAGGCTTACAACATCCTGACTGTTATAAATGTAAATTATAATAATACTATGCATAAGATAATATATATATATATATAATGCATCACTTATGTAGTTTTGGAAAAGAAAGGGAAAATTAAAACACACTGATCCAACTGACTAATGCTATCAAAACATCAGAGCATGGGCAAAGTTTTAAAACCGTATGTAATGCTTCTTTTTCTTATCTTTTGCAATAAAGATAGTGTGCGACTGAGAGATCAATTATTCTAGTTTAATTTTGTTAGGTGCAAAGTTTTCTGAGCTCAGCAGAGCAAAATGGAAATAATATTGATAAAACAGATGAGGACCCACATAAGGTTGGAGATGACTCCACATTGCCCACCATTAATCATCATCAGATGGACCAGATAGTATTTTTCTTGCATCTAAAATTGTTTGATGCTTTACTGATTTTGTCTTCTAAAAGGTAGTCCCACAATTGGTGAACCAAACCAGTTAATCAACAGCCAACATATAGCACTAGAACAGAAAGGGGCAAAAAAAAAAAAAAAAAATTGAGGAAAAAACTTTGAGAAAAAAAGTAGAACCTGTGTCAACAGTATTATTTTTTATTTATTGAAAAAATAAAAATAATTCTTTTAGAAATACTAAAAGCTGCAAAATTGTAAATACAAACACACATAATTTACTTGTTTAGATATCAGGTATGCGCATGATATGAATCAATATGAGGAAGGGGTTCTCCTCACACGTAAGGAGACAAATATTGCCCTGTATTTTATAGATAATTAGTTGTGAAATTTTGAACCCAGTACCATTTCGGATCAAATGTCTTCTTGTTATTTTATTTTATTTTATTTTTCTGTTATGTGTGGGTAGACGAAAAATAGAACATCAAATTGTTAATACAATAATTATGTAAGACCATTAAATACCTTAATTTAATTTAATTTTGAATCATGGATGTAACGGTGGAGTTCACCAGTTCCAAAGACCGGACTGACCCCGGCTACTTGATAAGTATGTAATATATATTTTTAATTTGTTTAATACTCTCTTTCAAACAAAATAAAATAAAATAAAATATGAAGTGACCCCCCAGAATGAGATATTTATTTTGAGATAGAGATAGTAACGTGGTTGTTACGATGCTGCCTAGTAATTTCTAATTTCTACTGTTTTAATATGATACTGCCTTTGCAACAACCATTGACATATCGCGCCAGCAGACCCACTGACTCAGTTCTTTTATTTGTTTTTACCGACTTACTCTGTAGTCTGGACCCAGAATCATCTTTAAAGTGAGAGTCTAAAGCCGCGTTTGGACAGTCATGTTGCTACATTCTCACAGATGACAAAAATGCCAATTAACACAACCCAATTATTGCAAGAAAACAAACAGGCCAGTAATTGAACGGTGGGATGACTTGCCTGAAGAGGAGAGAGATGAGCAGCAAAGAACTGATCCACAGAGACATACTCCAAACTGAGCTTAGAACAGACATCTGATTCAGCGAGACAAGCCCTAATTTTGCCCCAATTCCCTGAGTTGGTAAGGTGGTTCCTCAGCCACGACGAGAATCCGGCGAGCCGGTACTCGTGGAATGACCTGCCAGGGACGGAGTACTCGCCGTTGGGGCGCGTGACAACGAAGGCGAGGACAAGGACGATGAGGAGGAGGATGATGAGGAGGGCCATGCAGATGAGGTAGAATGCGAGGAGGCCTTGCCTGTTCCAGTAGGCGCCGACAAAACCGGCGAGGGAGACGAGGAGGATGAGGACGCCGATGAGGACGATCGGCCACCGGAGCCAGTGGACACACTCGTTGTCGGGCTTCGAGGCCAGCCAGATGCCGGCGGCAATTATGGCGATGGAGCAGAGGAGTGATGTGAAGTTGAGGAGTGCGGTTATTTTGTTGCTGACTCCCATGGTTAATTTTTAGAGAGAGAATAGATAAAGGACTGGAAGAGTGTGAGAGAGAGAGTATGTGAGTGAATTTTAGAGAGAGAAACAGATTGGGATCTGGTGATGATGATTGAATATATATGGTTGGTGTGAGTGAATGGGATGGGTTTCGCCTTCTTTATTTATCAACTTCAGCTGTGTAAATTTTCTTGCTTGGATATAAAAAGTGGAGAAAAAAAACGAGAAAATTAAACTTGTTCTTTTACGTTTGGTTAGACGGATATAAGTAAGAAAAGAAAAGAAGTGGAAAATGAAAGAAAAGTAAAATAAATAAATAAATAAGTAATATTTGATTAGTATGAAAATTTATTTAAAAAAATTATAAAAAATATTAATTTATTATTATGAATAGCATAAACGAAATTGATTAAAAATACTAAAATTATCTTTGTAATTTTAAATACTAAAAATAAATGAATTTATATTTAATGATGTCTATTTTAACAAAATAAAAATAAATAGTAAAGTGATTGATTATTAAATAAAATAATATAATAATTTATATTTTAAATAAGACTTCATAATATTTTTCATAATATTTTATCAGGCAGAAGTATAACTAATTATTAATAAGAGAAACAAAACTTTTAAAAAAATAATAATAATAAAAAATAATAATAAAATGGTTGTTTTGCATAAAAACTGCCTCTTTGAAATTCAGTAAATAAAAAATAAAAATAAAAAGTTGTTTCGCACTATTAAGGTATAGGATTGTAAAATAAAAAGGCACTCCTTGTAAGCAAAAATATTATTTCTTTGTGTTTTGCGCAAGAAAAGTTTTAGAAGAAAATAGGCAAGTATGGAAATAAAATTTTACATCTTTTTCCATCTACCCAAATTCCAAAAAAAAATAAAAATTTTCTCTTTCATTTTTTTTTTTAGTTGATTTCACATAACCAAATGAAGATTAAAAATAAATAATTAAATTTTTTTCTTAGTTGGTACCCACACAAATATGACTCGAGTGAGGCTCAAACCCCTTACATCTCTTTGGAAAGTTGGCCACTAGCATCAATCCTAATCCGATTTGTTCTCAACGGATTAGAAAATTTTGAATCCGTCACCAATTCGTTATCCCACTGATCGAATCTGTGTAATGACGGATCGGATCGAATTAAATCCGCGGATTGAGGTTTTTCCTAAATATACCAATATTATTATTATTTTTAATTATAACCCAATAAATAAAATTTTAATTTATCAACATTAATTCATATATTTAAATGATAATTAACAAATACATTCTTAGAGTCCATTAAATGAATATCAACTAATTAAATTAACTAATACATTATTTGAATATATAAATCTCACGAATTTGATCAGAGTCACGCGGATCAGATTGAATCGAATTTTTAACAGTCCAATTTGTGATCCGATCGGTAAACTATGATTCAATTTTTTTATATCTATTATCGATTCGTAAGTGTAGTAATTCGATCCGATCTGTACAAGTTGGATCGGATCGGATTCATGGATTCACGAATTATTTATCCACCCCTATATTTAACTTAGTTAACATTAAACAATTTACGACAACTCAGAAAAAGATTCTTAAAAGATTGTTAAAGATTATTTTCGATGTAAAATTAAAATATTTTTATATCAATTTTTAGATAAAACTTTACAAAACCTATTAGCCAAACTTATAAATGCCATTCATAACTCGGCAGTTGAGCTACACTCCGTTGTCCTAGGGAGCTCGATTCAAGCCTTCGCACCTACCAAAAAGAAAAAAAAATTGCTCTTATAATGTCCAAAAAATACTCAACTATGGGAATCGGGCGCGTTCGACTCCTAGAATGTTAGTAGGGTGTGGGCTTCCTTCACTGCTTCAGACAATATATTATGAGGAAGAGAGAAAATATTAACTCACTGCATGCCAAAAATATACATATGCTTCCCACCTCAACTATATGACGACTCTTTGTTGTAATAAGCTAAACCACAAAGATGATCCGTCGTAACTTAATAGTAGTTTTTCTCTTTTTCAAGATGATAGTTGAGGACTCAAGCGAAAAAAAATAGTAAAATGGTTATTTTGCTCCCACTATAATTTTCTTGTAAATACGTTTAATTCATTTCACTTAACCTTTTTTATTACTGTCACTTGCTATTTATTTATTATTTATTTTTTCTAACCAAACGCAACCTGAAGGCTCCGTTTTACTTCTGTCCACGTGCGATCCAGTGCTGTGCCGGCTGGACCATGTGGCTCTTTGCTTTTACATAACGAACCCGCGTTTTGCGACCTAACCCTAAAAACAAGCGCAGTAAACGCGAGTGGAAACACGCTCCAAACGCCATTCAATCAGTGGTTCTTCCACGTATGCTATGTTTAGTAGGTACGTTTGGCTACAAGTTTTAGGTTGGGACACAAACTCAAGTTGCGATTTTCTCGAGAAAGTTTTTCAGTAAATAAAGAATTTTCCCGCGTTTTTTTACACTCTATCTTGTTTACAACAGAGGAGTGATGAGGGAAAATGGAGTCTTGGGTCGAACTTGTCGACATCTTCATGAACTCTCCATGTCCTGAATCAGAGGCATCGCTATGGTTACGACAATCTTTCAACGCCTCATCGACCACTACCACAAACTCCTTCATTTCATTGCTCACAAAACCCTTTGAAACCGTTGTCGTCGACTCGTCCTCTACTTCACCTTCCTCACCTCCTCACACTAAAAGGTGAACCATTACATACATACTTACGTATATATATATATATCATTTTTGGTTTGTGAAGTTTGCTGAATCTGTTGTTGATGAACAGGGTTATGTGGATACAGACGCTACCAAATACGGTTCAGTCTCGAATTCTCTCTTTTCTCGCTTTCGATCGCCAAAGATTTTGCGCTAGTGACTTGACTAAGCTTGCACATAATGTATTGAATGGGAATCTAGAGATTGATTTTTGGGTAAAGAAAACTGCACGTCAGCTGCTCGACGCAGTGTCTCAGTCGGATTATGAATGGGTTTCTTCTTTGAATTTAGATTCTGAAGAAGATAGAGTGGATGAAGAGTTTGAGTCGTTGCCGAATTGGCTAAAGGAGGAGGCAAGTACTAATGATTTGGTTCTTCCATGGCTTCCCATATCAACCGAAGAATTGAATTCGAGAATGTCATTTGGTACTTGTGGAGATGTTGAAGATTCAGAAATTGAAGTTGATGAGGAGGAAGAAGATAGGTTAAATGAAGTTGTGGACGAAGTGAACATGGGTTGTATCGAAAATGACACTGTGAACCCAGAAATTGAAAAGAAGGCGGCTTGTTTGAGAACACAGATATTGACCTTTGAATCTGTTTCAAGAACTGTAAATCTAGCGAATGAAATACGCCAACTTTGCTTGGAAAGAGGAGCAGATTCTTTAACAGTTTTGGGATTGATTGAACCTTGGGAAGCAGATGACGAGACTGGTTCAGTTCTGATTTCTCATGTTTGTGATGGAAGCGAAGAGGAACTCGGTTGGCCAAGTCATGTTCTTTGCTCAATTCTGCTTCCTAAATTGTTAGTACTTAAAGAACCAGCTTCTCGTGTGCTAGTGACTGCTACAATAGAGTACTGCAAGATTCATCAAAGGGCTGCTGTGTATGCGCTGTTGTTTCCATTGATTCTCCGAAAAGAAGGTATTAACAACTCTATCTGCGATGTGACCACAAGGATCATTAAGGAATGCTTGCACCCCGCTCATGTTTCTGCCTTCTGCCAGAAGCTGCTAAGTGGAGAAGAAGACACGAGGAAATTCATCTGCCTGCCATGCCACCAAGATCTAATATCCAATGAATTGGTATGGACAGAATCAATGTTTCACTTGTTCCAGAATATCTTGAATCATAATGTTCATTTGACACTAGATTCCATTGATCAACTCGTTAACAAGGTTTGGTTATCAGCTGAGAGGTTTTACAAATCTCTGAAGTTTGGAAATTTTGTATTATGCTTAGTCACCAGATGTGGTCCATTAGTCAAGTCTCATAAGCTTTCATTAACTGAAGCAGTTGAGCATACTGATACTCTCGTGACCAAATCTATATTGTCAAAATTGGCTAGCTTGTGATTAGTTTAGGAATATTTCTTCTAAAACAGTTTTTCTGCTTCATCTTCAGTTGTTTCTGGGAACAGAGGTACTGAAAATGTTGTTAGGTGTCACTTCGAAGCTAATTTCAATTTTATTTGGCTATGATCATGATTCTTTATCCACAAGAGTTGTATGTGCAAACTGTTTTGATCTGTATTGCCATGCTGTTGTGATTGATTCGTATAAGAAGTCTATTTATGATATTGTGATTGTAGATTCAAAGGCTTAAGAGAGGCTTTATATAGAACAACAGCATTTATAGGATTTTATTTCATTAGTGCTCAAAATGTATAGGATACGGTAATAAATGCAACATGTTACCTTATACTGGAACTAGAAAACACTAAGATAAACAGAGGACGCATTGATAGTGAGTACAGAATACATGGATAAAATAAGGAGTCTTTTAGACAACACTACTCTCATGCCCGTTGGTCATTTTCTTCATGAACTCAAATCTGGGACCCTTGTCCGCAAACTTAGTTGTGGCATAAAGGTTCAGATAATCTTGAAAACGGAAGTGATTGGGATACAAGAGTTTGGGAGCTGGGGAGATGATGGCATCACCGGCAGGATTGTAGAAGGTGGCGATGGACAGTCTGCTTCCATTCTTGTCTGCCATCACACGATGCAAACAACTCTTATACCTTCCATTGCTCAATACTTCCACTTGATCACCTGTATTGACAAAGATGGTGTTGTTCTTGGAAGGTGGAATCTCCACCCATTGTCCATCTTTGAAGAACTCGAGACCTGGGACTTGGTCATCTTGGAGCAAGAGAATGATCCCACCAGCATCAGTATGCTCACGAAGTCCTCTTACAAGTTCAGGTTCAGGACATCGAGGGTATTTTGCCACTTTTGTCCCTACAGAAGGACCTTTAGTTCCCGAGAATGCTTCCCTTATGCATTCCTTCTCCAATCCAAGATTCTCACACATGAGCTCGGAAAGTTTTTCTGCTAGCTTAATCAGGTGATCAATGTATGCTTCCATCGTTTTGCTGCATATGTGATTCTATCATCAGTCAATAAACATATACAAGCACTAATAAACATTATAAGCTGACATTTTTGGCATCGCATTGTCTAATCAGCAAATAATTAATATGGTGCTGACCGGCAGATCATTGGCCCAGGTGATATAAGCTCTCCTCCCTATTGGGGAGGTGAGTGGTTCAAGCCCCACACGGGGCAGTGTAGTGCTGTGTGTGTTGCTAATCTACCATATATGTGTGTGTGTGTGTGTGTATGTACGTATATAGTTCCGTCTCTAAATTATGCATTTCGCTGGCTAATTTATCTTGGTGTGTTGTTATTGAAGCAATATCCTCCAATACTAAAAGCTGGACTGAATGAAATTTCAGAACAGCTTACGGAAGATCCACTGGGAGGTTTGTAAAATCATTGATGTTTGAGTTTGGACGATGCCGAATGAAGAAGGTGCTTTCCCAGTCTGTGTTAGTGGTAAGGCTTTTTTTCTCCAAGCTTTTGGCTGTCTCCGACTTGTAGAAGCTCTCCTTCATGCTTTCCTCGTAATGCTGATTCACCAATTGCTTGACTTTCTCCATCAACGCTGCGTCAATTCCATGGTTCTCAATCTACAAATATTAAGCTCACCAATGTTAGAATGTAAGTTTAAATTCAATTGAAATCATAATATCATACTCTTTACTTGAAAAAAGCCCCATTTTTCGCAAGCCTCATGGAGAAGCGCCATTGTTTCGCTCCTCTTCTCACCATCAAGCTCTTGAAAGTCTATCACAGGGATCTCCATTTCTTTGTTTCTTAACTTAGAATGAAGAAACTACGAAGATAAGTGGAGTATATATAGGCATGGACAGGATATATATATCTTTATCAATTTTTAAATTAGGGGGCAGTTAGATTGGGAAAAAATAAATAAATAATTGGTAGTTGCAGGTTAACCATAACCTCATTGAAAGGAGAATTGTTTGGGTGCCTTGAAAATAGCAAGGATTAATTAGTGGGTCCAAATTCAATTCACCACCCCATGTTGATATATATATGTTTTTTCTCCTCCTTTGAACTATTATTAATCTGATACAATCAACTAAGCTCTCTCTTGTGCACTAAGTTTTGTTTGCTTCATTTTATTGGTAAAACTTTGTATGGTGTAGAATGCTTCCTTCCATACATGTGCTATCTGCATATATGATATATTTCTCTCTTTATTTTATGCATTCATCTTTGGGAAACTGTACTATAAGTGGTGGTTTCTTGCATCTTCAATCACTGGTTTGAATAAAACTAGGGGCAGTTAGTTTGACATTGAATATATTGCCTTCAAATAGCCACAGTGGGAGAAAGGAATGGACTAAGTGTTCCAATGGGCGGTTTTGGATTGAAGTTGTTGCAGTTGTTAATAAATGACATTAAAATTAGCAGTCTCAATCATATATGTTTGTTATTTCAGCCTACATTTCATGCCCTTGCTCAATCCACCTAAATGTTTCTTTTTTAAGAGCTTATTATATTTATGCCCTGGTCATGCAAAGTTGAAAAATTTATAATTGACGACGCAACACCAACTGGGAGATATAAGGTGTTGAAGCAATGGACCCCACACATCTCTCTTTTAGGGCCCGTTTGGCATGCGTTTTATTTTTGGCTAAAACAGAAACAGTGTTTTTGTTGTAGAGCGTTTTGGAGAAAATTCGGAAGTACGTTTGCGAACTATGCTTTGTTGTGAAAATGTCAGAAATAAAAATATGAAAAACATGTTTGGGCACACAAATATTTATATATATATATATATTAATTTTTGCTATAAACTAGTTTATATCCACATGCAATATCTTTATATATATATATATATATATATATATATTAATTTTTGCTATAAACTAGTTTATATACACATGTAATATCTTTATTGCAAAAATTAAAATATATACACACACACACACACACACACACACACATTTATCGGTGGTGATGAAAATCCAGTTAAGGGCTCGGACTGAAAACTTGTCCAAACATTAATCGGTCACAGATTCACGATCAAATTCGCAGCCAACTGGTGTGACCTTCAAAGAACCACCTGAAAATGGATGCACAAGAAGGAGGCACACACAAAGCTCAAATAACAACAACGATCTCCTCAGAAACCCTAATTTCAGATACCGAAACGAATTAGCAATCAACAACGCATCACTAGAATGAATTCTTATGAAGATTAAGAAGATAACGGAGTTGGTGAATCGAAACCCTCAAAATTTGGTCAGAAAGAGATTCTGGGAGCGCTTAAAGTGGTCGAGAGGGACTCCGTGGCGGTTGCCGAGAGCTTCACCACTCTCTTCGCTTCTCTCCGTTTGGCCCTCTCTGAGGTTTCTCACTCTTCGCTTCGATTTTTCTACCTCATATCTTCTTCAATTTAGGTAGGCTTGGGTCGGTGGTGATGAAAATCTAGCTTTGGTGTTGTATTTGATATCGCCCTTGAATCGCAGAGAGAGAGTATCAGGAGAGGAGAGAGAAAATTTGCCCAAAAAATGACCTAAAATGTTATATACGTAAAACAAGTTGGGCCGGCCACTTCCTCCGCTACAGTGAAAATTTGTCCAAACAGTACTGAAACAAGATAAAACACCAAAATGGTGTTTTTAGTTTTGGGCCTCTTTAATACTTTATAACTGTGCAAAACAAAACAAAACCAACCAAACATATTTTGGACTTCATTTAGGTTACTGTAGCGGGCCTGAAACAAAAACACAAAAACAAAGTAGATGCCAAACAGCCCCTTAGTCGTTGTGGCTCTTTTCCTTGTGAATATAGAAAATTTAAAGTATCACAGTGGTGGTATGGTGAGTCATCTCTTGTCATGCATATATATATATATATATATATATATATTACAAGGGAAGAGGTTTTAGAAATTAGATTAGTAAATGCATAGAGTCAAAATTTGACACTCTAAAATTCACCAAAAACACTAACCCACTAGATTATCGAGGTATTTCCATCTTTTGTCACGCATATATCCTGTCCAATTAAACTTTCAATTAGTTTTTTTTTTTTGTTATTTTATTATTATTATTATTATCTTGATAAGAAATACACTCACACAGTTACTCGTTAACAAACATTTTTTGAGGTTGGGGAAGTAATATTATTGGGCTGGATGCCCTTTGATTTTAAATAGCTCTTAATCCTCCTGAATTGCCTTGTGCATTCTTTAAGTTGTTCCTTTTGATTTTAAAATGTGTGGATGATTCATTCTTACTTTTGAATTAATTGTAAACTTGTAATCATATATAGCAGAAAACTATATAAATGCAGGGATGTTCCATTGCAAAAAGATGAGTTACTTACAAGTAATGTAACATCCTTTACCTGCCATGGCCCATGGGGGACCATAACCAAATAATGTTCCTTCTAGTATGATAATGGACTTTCCAGTGCAAAGAATGTCATGCTATATGTATATATATATATACAGATCAAATGCAGTAACGATGGAAGAGTATACAGGAAGTTCTATCCCTTGGTAATTTTGTACATCTCTTGCATATTGTTGTTTATCTGGCTCTCCTTTTAACAGTCAAGAGCCATATCCCAATTCCACTCCATCTTTTTTATTACATGAACCAAGGTCTACCAGCTCTTTAATATTTGTCTTAATTCCACCCCAATATGATTTGGGATTTTGCATCGACGACTTTAACATGGTTGACGAAATTTCAGATTTTGGATCATGGAATTGGGATTCAGGACGACAAATTGGAGTTGGCCAGTGACGCCACACCACTTCCAAATCAAACGATTGGTCCCCTGATTCGAAAATAGAACTGACAATAAGTGAAATTAATACAAGTTGGTCCCCACTTCCTAGTAATTCTCTTGGTTGAAGTTAAAAATCGCAACCTCAACATCTTTGGGGGTTTTGTTTTTCCATCCGTTAATATTTCTTTTACTTTGATTTCTCCATTTTGTTTTTGTCTGGGATCATATGATTTCAAAATTTTACTTTAATTCAGAAGGGCATGAACAGAGGATCTAATTCAAATAGCTGAGAACGGACAATCACAACTCTCCTTGTCCTTGTACAAACTTGGGTTCGTATAGTAATTTAAGGATGATTTGGTGATGTAGATCTAATATGAATGCAATTTATTTTGAGTAATGCTCTCAATAGAGCTCATCTCGTGAACTCTTCATATTTAACTATTACATTGAGATAATTTTTTAAAATATATAAAAATAATAAATTATTTAATAAATCTGTCAATTTATTAGTTAAAATGAAGAACTTAAGCATTACCCATTTATCTTACGTTGTTACTCCATATGAAAAGGACGGGTGAAAACAGAGAAAAATAGCACTGGGAACCAAATACCAAATTAAATATGAGGTGTCACTATCATCTTCAAATTCTGATGAATCCATCAATGAAGAAGATTCACATCAACTACCGTATCTAATGATGAAATGTTTATTTATTGGGGTCAAGAAGAAAGAGGGATGATCACTTTTGTAGAAATGAGTATTGTTTAATGATGTATGATGAAAGTCATGCAAATTAATTCAAAACTACGAATCCAAATAAAACAGTTTTTCTCAAGACCACAGGAAATTTTATTCTGCTGCCTAAAACTGCACCTAGTTTTGCCCATAGCTCCCCCACCCCATGCTCAATCATGTCATAGTAACGAAACAATAATTGTTGTTAACATAACTGCCAAAGTAAGACTGTAAAAAGTACTCAGTCAACAAGGAGTGTCTAAAAACACATGGATTGAAAAATGAAAAGCATTAATGCTAACCTGTTATAAACAATCATATAACACTTTGCGTAACCTGTTATTAAGCATTAAGCATTAATGGATGGTAAACAATCATATAGTATAAACCTGTTACTTTAGGGATAATAATTGTAATTCAGCCATTTTTAAATGATTCTGTCAATGTCCACAGTTTATACATGTTCCAGTAGAGTTTTGCGTGCTTAGGGATATCGAAGATTTATTTTTAACACTTTGCGTCAGTATTTACATATAATTTCACAGTATCTCTAACTATGGCAATTAAGCTTTTGGATACAGTTAATAAAATGTTTAGAAAACAAAATCTGAGGCAGAACTACATAAATAGGAATGAATTACCTACGGATATCAATGGGTACATTAATGTTCTTATTATTGAAAATTATAAAGTAATTGGACAGGCCAAGCATTTTCTCCACCTTAATGGAAGTTGCGCATTTCATTTCCTTCTGAAAAGTTCCATTCTATATCTACATCAGTTTTCCCCTCTGCAACCCCTCTCCATAACCTTCACCACCCCTCTCCATAACCTTCACCACATAACTAAATGCCACTAGGGAAAAACTATTGGTGCCATGCATATGTCAACACAAGCTTGAAAAAATAATTGCTACCGGCAAAATCTGCAAGGAAAACAAGTTGAAATCAATGGGCAATTTCTGAAATGTGTGTGTGTAACTTCCGATGAAAAATAGACCTGCAAACTCACCTTTAGTAGGCTTTTAAGAGCCACTCCAATATCTGAACTTGCAAATTCCACGACGATTTTCTGCAAAAGAATCACGAATGGATTGCACCATGAAACATACAGCAGGAACATGAGCCAACTCTTCGTCCTGCTCCTGCAAATTGACATATAATTAATAAAAAATATATATACATTTAAATGAGAGTTTTACAGAAAAAAGAATAAACAAATAATAAAAAAGAAGAAGGAAGAAACCTAATACCACTTCAGCCAGGCGGTTCTCTATACCCCCAGAATTTGGTTCAGTGGGCATGAATATCTTCCTGTAAGCTGTTCTAAGTCTCTTGATCTAGATCCTCACCAAAGAAATATATTATCAAATTTTGTTAAATGCATTCAATTTAAAAAATTAATGCACTTTAGCAAAAGTAGATGGCATGGATTCCGACATGGTTATATCACCTACTTTTGAAGAATCCATGAACATAGCAAGAGACCATATAGAAAGAACCCTTACTGCACATAACCCAAAGGGGCTTCTAAACCAACTCAAGATAGCAATTGGAAAGCACTTTCAATTGAAACAAACCTCCATTAGTGAGAATCCACGCCGCCGAAGACCTTCCAAATTCAAACCACGGAGCTCTGCTCTTTCTCCAGCTACCATCGTGTATTTTGGGACATCTTGTGAAACCTTCAACATTTCAGAAAGGAATGAGTTAGATTCCATGTTATAAAAATGTTTATCATTCTTGAGACCTCCAGCCACCATCATTTATTTTGAGTTTCTTGTGAACTGATGCTAAAATTTACCATTTTGGCGGAAAACATTTTGCAGATACTAGAGAAAAATACTTAATTCAGCAAACTCATAATAATAAAAGCTGTGTAAAAAAGGAACTCTAGTCACTAGTATTAGATGTTCAGCGGGACTTTAGCCACAGATATGTATGCAAATTGGACAAAATTCCAAGCACCACCCCAGTGTTGCAGTTTACTTCGTTTTTTAGGTTACTGTGCTGGACACCACATACTCATATCGGCACCGGCACCAGCACCCACTTTATGATGGAGAGAGTATATAATGGCAGCAAAATGTCGAGAAATTAGAAAATAAACTTACCACAGAACCACCACCGATGAAAGAAAAAGAACCAATACGGCAAAACTGATGAATAACAATAGCCCCTGCAGTATGAGTATAGTCCTACAAATAAAGCACTAGAATCAAGTTTCAATCAGATGCTGCATCTAAGAAGAAACAATCCAAAATGATGCTATATTTTACAGAAAAAAGAAAATGAGAAACTAAACGAGGACTGACCTCCACCACAACATGGCCTGCTAGAAGACTATTATTTGCAAAAATGTTCTTGTTGCCCACTTTGCAGTCATGAGCAATATGACAGGACCCCATTATAAGATTGTCATCACCAATAACCTGATCAAACAATGCCAGTTAGGAAATTGAAATAGCCTAGGCCCTAAACATGATATATAAGTTCCTCACTTCTGAAAAGAAAAAGTTACGACTTTCCATACTGTTTTTTCACTCGACTTTGACGACCGATGAATAGAGGTATGTTCTCTGATCTCATTGTTGTCGCCAACATGAAGGAAACATTCATCCCCTGGCTGAGATCATAGACAAATAAATACAAAAACAGTTATGTTCTTTCCAAAATAGACAGAAATATATATTGAAAGTACTAAAATTGATTGACCCTGAGTCCACTACATGTGGAACGTGTACCTTCATGGTAAGAACAATTATGTGATAATGATGATGATTATTATGTTAGTGATGTTGAAGAGGACAACAATGATGTTGATCAAAACTGAACTTCTTTATACATATACTTCTGCAAATGAATTCAAACTAAATACTACAATAAGAATCATCAGAGAGTATCTTGAAGGGGGAAAACGACAAAAAGACAAAACTATGGCAATGTTAGATGTAACACATACTACTTTCCCTGTACAAGTTCAATGTAAATATGTCAAGATATTGTAGACTTCAAATTTTACCACATCCCAGTTACACAATAAATTATGCCAATTCTTAAACATTTTCTGCTTTAGTTTCTGCAAAATCGTACTGTGAACTTTGAAAGATGTGAAACCCCCTCTATAAGGTAGCTTAGAAAATTTTCCCCACCACAGAAAACCAAAAGGGCTTCAAAACTTGTTTACATTAGTGAAGAAACAAAAAGTCTCCCTAATTGTCTTCTATATCTTTTGAAGAAACAAGTTACTCTGAGGAACTTATAATAAGTGAATATCATCATTTGAACAATATAACATTGACATTGTATGATTTAAAAGTGATAACAAAGGATGACAGTGTAAATTTGCAAAATTGTATCAATTATAACAAAGTCAGTATAGAATGTATATCTACTATTAACAAGGGATGCCCATGACAAATGAGAAAAAACAGAAGCATTGGGATTTAGAATCTCAAGAACAAGCAAAAATGTTGAAGTTTCATCATTACTACTATATACGATGTCGTCAGGTGCTGTACAGAATACGTGACATACCCAAGTCAGACATGAGAAGACTCGGTATTGGCATAGAATCTGTATCTAGCTTTCTGAAAGATGCAAAAATATATGGAAGGGGGAATGCATTTTAAATTCAACAGAAGATGCATTTAGCACTCTCTTAACATATTCCTTTGCTATATTATTTTCAGATTGAGAGATATAGCTGTCTTCAATAAACTTTGCAATAGAGACATACCATCTTACTCTAAGGCGAGAGAGAGAGAGCCAACACCTTAATGCAATACCCCAGAACACAGCCAACACTTGGGCCCAAATCTTGGTAACATAGTGCTATGTTGGATTGCTCCAACAAACCAGTTGTATGAGGAAGGATAGGGGATATTAGTTGTATTAAATATACAATTATCTAAGAATACCATAATCCTTGAGCCATTTAATTTGCATTGAAGGAGGGTAGAACAGCCCAAAAATTCACATCAAACAAATTAGTAACACAACCAGGAGTGACCTTTCAGCCTTAATAAAAGCTAATGTTACATATAATCTTCTGGCAGATGAAGAAGACTGTATATCTATATAACAAAGGGGATAGGTAGGAGTATACAACTCTTCTCATAACCAATTGTAATGCAATGGTTCACTCCTAACCAATTGATTTCCCAACCAGAAAGTGATTATATGGTAATTTGCAAAAATGACTGCAGTATTCTATCAGCACAGCATGATAAGTTGACAATATGAAGAAGCATATATCAGATTGTCCATAAGTTGCTAAAACATATCAATCGTTATTAATACCAATGAAAAATTGAAAACTAACCTTGTACTTCATGTCTTGGCATTTAATGCCTACCACAGCATGATGCCCAATAATGTTGTTGCATCCGAGAACTGTACACCCAGGAAGATCATCTCCAACCACAGCACCACTGTAGACAAGATCACACATAAAATTACTTAAAATGACAAAAACAAAATGATTCCAGGCATTGTACAAACATGAGTGAAATTAGGATTTAAACTCACCTCATCAAAATGCAGTTATCTCCCAATTCTGTATTTCCAAAAACGTGGCTTCCGGGATATAGTTGACAAGCATTCCCCAACTTCACAGAAGATCCAACAGTACAAAATGGGCCAATTGAAACACCCTGCAATCAAAGAGAAGTTTACCAGACACACGTTGAAACAGTAAAGAGCCAATCAATATGCTGAATTGAGAGTCATCCCAAAACGTATGAGTCCTGATACTTGAAAAGAAAAAAAATTACTAATACATAAAACTAAGACTACGCAGAACAAAATAAATTTAGAATTGAGTCAGACAGTGGCAAAATTCGAATCTGGTTACAATTCGCAAATTTAAATCTAAAAAATTAGTCGCAACAAATATATATATATATAAAGCAATTAGGAAACTAAAAATACAGGGCTCTTTCTAAGTATTTTCTTGCTTGCAACCTTCTCTAGAATTAACCCATTTATGGCAGTGGAAAAAGAAATTTTTTTGGTAGTAACAACCACATCCATTATGAATACGAGTAAAAAGCAGCAAATGGAACTGCAAAACAAGTACCTGACCTATAACGGCGTTTGGATGAACAATTGCAGAGGGATGAATGAAGCTAGGGTTTGTTCCATAAGTAGCATTAACTTTATTATCGTCCGTAGCATCTGTATAGATCACAAACCAACTTAAAAACCTACGGAGGGAGTAACAACTTTTTGATAAATTTCGTATATATACAAATATATGTGTATGTATATTTATACACAGAGATATATATAGAGAGGAGAGATTTACAAGTGAGTGTACTGGAGAAGCGTTGCAGAGTGAGCGTGGTGAGGGTGAGTGCAAAGGAGAGAGGCTTGCGAGTATAGAGGAGCAAAGACATGGGCTCGCAATTTTGGGTCTTTCCGTGGGTCTCTGTTTCAGTGTTTCCCTTATGCTTGGTTTGCCGGGGCAAATTGTAAAAACAACCCTCAACTTTTTTTAATTATGTTTTGTGCTAAAAACATCCTCTTATATTATTAGGAGGTTGTTTAATTTGCAAATTAGCCCCCCCGGAGAGGACACTCTTAAACACCTTGTTAATTGAGCTGACTAGTGTGGGACTCTGTTAAATATTTTAAGACATGAACCCTTAGCACTAAACTAACACATTTAAAACCATGTTTTGGACTTGAGAAATTAATTTTCCACTTTCCAGGCTATTCAGATTCAATTAATGTGGGCCATAGCAATTGTAAAAGGTGTACAAGGAAAATTAAGGACGTCCGACTTCAGAATTGAGAAGCAGCACATATGATGACAATAATAACAATGTATCTAACCATGTTGTGACTTGTGATGCGAATCGTGTGGACCGTACACGAATTGGTCTCACAGGAAATTGTGATTTTTCCTCTCCATGTACTTGAGGCGCTGTGTGTGTGTCGGGTGTGAGAAGTTTCCTGCTCAACCCTTTTCGATATTTAGCCACTTGAAATGATGAAGTACTCGCTCATTCTACACCATTCATTTACCATACAAATGGTTCAAACATATATTTAGCCCCGTACATCATAATGTCACAACACCCAAATTTGGTGAAAGGTAATTTTTTTTACAAAGTTAAAATAGTGAGGGTAAAGTTGAGAGTAAATTATCAAAGTCAATATAATCGATGATATTTTTTTTATCTTTTAAAAAAGTAAAGAGTTCAAATGAGTAATGATATGTGTACGGATTTGTTGTAATGAATTACTTAACCGAACATTTTTGATTGGTTATTTATACACAATACAGGTAAGACAGAATTTTTTTTAATTGGTCTATTTATGCCTAAATAAAAAAATAGGCCTCCACTTACATGTATTGTGTATAAATTTATGCACAATACATGTAAGTGAAAGACCCACTTCAGAACTATTTCTTTTAATTAATCTATTTATACATAACTAAAGAATTGTGGCCCTTCACTTACATAATATGGAGTCAGAGAAAGTAGCTCGCGTAGCTGTGCCAGGTGATCCCTTTACCTGATTAGCAAAGCAGAGAAGTCAGTTCACCCATTGCCCGTGAGACAGATGGAGCTTCAGGGCCCAGCAGCAGGTGTTCCAGTCTTACTTCCTACTTCCCGGGATTATCAAAAATGAATTCGATGGCAATAGTCAGAAACATTCGATTAGGTAATTCACTGCAACAAATCGATACAAATATTATTACTCAGTTCAAATTATCGCTTAACTATTTTCTCATTTCGGTATTTATTGCTAATAAAAAAAGAGAGTAAAGAATAGAATATATTGATAAAACAACAGACGCATAAAATATATGCCTTTTATCTTCAATTCATAAATCTTTAAGATATAGGGTTTTAATCATTGAGCCTCTGAAATATTAAGGATTCTAATTCGTTTGAATTATGAGGTGCCTTGGTCAAACTTCCTTTTGCCCAGAAGAGTTGGCAACACGAAACACGTATGTGTGTATGTTTATATATATACAGAGGGGGAATTTCCTGATAGTTACATATATATAATATATCTCATATTTTAATCGCATACCGTCCTTAGTATTTAGTTCCTTGAATAATTTCGTATCCCATGTTTTAATCACGTACCTTACTTGCAGAACATGACAAAAAAAATTTTACATGTTCGAGGAAACTTTCTAGCTTGCGTGTGTGCCTTCATATTTTGTTAAGAGAAACGAATAATAAAACTATCACAGGACGTGTTTACATTAGAAGTGCCTTGTGAATACAATATATGTATTCTATATATATATATGACGTGTTTACATTAGAAGTGCCTTGTGAATACAATATATGTATTCTATATATATATATAGAATATATATTTTTACACTTAAGAAAATAGTGTTTCTCCGAATGTGCATTGGTACTCCCTATTTGGAAGATATTTTGTTTTCAAAATGTAATGAAAGTCTTTTATCTCCTTAAAGAGGAGAAACAAATCTAAGAAGAAATAAGATGTCTTCATCTAGTATTTTTAGCCTCAAATATTAAAAATAAAATATTAAAATATTTATGACTCAACGTGTATAATATCCCTTCTATAAAAAAATTATATAAAAAAAAAAAAATTGTAAATAGCCAGGTGATATTTTTCTGTCCTTTTTTCGACTTTCGAGTTATTTGCCAGGAAAATGATCAAATGGGAAAATATTTGATCACGTCAGCTGGGTCCCTGGTGCTGACATGGCGACACTTGGGTTACTTACTTGAACCTTCTTCTCTCCCAGTCAGTCCTAGGCCACACAACATAGCATATACCGACCGTATAGATTTTCTATATATATGTATATGCTGTATAATGTATATTTTTGTGTGAGAAATATAACTCCAACTAGTTTGCTTTGGTCCCACAATTTCCAATAAATACAAAAACAAGAACGAATAACGCCGGCCGTTCAAATACAATTAACAATTCTCAGCCCCATCAGTGATACGACGAGGTTCACAATGCCCGCAGGCGAACTCCGATACCCATCGCCGCCGTCAACGCCGGATTCCGACGACGAGGAGTCCCGGGTGTGGTCACAGATCAAGTCGGAGGCTCGCCGAGACGCCGAGTCGGAGCCGGCGCTCGCGAGCTACCTCTACTCGACGATCCTCTCTCACTCCTCCCTCGAGCGATCGCTCTCGTTCCATCTCGGCAACAAGCTCTGCTCTTCCACTCTTCTCTCCACCCTCCTCTACGACATCTTCCTCAACGCCTTCTCCTCCGACCCCGCCATCCGATCCGCCACCGTCGCCGACCTCCGCGCCGCTCGCTTCCGTGACCCCGCCTGTGTCTCCTTCTCTCACTGCCTCCTCAATTACAAGGGCTTCCTCGCTTGTCAGGTGAGAAAATTAGGAAATGAGATGAATACTAAGATTTTGATGTGATTATTTTAATTTGGAAGTTTTGTCTTTTGTTATTTAATCATGGAAAAGCCTCAAATTAGGGATTAATTCAACTATGTATTTATATACTAGGTGAAACAATTTTATACTGTATGTAACAGACAAAAGAGAGGTGGTTAGGATTTGATTCTTTTGGCTTTGTCGAAAATTCTATAGTAAATGAAGGTTTTGTGATATGATGATATTGCACATTCTTCAATTCTGTACTTAAATTAGTAATTCTTGTAATATTATGATGTTTAGAGAGTAAAAATGCTCCAATGTTAGGCATTGCCAAGAATAATCAGTGTATAGCTTCGGAATTCTAATCCACTGAATGAAAAACTTGATCAACATAACAAAGTTGGGATCAGATGAGGTTTAGACAAGAAAACTTCAGAGAATTCCTTGAATCATTTAAAAGATGTCAACGATAAAATTATTAGAAATGTTTCTTTTCTCAACAAACAAGAAGATGTATTAATTGGTTCCGAACAAGCAAGAAGACATCTTGATTTGGAATCAAAACCAACCGATAGAGCTAAATCTTTCTGTATACATGTTTAGGAGTAGGGTTCATCAGCTGGTGTGTTCTAAATTTATAATGCCTTCATTTGAAGTAAATATGATATGATGAATTAAAGATCTTTACATTTAGTAAGGGTCAGTGGATGCTTGTTGGATGGGCTCATTAAAGATTAAAAATTTATCAGACTATGAGAATTTTTTTTTTTCCGATTGAAGATTTTGTAATCTGTAGGCTGTATTCTAAATCAAGTTTTGAGTAAAATTTTGAGCAAATTTGCAGAACAAGATTCATTTAGTCTGGCCCAAATATATGGTTTTAGGCTTCGTAAAAGTATAGTATGTGGACCTAATCAATCTCAAATTGGTTATGAAGACCAATCATACTCAAAAGTTTTAGTTACCTTTTCATTTTTATTAAATCAAATAATTTCTTTGACAGAATGTGAAATTCGAACTACTAAATTTGTTTCTTCTTTTCAAATGGAACGTCTTTGCATTAGCTACTAATGATGCAGCGAATATATTAACTTTTCTATTATCGGTAGTAATTTCTTTTCACTTGTTCATCATTGACGATATAATGACACACCAGGCCCACCGAGTTGCTCACAAGCTCTGGAATCAGTCTCGAAGACCGCTTGCACTTGCACTGCAATCTCGAGTCTCTGACGTATTTAGCGTTGATATACACCCAGCCGCGAGGATCGGGAAGGGGATACTGTTTGATCATGCGACTGGTGTCGTTGTTGGCGAGACAGCAATGATTGGAAATAATGTATCCATTCTCCATCACGTGACGTTAGGTGGAACTGGTAAAGTTGTTGGAGACCGACACCCGAAGATCGGTGATGGAGTATTGATTGGGGCCGGGGCAACAATACTGGGGAATGTGAAGATTGGGGAGGGGGCAAAGATTGGGGCGGGGTCAGTGGTTCTAATTGATGTGCCTCCACGGACGACTGCGGTGGGGAACCCGGCGAGGCTGGTTGGGGGCAAGGAAAGGCCTTCTAGACACGAGGAGGTGCCGGGAGAGACCATGGATCACACATCGTTTATCTCAGATTGGTCTGATTATATCATCTGATCTATTGTCATGATATGCATGGTGTTAGAGGTAGCTGTTACACCTTCACTTGCTTTGGTATTCAGATACCCTCATCTAATATTTGTATATTACCATATAGTATGTATATTTGTGTATTGACGCACTTCTTCTGTGCTGTTGCTTTTCTTATCATTTTCAATGGTCAATCTTGTGATTGACGGATAAAAATTACCTAGTTATAAAAGGTAGTTGTTTTGGGTTATTGGTGAAGTTGTCATCATCATGAAGTAGAGTATGGTTCCTGGAATTTTTTGTTTATCAAAGAAACCTGAGGCGTCGAGGCCATCTTTCAGGTGCAGCTACTTAAACTGTATGAGACCAACTTGGTATTCTGTGCGAAGAACAATAGTCCTAAGAAATGTTGGTAGACCCTATTGAAGCAGGGATGTCTTTTAATGCTGTGGTATTGCCGTATTGGGATGAACCTTTTTAAGCCTTGGTTGTGAAATGTTGCAAGGGAGCCTCTTGATTATGGCTTTGTATGCCTCGGTGGTGATGAGTGTCTTTGGTTTCTGTATATATATGTATATATATAGACACAGACACACGTATATCTATATTTAAAAATAGAGACCACAAAGGTGAAACCGAGGAATGGTTTTTGATCAGTTGATGGTTTGTTCTCACTCACTCACACAACCTTACTGTGGAATTCATTATAGGAAGGAAGGCAAACACGATCGAGAACATCGAGTACTCTCAACATAACTTTCTTTTTTAACACCAAGCAAAGGCTTTTTATCACAATTTTTAGCTAATCTAAATATGTAGTTTCTTTGTGGGCTTTATCACTACTTATTGGGAGGAAATGAGGACGGAAATGAAGGGAAATAGAGAGAGAATGATCTGATACTACTCATTCACTTTCTTTCTTTTTCTTTCTCAATCAAATAAAAGTAAACGGAAAAAATATTAATTTTCAATTTTCCTTTTTTCCATACCCATATACAGTATTTCAAGTTTTTTTCCCTTGTGTCAAATAAAATTTTTAAAAAGCCAATATAAGTTCCCGAGGACTCCTGTATTGAAAAATGTTACGGAGTACATTTTTAGCTAAAAAACATGAACTTCAAAAGATAATATCAACTTCACATGAAGAAAAAAAAAAAAAACTTCACATGAGCTTTTTGACATGATTGAGAAGCCTTTTCCTCTTCTTTATTTTTATTTTTCTATTTTCCAAAAAAAAAGTGAAAAGATTAAAAGTTACTATTAACGACGACGTTTGGATATATCCTTCTTTCAACGGACAGAACACTGCCTCAGGCCCTCAGCTGATCCAATTGGCTTTGCAGGATAGCAATGGCGTCGTCTCTGATGTCAATACATAGCGCAGGAAACTCCGCTCTCTCTTCTTTCCATCTCAACATTCGATTCCCACCACACCCTTCTCACCTCTCCCTCAAACCCACTACAAACCAATCCTTCAACCCTCTCTGCACCTTCGTAGCCCCAAACAACACCAACCCAGCTAGGGTTTATCGCCGCCATGGTGGCCTTGCTCAACGCGGAAACACCAATTCCTCGAATGACCCACAAGTCAAAACACCCCCTACCCACAAAAACAACAAAAACCAAATTCATAGCAACAAAAACGAGAAATGCCATCCACACGTAACCCCCAATGTCCCACCATCCAGTGTTGATTTGTTGAGTTTGTGCCAAGAAGGGAAGATAAAAGAAGCCCTTGATTACATGTCTCAAGGTGTTGCTGCTGATTATCATACTTTCGAACTACTCTTGAATTCATGTGGCAGTCCGAAGTTCCTTCAACTTGGAAAAAGGGTTAATGAGTTCCTGATTCGATCGCCTCATACAGGTAATGTTGAATTGAATAATAAGTTAATTGAAATGTATGATAAATGTGGGAGTGTGAGAGATGCGCGCCGAGTGTTTGATCGAATGCGCGACCGAAACATCAGTTCGTGGCATTTGATGATAAATGGGTATGCAAATAATGGTCAGGGTGATAATGGGTTGCTCTTGTTTAAGAAAATGAGGAAGTTGGGGTTGCAGCCCAGTGGAGAGACTTTCGTGGCTGTCTTATCGGCTTGTGCTAGTGCTGAGGCTGTGGAAGAAGGTTTTCTACACTTTGAATCAATGAAAAACGAGTATGGAATTGTTCCAGGTATTGAGCATTATTTGGGGGTTGTTGGTGTCTTAGGTAAAGCTGGGCATGTTAATGAAGCAATGGAGTTTATTGAGAGCATGCCAATTGAGCCCACGGCTGAAATTTGGGAGGCTTTGGTGAATTTTGCTCAAATACACGGAGATATAGAACTTGAAGACCGTGCTGAGGAGTTTTTGGTTGCTCTTGATCCATCTAAGGCCATGGCTAACAAGCTCCCTACGCCACCACCAAAGAGGCATTCTGCAATCAATATGCTTGAGGGGAAGTATAAAATTGGCGAGTTTCGGAGTACAAATCCATACAAGGGAGATGCATACGAGAAATTAAAAGGCTTGAATGGACAGATGAGGGAAGCCGGGTATGTGCCCGATACAAGATACGTGCTCCATGACATTGATCAGGAGGCCAAAGAACAGGCCTTGATGTATCACAGTGAACGGTTGGCGATTGCTTATGGTTTGATCAGTACGCCAGCAAGGACGCCACTTAGGATTATCAAGAACCTCCGGATATGCGGTGACTGTCACAATGCAATAAAGATCATGTCGAAGATTGTTGGGAGGGAGCTGATTGTTCGGGATAACAAGCGGTTTCATCATTTCAGAGATGGTGAATGCTCTTGTCGGGATTACTGGTAAAGGTCTTATTAACTTGAAGTTGCAGCTCCACTTCTTAATTTGCTTTCTGGTTGATTTCTTCAGCATGTCCAGCGTTTTGGTGTCGAATGTCAGTGGGCAAGGAGAATTAGGCAGCTCTTTATGGCAATGAACTATGTACATTGTACATCATTCTTGCCATTAAATTCTAACTACTCAAACGACTTATTGAACATAAATTATGTACAATTTTTTATAGGTGTAATAGAAATCAGTATGATAACGATTTCTACACAGTTCCAGCTTCTTTGTTGGTTATGTTAGATTTACATTAGTAGCTCTGTTATTCTTGTTTCTATGCGAATGCCCTTTTGCCTGATTATAAGTGAACCTTTTGCTTACTCACATAAGCTATGAAGAAACTGTCATAACTTCATTGTTGAAACTAATTTTGATGGCGGAAATTGAAGCCTTGCAAACCCAACCGCATAAATGCAATCCTTGTTTTTTCGCAAGCTTTATAATCAGCTTTCAAGATAACTCAGTCATGAAGCAAGGAGGAAATTGCACCTAAATGATTAAGATTTGTATTTTCCTGTTATGGAAGCTTGCAGGAAATCAAGATATATCATCCCATGAATTTCAGAGTTCGCCTTTGTCATTCCTTTACTTCATATAAATCATTTTTGCAGGTTAAAACATGTTTAAGCTACAATATAAGCCAAGTGTTTATAGATCCATATCATTAGATACAGCTAATTTGGGAACATAATACAAAAGGTGAAGAAATCTGAAGCATATTTATAGCAATGTTACCGAGAGAAATAAAATAAAATAAAAATCAACAATCGGTGTTTAATAAATAGGTTCTCCAAAATTGATGCTCACCACTCTGTATGCATGGGAGACACTCCAAAATATGTTATCAATGCTGAGATCTCATCAATAAGAATGTTGGAAGCTATATACAAACGCAACCTTGTCACTCAGCTTGCGCATATAAAACAAATTATACCACGAGTATAATAAAAATAGAACTTTAAGAACAAAGCATCATGAAAGTAGAATCAATTTCTCCACCAAGAACTCATTCTTCATTATTGAAGACAAAATACTAAAAAATGATCTTGACCTTTATTTATGTGCGCAGTATTTGAATCCTGTCATGTAAAGATACATTTGCATCATGCTTAAGGAAGCTATGATATATAAGCCACAAGAGAGGACCTCTAATCAGCTAGCGACCTGTGCTGGCTTAATGATTTATTACAGAAAGAGGTATGATCTACAGAAGCCCTATGTTACAGCTAGAAAGAATGGACCATACAAATGAAAATGACCTCAAAAAAAGGAGCCTGCCTTCAAATATTATTGAGAAGGCAAGGCAAAGCTCAATCAATAACTATGTCAAAATGACTAGTTTGAGTTTTAAGATTTTTGTTAAGAGTGCAAGGATGATGGTTGGCTATTTCTTTGGTTGGTGGTCACCACCTCTACAACAGCTTCATCTCGTGATGGAACTCTCAGGAATGATTTCATAACATCATAGACTGTGAAACCGATTGCCACTGATGGTACAACCTGAAGCACAAGCACAACAATTAATTACCCATAACAGCTAGAAGAGATGATCAGGTAACGGGCAACCTAAACACGTGTACCCTCACCTTCAAGTAGTTGATGCTCAGCCCTGAAAATAATTGCTTCCATCCTTGCGTTTGTACAATCATTACAAGGCTTTCCATTGTTCCTTTCAGTTCTCCCCGGTTAGATGCCAAGAGCCGCTGGACCTGTCAAGATAATTTATTTCTCTTAAGTTTTAGAAATATTCAATTACACACACACACATATGTAGGGGTATGCTAATGTCTCCTGCAATAGGGTGAAGTTATCAATCTTCATAAAGTTCATTGGACTAACCTCTAGATGCAGGAGTATTGTTCTCAATATGACAGGTCTTTACTTCTTTCACTTTTTTCCTTTTTATTTTTTTTAATCTTTTTTTATACTAATGAGGGTCATCTTCACTGATACCAACCACTCTGAATTGAAGTCACCAACACCAGTAACCTTTACTACCAGAACCCCAACACTACCACAGAATAATCAGTACCACTACTAACCTGACTACAGCTCCACCATCTTCAATCACCGCAGTGATGACAGTGCCATAAACCTCACCCAACAGCCATTACCACCACCAATTCATTAATTTAATCCTAAAAGATCACCGTCAACCTTTGGTGAGAAAGAGAAAATTCATAAGAGAAAATCCAAGAGAGAGAGAGAGTCCATGTTGATGGCCAGTGATGGAGATGCTGGATTGGACTGTACCGTCACACGTAAAGGTTTCACTGTCAATGTTAGTTTGGATGATGGATCAGACGGGTGTGCAGTGATGGCCTAGATTGGAAATGCCAATTGTGTGGGTAGAGGAGAGAGGAGTTCCTGAAATTAAAATGAGAAGGGAAAGGCAATCTACTCCTGTAATGATGTTAAATAAGCTAAGTTTTATCTGTGTTATTTCAAGTCCCACTGAACTTTTGTGCAGATTGCTAACATTGCCCTATTGCAGGGACGTTTTCATCTCCCACAAATATGTGTGTGTGGTTCGATATATACTCGTTAACTAAGACCCTTGAATTAAATTACCTGCATTTGTCGCCTAACAACATCGAGAGGGTACGTGAAAGTTTGACCCAATAAACCTGCAATTGATCCGCATACAAGTTTCACCGTGATATCTTTCTTGCGTTCCTTGGGAACATGGCTTTTCATTTCCTCGTAGAAGTAAAACTTCAAGCCAGAATATGGAAAGATTCCATACAGTGATGGAGCTGACAACAGCTTTCACATATTAAAAGGGAATAATACCTCGCAAGGATCAAACCAATATTACTGAAACACAAAAAATAAGACATACCCACACCACGGTAGAGGCCTCTTATCCCAGCCTCTTTGTAGGTTTTGGAAAAGCAATCCGAAATTCCTTTATAAACTTGTTCAGTGTGAACTAGTCCTTTAACACTCAACTTTGGTGGTTCCACAATCTGCAGTTAATGCAAATCAGCATCCTCGGGGGGAGAGAGAGAGAGGGTACTTTTTTCAACTTTTTTACCTGATACGCCAATTTAGTTCGAACTAAATCAAGAGGATAAGTGAAAAGCACAGCGGTGCCTCCAGCAAATGATCCCGCCACAAGATCAAGGACAGGACCCCTCCCAATGTCAGGAAAACTGAGAATTATCCACCGGCGGTACTGCTCATAAGCCATATAGTGCAAAGCTGCATAAGGAACAATTCGAGCGACACTGGCTCCATTCCCTCTGCAGATAAATTCCACCATATGAATGAGGCAAGATTGTAAAATAGTAATAAACAGACAAACTTTACATGAATAAAAATTGCAAGATAAACAAAAATAAAAAATGAAAAAAGAAGCCAACGTTTCTACCTGTAAAAACCCAGCACTCCTTCTGTATTTTTAATCTTCTTAAAGGATCCCAAAAGCCCTGTACTCTGAAATTCTGCTCTTCTAGTCTAGGAAAAAAGAAAAGAAATTAAAAGGCCACTATCTAGTAAGGTCCTGTCTACACAGGGTGGTGGGATTTGGAAGCAAGACTGGAAACAGACCTACTTTAAAGAAAAGAATGTGCTTTAACCTCATAAAGATGGTAACTTTCTATTCCAGAATCCAACTTCATAGCTTGTGTTCAAAGTAACTTAAAATATACAGATGGATAAATTCAAACATCCAAAGAGAGAGTTCCTGATATATTCCTCAACCAATATCATAGACAAATTTACATGGCTAAATAGAGATATGGTTATTGACAACCATATGCACCAATAATTCCCCTTAGCTGCTTTCAATAAAATTTTAAATTACCCAAAGAAAAAATTGGAATCGTCATGGACTTTTAATTCAACAAAATCCAAGATATATTGCATTCACAACCATTATTTTTAAAACCAATATAAGATCGACTGACAAGTCAGCTAAGGCAGTAATTTCTTTAAGTTTTATGCAATGGATATTCCGAAATTATAACATTTGGACAAAAGTTCTGCTACAATGATTGTGGTTAAGGCATTAGTTCTTTAGTACATTCAGAAAAAACATCAAGATTTAGTTTCAGAATCAATCTGGATGGAATCAAGCCATGTGACCGGTAAGCAAACGAAAAGATAACCATGTAAATTGTACCTGCTCAATAGATTCTCTGATTGCATTGATATGCTTGCATATAGAAGGATAAGTCCAGGTTGAATTCAGGGGAAAAAAGATCATAGGATTACTTTAGTGTCTTGTTTACTTGAGCAAGTTTATTGGTATTTTCATAATTTTCACTTATTTTTATTTACTGACTGTAACCTGCATATTAAACTGGTTAAAATGCAGGTTAAGAAAACAGAAGGGGATGATAAGACATGAGAAACTTGTATTCTTATTCTTGGACACACATTTCAAGATCGAAAATCAATAGAAACACATTTCAAAATGGAAACCAAATCTCATCCAATCTGGAGCATGCTTCAAAATTGTCTTGGAGGGCACTAAAATGATTTGTTCCCAGTGTATTAGATCGGTATTGGGATGATACACAACTATATATATATATATATATATATCTATATATATATTCTTTCATAGTCTTAATGATAACTATATTTTCAGCTTGATTTCCTCACAATGTCATAAATCCAATGATCACCTATAGATACTAGCTAAAAGCAAAAGGTATCGCACAAGATGATCACACTAAATCAGAAATGAAATAATCAAAACCCATCATCACAATTATAACTAGTTCTTGTTAACTATTTATGAAACCCAAGAATATGTAGGAAGACTCACTTATCACTAGCTCCAATTAATTTTGAAGAAAACCCATCATCACAATTCAATCTTGCAATTCATACAGTCTAAATTCAATTAAAGTAAAATCTGACAAAAATTAAAAAATTGACAAGAAGCAATCCGATATAGCAGGATTAATTAAGACGCTAACATGACTAAATTAATCATCGGTAATTAAGTTAATAATCATATAGAAGTGTACCTGAAACAAGATCTTGACACGCTCAAGAGGTGCTACAACAGTCTTTGCAAAGCCACCAGCAACACCCCCAGCAATTAACTCCTTAGCAAACACAGGCATGCTCTCTACAACCCCATCCCAGTACAAGTACATCCCCTCATCTCTCTTCTTTCCCATTATACAAACACTTCTAGAGAGAGAGAGAAAAAGAGAAAGAGAGAGGGAGAGAGAGGTGGGGGGTTCTAGCTCTTATATGATTGTTCAAGAATCGATCAGTTGGTGCAGAGAAGGGAAAAGGAAGCAGAATTGAAACGTTTTTGTTTGCGCAGCGAATAATCTTGGTTTTGATTTTGTTGTATTATGTATATGTATATGTTTTTGGACAAGTCAGAGAAGCCCCACAAGTCTTTCGTCAGATTCCAAAATAATTATATATGTTAGAGAAGGATTAAAAAGGAACTCTATTGGATAACGTGTTATGTTAAAATGGTTCCAGTTCTATCGTAATTTTATACTATACTTATTTAGAATAAGTTGACCATTTTTTCACCATTTTACAACCACGGCCGTTAAATTAGAGTATTGAGTCAAAATCTGTGGACGTTTGATAATCACTGTACATATGATAAAATAAAAACACATTCAAGTTGATTATTTTTATAGTTTTTAGGGATATAGTGGTGTTGGCAGGGAGGATTTGAGGTTTTATTTTTATACTCCACTCTTAATTTAATAATATGTATGTTGTGAAGTCGAAATATATGCTAAAAATAATAATAATAATAAAAATAAAAATTATGTATTGCATATTAAATAATGAGATATGAAGCACGGATATCGCTCTTAGGGGTCTCGTACTAGTGTCCGACACTTCCAAAAATTATTTTTTATTGGACACGACTGGGACAAGCGGAGGACACATACGGGACACGGCGGTCAACGGGGTATATATTGTAATTTTTTGTAAGAAAAATAGGGTACCTAATGTAATTTTAGAAATTTAACTCTTTTGACTCCTTTGTCTGAGATTCTGAACTTCTACTTTCTTTAGATTTTTTTATTTCATTATGTTTATTTTTTTATTTGATTCATTCATCTCAGTATTAGAATTAAATAAACTTTTAGACCGTAGCAAGAAAAACAGAGAGAAATCAGAACAATTATATTTCTGGATGTGTGTAAAATGTAATCGGTAAAGTTGGTGGTAAAGTTGGTGATAACTTTACTTTATTCTTAATTAATTGAAGTATTTATTTTCTTGCGGTATGTTTTTTGGGGAGGTTAGATTTATGGTATTGTGAATTTTGAATATATATATATATAATTTTATAGGGCATATTCCCGCTGTGTCTGTATCCTATTTTTTTGAAATTTGTCGTATCGCCGTATCCGTGTCTTCGTGTTTCATATCTGTGTCCATGCTTCATAGATAATGAGTTACCATTCGTATATTTTGTTGCATTGCGTGACCCTAATTAACTTTTTGTTATTGATAGGACTCTTTTGTAGTTTGTTATTGTTTCAATTTGTATTTTTCTTTTCTTTTGATTTCTCACTAAAATTTAGAAAAGTTTTGAAACCAAAAAGATGAATTATTTTTATTTTTTAAAATAAGAATTCATTAGTTTAATAGACCCATTAATAAGACAAATTTTATTCCGGGTTTAATATCATTATGTATCGGAGATGATCGATGAGTTATCATGATACATGATTCTTGGGAAATTATATTTTGGTGACCAAAATTAAACATAATTGCTTTATAATGAAATTGAAGTCAAGAAAAGATGCTAGTGACTAATTTTGAAAATTAATTAATATTAAATGATCATTTAAGGATAATTTGGTCAAAAACACTTTAAGATTTTATAAACATTTTAAAAATAAATTTTAGATGACAAAATTGACATCCAATACAAATAATAACTCATTGAATTTATCACTTTCTCTCTTTCTCATCCAACGTTTTCTCTTTTCCTTTCTAGTTTCTAATTTACCAATTTAAAAAATTAGGGTTTCTTTACCACCCTTCTCTCTTTTTCCAAGGCTCTCCACCATGATCACAAAACATAATATTTACAGTGGAAAATAAAAAAAAAAAAAGTTTCATCCCAAAATGCTCTTTATAGAATATTTATAAAGGCGGGTCCCTTCTCACTTTGTTACTTTAATATATTGAATGATTCTAAAGTCACGGCTACCGGATGTGATTAAGGCTAAAGAAAGACTATTTAGTTAAACTAGGGTTATGGATTATCTTATATTCTAAGGAAGATCTCTCAAACAAATCAACTTGTAAAGTATAATAACTATGTATTAAAAAATTCCTAAAAATTACAATCTTTTATCTTAAAAAAAATATCTCAAATAAATTAACTTGTAAAGTATAGTAACTATACTTATAATTTTCTTGTCCGGCATCTTAGACCTTAAAGTAAACGATGTAGAACATCTTTCCTCAGTTCTCTCCTATCTTGGTCTTCTCTACAAAGACCTTTCTCTCCTATCTTGGTCTTCTCTACAAAGACCTACCCCGATAATGTGTCTTCTTTTTGTTAGTCAATTTAAGTAAGTGTTTATTTAGCTTAATGTACAGGGTAAATTTATCCACTTACATAATAATATATTATAGGAAGGTCATTTAGGTATCCATCAAATGGTAACTTATTAGTAATTAAGTTTTAGGTTTGGTGACTATTCACCTTTTCTTAACTTTATGATCATTTTATACCAATTATGTTTAATTTTGATCACCAAAATATAATTTTTTCTTAAAAGATTAATGAGGAAATTAATTAAGAGCCCAAAACAAACGCCTAAATTGGGCCTGTTTAGTAGGAGTAATTAATTCATGCCCAATATCGATATGCTTAAGAGTCCAGAAGTGCTTTTTTATTTTTAAAAAAACAATATGTTTGATAACTATTAAAAGTATTTTTAATAATGATCAATTTTAGCTTTATACAGTTTTTGAACTAAACTTTTATGTTATATTTGATAGGAAGGAAGAAGTATGGAGATAAAATAGAAAGGAGAATGAACAAACTTTTTTTATTCGATAGATATGATACAAAGAATGAAAGGAGAATAGAAATAATGATAAGTCATTTATTCTTTACAAATTTTTATCGGCTAAAAAAATGAGTAAAAGGTATATTATAAAATTTTAAATTAAATATTATGTTAAATTATACAAATTTTAAATTATAATATTATAAATATTATTGGATATAATAGTAAAAACAATTAAAATTTTCTATTTTCTTCTCTCCAACATAGTATGGGTTTATTTTCTTCTCTTTTATCTAACCTGATAAAAATAAATAAATACACAATCACGGCTCTATCATCTCTTCTTATTTCCCTTCTATCCAATTTTATTTTATTTTATTTATTTATTTATTTTCTATCAAAGAGAGCATTATGCAGCAAAGATTTCGTATTTTAAGTAACATTTTTCATTAGATAATTTTATACCTTTTATCTTAAAAAGACAATTTCACCCCTTTCTTTCCTGTTATTATCATATCTAGTCACCCAATTAAAAGACATTATTGTAATAAAATTAGTAATATAAACACTTTAAACAATATTGTTACCAAAAAAAAAATTACTTTAATTGTGAATATGTGATAAGTACTTTATATGACGTCACCAATACCTAAAAATCTAACATACTTTCTACTATCATCAATTTTATGACTACCAGAATCTCTACCAATAAAAGCCCAAACGAGCCCTTTAATCTTGTGAAGTGCTGATAGAAGACAAACACTAATAATGGTTAACTCTTGCTTAAATTTAGCTACTTGGTTTGGATGTGCCATTGATGAATCGAACTGTATAGTTCTATCATCTATGGACGTAGAAAACCACTCATAACTACTCCCTAATTGAGTTAATTTCTGGCATACTTTACTAAATACGTCTAAATGAAGCTAGACGAGATTAAATCATTAACACTTGTGCCATTGAATCATAATACAAAGACTTCGAAAACCTTATGTTACTAAAAATAAAATAAAATTAAACAGATGATGTTCATTTCCTCTAAGTTAGGGGGACAGGGATCGACGGAGGAAGCATTTCATGAGCTTCTACCAGCACTGTCTTAGAATTGCAGTCCGACGAGTTCAACTGACTAGAATTAGAAGTTATGATATTGTCTTGAATGGAGATTGTGTCAATAAGCTGGAGTAGGATCCTCTTGAGCTCCTCCCCGTCGCTCCATTCATGGACTTCGGCTTTGATATGCATAGGGTTCTCACGAATGCGCTCCCACAGAGGAAATTTCTTTCTTGGCATCACATGGTCTCTCTCTTCAAGCTTCAGACTTGGGCAGAAATCACCATTCCCATCTCCAAGATAAATTATTCTTTTCTTCTCATTTTCGGATATAGAAGCTCGGATACGCTCAATTACCAGACCCTATTGTTTAAATCACAACCACAATCATAAAATTCAATTAGAAGAAAGGAATCACAGTTAGAATACAAATTCCTTGTTACTCCTTGCTGAGATCAGCAAATCGACATGTTAAATGTTTCAGGGGAGGACTATTGTCGTAGCTGTTTCAATTTTCTCAATATATTGGAATAAGTTCATTAGACCATTTCAATGAAAACACCGTGTAAGTATCTAGATAACCTTTGACAATAGTGTTTCCTCTTGTTTGGTGTATTTTCTTTTTCATGAGACATTCCAGGTTTACTTACTATTGGAATTCCAATATGTTTAAAACAAGGGATGTGACACACCCGACAAAATACAAATAATTCAACCATATGTCATGCCATTGCCAAAAGCTTTTTACAAATGTGTCTTGGAAGGGAACAAACAAAAGTCTAAAACCAAACTAAAAACTTTGTGCAAGAACTAAATCCAAAGCAGATTTCAGAGTGATACCTAAATTTGGATCTAAATTGGCCAACATTCCTTGAACTACCATATGATACAAGAGTTATCTACAAAGTATTACAAATGCTTGACAGTTAAATTCACTGTCTTTGTTTATTAATTGAATCAAGTGAATCTGCTTTTGGTAGAGGGGGCTAGTGGAATTCTAAATGTCTGTAATTATTATCAACAAAATTAAGTGCACTTGCCATGCAAGTATAGTTATTGAAATAGAGATTGGGAAAAGAAAAAAAAAAAATCAGTTTTATGGGAGCATTCCTGTCTCATAACTATGAAAGTTGGAATTTTCATTTTCCAATTGAGTTCCTTCTGAGCCCATCCATCTCTATCCTAAAAGTACAGGAAGATATAAAAAGATAAAATAAAAAATAAAAAATCAATAATTGTAAGAAGCAAAAGCAACAAATTCAGTAAGATATGAGGTTCAATGCAGAATCCTAGGATGTCAATCAACAAATTCAATTTTAATTATCCATACTCTCCATCAATCAAGAAAAAGGGGGGACAAGAAAACAAAATCTATACCCCTTCATTAATAGCATTAATAGAAGAAACTCCGTAAAATCTTAGAGCATCAATCACAAGTTTAATTTCAAATTTTCACAGAACAATCAATTGGTCATGAAACTGGAAACTTTAACAAAATCAGATGCTTTATATCCTTAGATAATATATGTATAATATGAATGTACTTTTTTTTTTTCCTTTTTTTCTGGAAAGTAATGAATGTACTATCCTCTTATCACTTATCATTATAAAGGGACATTTACCCAGTTCTGGTCCAGCTACTTGGGGAGGGAAGACTTGAGACAAACTTAACCTTTGTTATTTCGCAAAGTAACTGCTCTGGTACTTGAATTTGCACTAGTGGCACTGTTCAAGCGTGAAACCGCTAAACCAGGCAACGGCCCTCTATATCATATCATTATATAATGACATATTTCTAAAATGAACTACATAGATTACCTTGCACATGTGGGGAGGGCAACGGATGCAGCAATGAGGAGAGGAAGCCAACTCGTGGTAAGGGAAGATCCAAAGCCTGCCTTCTCTGTCTTCAACTGTTGGATTTGTGTTGATTTCCGAAAAAAAGCCAAATATACCATGATGCTTCAAGATTTTCTCAATGAAAAACTGATTTGCATCACTAATTATTCTTAATTCACATCTGAAAAGACCACATTTCTGTCATAACACTCTAATGGACAGCACTAAATGAGTGACTAACTTACAAAAAGTAAGGAATTGAAAAGGGTATCAACCACATGGGAGATAATCAAGATCAAATACCCAAGAGCATGGGCAGATTTAATGGCTTCAATTATCTGTGGATTCAATGGAACCCGTTTCAAACACTCTGCGATTTCCTCAGTTGATATCCCTTGCGAGTGGAGCTCCTTCATCATCCTATCCTAAATTTGTTCAACATAGACAACATTGTTAAACCAAAATGTCTTTCTTTCTTTTTTCTCTGAGAATTTGTTACACAAAAGGTCCTATAACTAGTGCAACATTTAATTGCAGATATGATCTGTGAGCGCAATGTGCTTATGTAGGATCTATATCTGTACTCTGTAGTGTTACTGCAATTAAGCACTACAAATATATTTAAAAAATTTAATAATCTAGCTAGTGAGTAAAATTTAATAAACTTACCAATATATCTGTACTCTGTAGAGTAAAGTTTGCAAATTTCTCTTCAATAATACTTATAACCCTAATACTAAATATCAGTTTAAACATACAATCAATACTATCAAAGCAAAACAAGCATCAAATTAATCCACAATATTTCAATCAAAACCAAATTCTCTGGGCCGTAAATTATGTAATTAAACCGATTTATCAAACAAAAAGAAAAGTTCGTAGCTCTAAGGGAAATTGGTATGACATAGACACAACTACATAGATATATATATATATATACACACAAACACTAACCATGAGAGAGTTCCAAGGCAATTTGGGGAGAAGCTGATTAAACAAATGGGTGAGACCCATTTCCATCACCACCCATCTGTCGCTATCATCGTCGATTAATGTCCGATCGAAGTCGAATATAATCATGATTCCGTCCATTTCAACGATCGGATGGTGGTTTTCCGGCCCGATAAAGCGGTTTTCCGCCACACCGCCACTAATACGCTACTAAAACACTTATCTACTGTTGTGCCAATATATGTTTTTCAATACCAAGTTACAGCAACCGTCGGATTAAATAATGGACAGATAGATACGTGATTACATGTAGAGTTGTCCGCATACGGAGCTCAACTTTAACATGTAATCACTAGTATTATTTTGGAGTAACTAAAAAGCCAAAAAAATACACTGTCGTAACTGTGGCCTGCAATTGGCATCCCGGACCAGGATTCCTGGTATATAAACCATGAGGCCGTGATCATATATATCATCTACTCATGGAATTTTGATTTTTGATTTTTTTTTTTTTTTGAATCATTGAATTTTATTTTATTCATTATTCAACATCTTCTACCACCTTGCCACCAACAAATTCTTTATAAACTAAGGCAAGAATAATCAACAGGATGAGTCTATATCTTAAACCGAACTTTATATTTAGTCAATAACAATACAATCAATGCACAAATAATAGTGTGACTGTTTTAAAGCCACAAAGTCAATTAATAACTCTGGAGTATAAATAATTCTTTGAAGTGGATATTTTGGAATTAGCTGACACAAATCAATAATCTTTGCACACACACAAAAAAAAAAAAAAAAAAAAAAAAAAAAAAAAAAAAAAAAAAACCTCACTACCTCAAATTTAGGGGAAGCATCGAACAAAATGCTAAAAAGGGTGGGAAAGTGACTTGTATTATTCTTCGCCGAGCCTTATGCCACTTGGTCTCCTGTATATTTAATTTTTTTTTCAAACATATTTGTCTTCAATTGATCTCTCTCAATTCTCAACCACGAAAAACAGGTGTCCCATGCAGCCCAAATCATGCAACAAAATATCAAAAATATCTTCAAAGCACTCGGTGCCACCCGCACCCAAATTAGTGGATGCCACCATACAGCTTTAAAAGCTTCAATGACAGTTCACACTTCACACACACACACATAATATATAGAGAGAGAGAGGCAGAGAAATTCTTTAATACTAGGAAACCCCCGTCCTCTATTATTCGGGTTAACCATATCATTTTCATCTTTATATAAATAATCACTTATCACAAACAAATGTGTTTTTCAGGATTTACAGAAACAGTTCAGCGAAACATTTATTACTGACTACAAATGAATGAACTCAATCTCCCTCCCTATGTCCATTTAACAATTTCTTCACCTTTATCTACAACCACATCTACCCTCCTTAACAGATCAAAAATAACAAATAAAACAAAAAAATAATCTATATCAACTTATTGAATCACATAGTTACATAGTGTCATCTCTCTGCACTTGGAATGCGGGACGAAACCCGGGTTTTTATTGGCTTTAGCTTCAGACCCATGCTTTCTGGAGACAGAAGTTCTGGGGAGATGCAAGACGGGCTGAGGGGGCTCCTTGGACTGTCACTGAACTGGCATGGCCTGTACATTCCATACCCCATGAGGAAGTACTCCATGGGTATCAGCATTGCATGTGGCTGTTCTTCTGTTACCATTGATCCACAAGCCTGCACCTACAGGAATCAATACACGCGTGAGCATTTATTGAGCACAGTATCCTTTTGCATTCATGCATTTATGTTCGAAGTGCATTGAGCATTTATCGTTTTCAACAGGATTTTTCTTTTCTTTTTTTCTGCCAAGCATAGCATGCTATGAACTGTGGAGACTGACTGCTATGCATAATTGATCAATTATTTAAATGGGAAAATATGTTTAATGGTTTAACAAAGTTTTCAGCCACACTTCAGTTTGCCCTACCACTATAACGTGTTCTCAGCCAGATAAGCATTCATATCCTTTACACATTCATTGAATCACATACCTCAACTAAAGCACTGTATCTTCTATCGAATTTTGAGGTCATGTGGAGAGCTTCTGAATGAAAAGGAGAGTTCTCCCCGACAAATATAAGTGTCCGACATTTTAGTCTCTTCAACCCTTCAGTAATATCATGTCTCCTGCTGGTTGGCAAGATAAAATTCAGAGAAGTTGGCATATTAAAATAGTCAAAAGAAAGGAATTATAAAGGAAGTATACACACCAAAGAGCAACTGACTCAATCTTTACCTATCGATTGCTTGAAGAAACCTTAAAATGTTTATGCTCTGCTTCTCATCCAGCAACTGGAGAAATAAACATCATCATATTTATCACAAACAAGCGTCACTCTCTATTAAAATTATAAAAATAAAAATAAAAATAAAAATGATTGGAATAAGAACAGATTCAAGTGTACAATTATGACAAAGAATAACAAGAGCAGAACCACTAACCCTTCTGCATGCTTGAACTATATCTGATTCTGGGACTTCTGCACTACCACGAAGTTCCTGATACAAATTAAAGCAATCTCATAACACTAATCAATAATCCATAGATTATGGGCTGAAAAAGAAAAAAAGCATAAATTGCTAGAGTGGAAGTAATAGAGTACCTTGCTAAAGTACCGGTGAAGCAAACACTCCTTCAGCAAACTACTCGTGCCATAGAAATATAGTAAATTTGACATTACCTACAGTAAAATATAAGCTTAATTAGGTAGAAAGATTAATACCCTTCTCCCTGTACAAATGAAGCAGGCTATTTAAAAAATCACCTTATTATACAACCATTCAGTCCAAGAGGGTGCTTTGCAGAGAGGGGACACGAGTATCAAACCAAGAACCCGCTCCCTGTACTTCATCTGTAATACAACATTGATTAATTACCACGACAGATATCAATGGAGGATACTAGAAACGCTATTAAAAAGAAACATACAGCAAAAAGGGTGAGGATGTAAGCACCCGCTGTAACTCCTATGCACATCACTGCACCGAGCCTGAACAAGGTGACATTCAGACATCAAAAATATATCACAAAGATAATCCAATTGTTCTATTTTTTCCACTATAAACATTTAACAGAAAATAAAAGGATGGAAAAAGATTCAGTGACCAAACAACGTGTACCTAAATCCTATAAAAGCCATTGAGTTTCGCACACCAACAGTTTAAAAGATGTTACTAGTGAACAAAATTGTAGTATTATGATTACCTGAAATGGTTGAGAACCTCAATGATTTGATCTGCTAAGTCGTCAACAGAAGGAACAGGATCATCAGAACAAATCGCTGCAGCTCCCAACTGCAAGAACTCTTGTGGAAAGCATAGAAGACATCTTACGTAAATAATAGTATTCAGTAAAAAGGATGCATAATACAATTCAAAACCAAAAGATTTAGAATAATACAAATGCAGACAAGGCAACCAATTTACAGACCTCATGCCCGGGAGGACTGATATGGTAAATGCAGAAGTTGTGGAGCAGCAAAGAAGCTGCTTCAGGACAGAAAAACAATCCTTGAAAACAAGACATATCTGCTCAAAACGTTATGTAGTTGAACAAAAACCTTTGTTAGATAACATCTAATTTTAACCCAGCACTTCATTTCTAAAGAGAACAATCAAGGTTAAAATCTAAGATATATAATATATCTAACTTACGATTTAGAGCTAAATCAGGATAGGTAACTAGTGCTGGCTTGTCTTCATCTCCATATACAATAACAGACACAGAACCACGGCCAGTTTTTACAATATGTTCCTGCAATAATAAATAAAGTGCATTACAAAGAAATTACCATGTCCAAAAAAAAAAAAAAAAAAAAAAAAAAGACAAATCAACAACAGGTGAAGATCAATTTTGAAGAAATCATCAAAGAGGCTTAAAGTGTAAAGTACCCATTATCTTTTCTAGAACAAATATAGCACTTAGTTAAGTACAATCACAAAATGTTATATGCATTGCCTTCAAATAAAAGAACACCCTCAGCTTTTATTAAATAAATATTATTCCCAAAAGAGCTTGCCATGTGCACTGACCCCTTTTTGAGCCAGCATGCTGCATCAGATTAAAATACATATGTAAAAGAAACAAACAAAATTTTTTGTTTAAAAAAAAATAATAATAAATTATCATTGAATTGTTAGAAAAGTGATGACAATTGAAAAGAAAAGAATGGAATCGTATATGATTAAGATGACCCTAACAGATGCACACTAATTTAGTAATGATTGCAACATGTAGCCAGTAACAAACAAGATGATGAAGTAACAGCCACGTTGCGTTCATAAATGAGATGATAGGTTCTTAACAATAAGATAAGAACCAAAAGAAAAAAACAGAACAGAAAAGGAACAAATTAAATTTGCAACCCAGTTCACATACAATACCAAGAAAAATAAAATTAATAAAATGACTCCGTGTCAACTAACCCATGATCACTAATACTCTATTTGGTTGCTGAGAAGAGTTGAGAAAAGACAGGAATTAAAGTTTATATACTAATTTTTTCAGAAAAATGCATGGTTTTGCAAGAGATTCTAATGATTGTAGGTTCTTAACAAAAAGATAAGAAATAGAAGAAAAAACAAAATAGGAACAGGAACAAATTAACCCAGTTCACATACAATACCAAGAAAAATAAACTTAAAATAGTGTCACTGTGTCAACTATACCATGATCTCTAATACTCTGTTTGGTTTTGCAAGATAAGAAACATGAGAAAAAACAAAACAGAACAGGAACAAATTAAATTCGCAACCCAGTTCACTCACATACAATACCTAGAAAAATAAAATTAAAATAATATCAGTGTAAACTAAACCATGATCGCTAAAACTCTGTTTGGTTGCTCAGAAGAGTTGAGAAAGGAAAGGAATAAAAGTTTTATACATCAAAATTTTCACTATAGTTCAACTACGCTAATGGCAAATAGGTCCATAAAATCATCAAATCAATTGGACTGTTAATTAAGTCCTTTTTTCTTCTTCCTTCCAGGAAAAAAAAAAAAAAATGCGCCATTTGCACTCATAACTCAAGCTGTATAATTCTTGAATAACTCAAAGAAAAATCCTTAGGCATTTATATTGTTTATTGAGTGGTCCTCATCCATTTGGCTAGGCTGAGGTCAGTTTTTCATTATTTAGAAAACAAAAATAACATGGCTTACGGCATTCAAGATTTGATTGTTTTCTTCAGATTCTTAGCAACCAAACAAGGTAATTTTAGAACTAAGTAAGCAAACTAAAGCATTTAACCTAAATTTGAACAACCAGGCCATTGGCCCAGGTCGTGTAACCTCTCCTCCCATGGAGGAGGTGAGGGTTCGAGTCCCAAAAGGGCCATTATAGGGTGTGTTAAGTATAAGCATTTACCTAACCAAAAATAAATATATAAATAAATTTGAACAAATGTATAAATTAATGAGATAATTAAAAGATTTCATTTACATATAAACAGAAGGAAGAAAAAGCTCAACAACAATACAAGAAGAAATTGTGATACTACAAATTACGAAATAAAGAACCTCCAGAACTAAAATGTTATTGCTTCCACAAACAGGAAAGAATCACTTGTTAATTGTAAATGCAATTAATATAAAAAATGAAAAACTAACGTGTTAGAAGTCAACAGATCTACGATTACAAAAAATTTAATTCCCAAGAACAGATGCAGAATATTAGATAAGACGGACAGAAATAACGCATCAAAGCAAGTTTAACCTCTCGTTTGATTGCATAGATAAGTTATGCAATGAAACTTAAATTTTCCCTCTTTAAAAGATTTTCTCAGCAACCAAACACTCCATAAGCCAAGAATTCAAACCATTCGAAATTGCCGTGACGATATATGTGTGTTTGCATGTGTATTGAAATGTATTCTTAAAAAAAAAAAAAAAAAAAAAAAAAAAATTAAATTAAATGGAAGAAAAAATGCATGACATTTCGATTCATCAATAAAAAATAGCCGAAATTCTTGAATAAGGAGTATATATATCTATAAACAAAAAAGGAAGAAGAAAGATCCAGCATAAAAAGTTAGAAATATGAATTTATACATATATATATGTGTATGTATATGAACCTTTCCGCCAAGATAGATTGTCTCCATATCAACGGAGACGGAATCATTTGACTCTGCCATGGCCGACGGCTCTGTGTCTCCGAAAGCCGAAAGCCGAAAGCCTCTCTGTGTGTAAAATTCTCTCTCTCTCCAAAATGCACTCTCTTCGACCAATAATATATGCCTGAGCTTCGATGGCTTATATACGAAGCGATTCTCTCTCTTTCTCTCTCTCTGTGAATCTAACTGCAAAATAACCTGCGGTTAACCTCCACCGACGCTATTCTCTCCCTCTATATCTAACGGCGTGAGGCTCTTCCGTACTTAACAGTATTTAGCCTGATAGTCTGGTAAACTTATAACCATGGTTAACGACCGACAACTTGGCATTGAACTGTGCCACGAAATCATTGAAAAACAAAAAACAAAAAAAGAATGGAAAATGAGTGGGCAACCAGTTCGTTACGACGTCGTATGGTAATCTTTGAAGCCCGACGACTTGTCTTTTTTTGTTTGCATATTATGATTGTGTTTGGGGTAAAACCACAATTAATTAAGAATTTTGACTATAAAAAATTTATTGGAGACTGGCCACGTGGTTTTGACTGAAGTTTTTGGTGACCATCTGATGTGTACCTCCTACCAACATGAGTCTTTGTCATCGGATGCTCTACGAGGTACACGTGGCGGCTTTTATTTTGCTACACAAAGTGGGCCTTAGAAGCTAAACAAAGAGTTACTTGTCAATTCAAATTACTCAATGATTGATGATCATGCCCTAAGTTTTTGTTGGCTTGACAATTCACTCTACTTTGATTGATCATGGTCTTTTGATGCCAATTCTCATTTTCATGCCTATTTGTTAATTTTGTTGAGATGAGGAATCATCTTGGTTGATGGATAAAATGAGTCAACGTTGGTATTATTAAGTATGATTTGGAAAGCATCAAAGTAAACCACTTTCGAGAATAACAAATTTAAGATATATTTCACACTTTTTTTTTTTTTTTTTTTCAACAAATTTAAGTTACACAGTTCTTTTAATAGGATACTGTATGCTCTCCGGATGAATTAACAATCTAGAACAAAGTCTTCTCTAATTCATGAATTTAATTTGATGAATCATCGAACTCATATCAATGTTCTTATTTAAACATTTCTCTAAGAATATATAATAATTATATAGATATCTCATGTTGTATTTCTTTAAAAATATAAAAATATTATAATATGTATTTATTAAGTATTTATTAATGTTATGAATTACCTAATCTAAAAAAACTAAGATTAACAAAACTCCAATACATTTCCTCATGTTAATAAAATTACATTTTCATTATTCCAAAAAGTATATAATGGTTTTTAACATATGTAGAAGTAGTAAAACTTTTTTTATTTTTAATTTTATACATACAAATATATTTAGTACTACACAAGTGCACAACAAACATTCTGAATGTGCTCTCACTCTGATCAAAATTTAATTTTTGTTACTTTTGTATTACCACTCTATATCACTTTTGCATTAAGTTATAACATAATCAGCACTAAGTTATACTTTTTATGTATTTTTTAAATTGACGAGTTTTCAAATATAGTCAAAGTAACCGTTATTAAACTAATTAGAAGATAAATTTAAATATGATAGTTTATTTTGTAATTTGAACTGGCTCATTCATTCATATTGAGCAAAATTCATCTCTATTTCTTCAGTGAGTACACATTACACAATAGATAAATAATTAACTAATACCCTTCTTTTAAAGCATAAATTTGTAAGTAAATGCTAGTTAACATAAATACTAGCATGTATAAAAATTTGATTTCAAGTCTCAATAATGAGTAATTATAGTTTATACATGCATTACATCTATTTACTATTATTTTTTTAAGTAGTTGGTGTTTGGTAGACATTTTGATATGAAAAGAATATAAGGATTGAGCAAATGATATATTACAGTATATTCGATAAAAAAAATTATATAATCATAATATGGTACTCCGTATTTGTTTTGGCTACTATAGTACGAAAGATTCATTTGTTAAGGACCTTAACTACCAATACAAGACACCAATATAAGACGTATGTCTTTTTGCATGAATATTACGTAGTATTATATAATCATTTTAACATATGCTAAATTTCAGAATATACTAATGATGATATCTTGTAATAATATTAAGGGCTTATTGCAGAAAACTCCCTCCAAACTAATACCTAATTTGCGCGTGATCCCTCTAACAGTTTAAATTCCATTTTAGTTAAAAATTCGTTCGAACCATCTCGTTATTTTGCAAATTGTCCCATTCTGTCACTTTGCGATTCAAAAACTATCCGTTACTTTTACTCGTGTGATATAAATCAAAATGACAAGGATAACCTTTTACAAAGACATAAAACGCCCCCTACTCGCTTTCTTTCACAAACTCTCAGATATAGAAATTATTTTTATATTCTTTCTCCTTGCCTCTTCACTAATTTTGTTTCGTTTATGTGTTCGGAATTGCTGCAATATGGGTTTTGTATTTGGATAGTATCTTAGGTAGATATAAAATTGGCAACAAAAACGTGGTTGAGTTTTTCACCAACTTTACTTTTTCGTCCTTTATAGTCATTTTGATATTTACATATTAATTTTGATTTCAAGGGGTTAGGTAAAACTATTGAGGGTTATTTGTAACTTGGCAATAATTTTTATTTTTATTTTTTTTTGGGCAACTTGCTAAATAAAAAGAATCTTGCCTCATGTCTTTAATCTCACGATACATGCATTTTTAAAAGTGCACTTTATGCATGAAGAAAGCCCCTTGCCATCTACAGTATATCCTTAATTCTCAATTAGCAGTATCATATTTACTTTTTTTTTTTTTTTTTTTTACACTCATATTTACTATTAATTACGCTATTTTTTTTTTTTTTTTTTTTTTATAATTAATGCTATGCTATATTCCATACAATCAAATAATTTGTCACAGGGAATGAGAGAGACCATATTGGCCTCAAAAAGTGACCTGCCCAAAAGCGTCATTTTCAATTAAAAGTTTTCTAGGTTAAGTGGTTTTGTTTTTTTATTTTATTTTTTATCTACACTTAGGTAAATTTAAGAGTCTTAAATAACAAATCGGATTAATTTAGTCAAGTTAGGTAAAATAATTACATATGCATAAATAACTATTATTTATGTCCAAAATACCCTCCAAACTAGTATTTCCAAAATACCAAAATATCATTCCTAAATCAAATAATTTTTTCTTTCATAAAATTTAGAAAAACAAGATTTTTGAATTCACTTTCAACTTGGCATTTTTGTATATTTTGTATATATTACCAAATAAATAAAATAAAAAATAGGATATATATATATATTTGTGCAAAAAATTTTAACGATATGTCCTAATCCATACTGGTTCAAACTTGCAAATGTCAATTTAGAAATATACAAAAAATTTAGTGAAAATTCATTATGTATAGAAATTTTTATTAATGTGAAAACTTTTCTATAAATTTATATAAAAAGTTAAAGTGCAAAAGAATTTTCTTACTCCATGAAGAGCAAGAAATCAATACTCTAAATATATATATATATATATATATATATATATATATATATATATATATATATAAGTTGCATTAATATAGTTCAAAGTTAAAGGAAAAATTTTATTTTCTTAAAATTTTTAAGTAAATAAATTATTTAAAGAAAGTATTTGATTTTAGGGTAATAATTTTTAGTATTTTAGAATAAATGTTTGGAGGGCATTTTAAACCTAAACAATAATTATTGATGCATATATAATTATTTTACTTAATTCAACCGAACTTTTAACTCCTAACTATATATGTCAGTGTAGTTTTTTTATTTTTTATTTTATTTTTTATCCTCGAAATTTAATTTTCTCATTGTTTGGTTGCCCAGAAAACTGATCAATATATACTTTGAAATCTCAAATTGACTCAGCTAACGAAATGGTAGAGTCTTGCTCAGTTGGCAGCTGATCAAGAGTGGTGAATGTTTATGCCAAATGTGCTGATCAAAAGGACTCTCAGAATTTACCAAATGAATTATCAACTCATAGTTGGAAAAGATTATCGGATTCATGCCATTTACTCAATGTGGGTAGGTTGGGTAGAGAAGGAAGTGCAATTTCAGAAACAGATGAAATGGTGAAACGGTTTTCCGGCGCGTTGCGCAATTGTGCTTTGAAAGGCTCTTTGATTGAGGGGAAGGCAGTTCATGGGCAGCTGATCAAGAGTGGGATGGACCCAGTTACACATTTGTGTAATTCGTTGGTGAATGTTTATGCCAAATGTGGGAGATATAGTTGTGCTCTTCGGGTGCTTGGTGAGATGCCCGATAGAGATGTTGTCTCCTGGACCTCACTAATTGCAGAGTTGATAGCTGAAGGTGTTAATACCCATTTTGATAATTGGGCTTGGACTACAATTGGGCCTGATGAACAGTGACACGGCAGAGGTTTGGGCCATAAGAAGATACTGGGCTGAAGAGATGTGGTAATAAGAAGACATTTTGGGCTGCAAGACATTTTACTCTACATGGGCTGAACAATAGACTTGGGCTATAGTTGGATAATAATGATGCAGTTAGAAGAAGATTGAGCTGTTGCATGGAATATTTTCTACAACATTACAGATGGAATTGGTTTGAATAAAGTTGAAGTAACAAATAGATATGCAGGAAAGTGATAAATACCAATTGTTTATCTACATGGTGTTATACATGGATATGGATTATATGGATTACAAGAGAAAGGGCAATGACGTGGCATATTTCGCATGAGAACAGGGCTACACACAAGGGCGTCACTGATCATATAAATTATTTTTGAAATACTTTTGAACTTTATGTTGGATAATATTTATATGTTTACTAGATTTTAGTTAAGAATTAATATTTATCTAGGAACTTTAGTTTGAATTTAAATTTAGTATTTAGTGATGAGGTAGAGTTTTATTGTAATTAGAATACTTATTGGTAGGAGTTTGTTTCTAATAATATCTATAAATAAACAAGGAGGCATGTTTTACTAGAGGTCCAGCACTCTCAGAATCATTATTATTATTTGTTTGCTTCTTCAAGCCGTTCTAAAAATAGCATCCTTGCTATTTCTTCTTCATCTCTATCTTTCTATCTTTCTATCTCAATCTCTCAATATCTATCTCTCTCCTTATTCTTTCCTTTTCTTTTCTTGCTATATCCATTATCTCCCCTTTTCTATTATCTTGTTACGTTACTATAATT